AATGGTATGTCCTGAAGTGGGGGGGGGGGGTAGAACTTCAGTTTAAACTGGAATGGAGAAGAGAGGAAAGTATTTATTTGGCCTTAGAAATGTTTATTATAAATAAAAGGAGGATTCCTGACGGTGGAGCTATGACCTTGGGTAAATAATTAAATCTCAACTGAGACTGGAGTGAAGAGGCCCTGCCGGGGAGGGCACACCCTTCTGCTCATCACTGGGACAAGTTTCCCACCAGACCAGACCAGCAGGAGGAAGGAGGTTCTCTCCCGCACTCCCACCCGCAACAGTCCAGCCAGTCTGAGACTGTCACAATGTCACGCCCCAGCCAATGAAAAGCCATTTCTAACTCCCGGTTTCCCCCCACTGGACTCTGTTTATAACAGCCCCTCCAACTCCCCCCTTTCCTGTATAAAAGAACATTTCTCTACTTTGTTCTCCAGACTCGCCTACGGTGTTGCTATAGCTTGTTCGTCCTGAGTTGCAATTCTCTGCTGTTCCTGAACAAACCCATTTTTGCTGGTAAAACAACACATTTTATCTTTCAGGTCAACCGCATTGATACTGATTTTAAAGTGGCATGGGGTGGAGGGGGTTGTTTAACTTTTATTAAGTGTTAAAAAAAAACGTTTTTTTGGAGTGACGCCCTGGAGTTCCCCATCACTCTCAAAACAACGAGAACACACCTGGGCTGACAAAACGCCCGCGTCAGGGCTCTGGAAGTGCAGGCAGACTGTGCGCTGAGTGGCCTCATCTTCCTTTACACCACGAAGGAATCGAAATAAACTGGGAGAACATGTTGGCCTCACCTGACCGTCACACAAATTCTCACCGCCAGCATGTGCTAGGGTGCATGTCTCTTAGCTATCCGCAAACCCAAGAGACCCCGCCTCCAACACCCTCTTTGGTTTTTATTTCCAAATGCTACCCCCGGATGCACCCTTCAGTCAAATTTCCCTGGAAGCAGGCAATCCTGAACGTCAGGCTAAGACGGCCAGCCGCCCCTGTGTCCTGAGGCTGCCGGGATCGGCGCCTAACGCCAGGGAACACATGTCCAGATGATCATGGGAGAGGTGGTGTCTCCCAGACCAGGAACGCCAGTTCGAAAACTGCTCCGACTGGCTTCCTCGGCTTTGTGAAATGCCACCCCGTTTCTCAGAAGCAAATGAGATGATTTCCACTCATCAGAAACAAATGGGCTGGACTAATTCGCCGCGATGTCTTCCCACTGGGTTCTGAGCTCCCCAAGAGCAAGGACATATCTTTCGTGTCCAGCCCAGGGCATTGCACACAGTAGGTTTTCAGGAAACAGTAACATTATCTAACACTTATGTGGTACATACTGTGTCAGATATCTAAGCACTGGCAGATATTAACTCATGTAATCCTCATAACCCTATTGTATCTCTTTTCATAGAAAAGGAAGCAAGCACAGAGAGGTTAAGAAACTTCTCCAAGGTCACACAGCTAAGTAGTGGAGCCTGGGTTCAGCCCCAGGCAGCCTGCGTCTATAATCTGTATTTTCTGCTAATATACCAGTGGTTCCCAAATGGGTCTGCATACTAGAGTCACCTGGGGAGCTTCAAAAATACACCCCAGGGACTGTGATTTAATTGCTCTTGGGTGCGGCCTGGGTTTGGGCATTTCTAAGAGATCCTCCGGTGATTCCTGTAGGCAGACAAATTTTGAGGGCCACTGCATTATCCTATCCCACCTCATTGCCCAGCAAATGTTTACTGGGCTTAATCTGCTCCACGTGAAACTGCTTTCAGGAATATAAACAAACAAGCCCAGGGGGGAAAAAACCAGTCCAACTACGGGAGTGGCAAATTATCCTGCAGTGCAAATAATTCCGGTAGAGTCTGTGCTGTGAGCACGGATGTGGAGTCAGACATTCCTGGACTCAAACTCTAAATTCTGAGCTGCACTGCTCCCCAACCCCCATCTCCTTCCTTCCTGGGCTCAGAGCCAGACTGCATTACCCAGGTTCCCTTGAAGCTGGGTGTGGTCACGTGACTGTGTGCAGCTGGCTGCCTGACTGTGGAGCGAGTCTCCAGCTGCGCTAGGCTGTCCTCTTTCCCGAGGCAGATCCTAGTTTCCGGGGAGGTTGAGTCCCGGAAGGAAAGAGCCCAGGGTCGTCCATCACCAAGTGGAAAACTGCCAGACACTCAGGGGCATGGACTGGATTTGATGTGAAGGAGAAAGACCCGTGTCTTTGTTATGCTGCTAGGATTTGGGGGTTCTCTGTCCTTAGTGACTAGTGCTCCTGAACTGGTACATTGTGTGGCTTTGCATAGGTTACCCCAACCCTAGGCCTTGGTTTGTCCCCTGCAGAATGAAGATAATGGGACAAATACAAACGAGACAAAGCTTGAGGGCCGGGCAGCGTCCATTTGCCCTCCAGGTCTTCTCTCCACAGCTCTCTGCCCACGAGCCTTGGGGACGGCACACAGGTGGGCTGGACCTGTGGGAGGCTCTCGCCCCAGATGGGAGGATGGGAGCCCGAGCACCAGGGTTCCTGCGGCCCCGCTGGCCACATCGCTGCACCTGAGGCCTCGCTGCGGGCAGGCAGCCCTCTCCTTCAGCCACAGGTTCTGTGAATCGCCCTCACCCTTGTCCCTTCGGGCCTGCGAGGAGGCTTAGGCTGCTTCAGTCTCCGAGCTGATGGGCTGGAGAAGGGGGCGGGGCATGGTGCTCCTGTTGCCAAGGAGAGCGGAAAGGGCGTGAAGTCACCGCTGGTTCCTGGAGCTCAGGCCCAGGACAGGCCCTGATCTGAAAGCGAGAGGCACCAAGTCCTTCATGGCCAGGAGTCAGCCCCCACGTCCGTGAGGGCGCCCGTTGCTGCCGTCCACCCGTGCTAGTCTTTTCCTTACCCCCTCCTCAGTCCCCTGTGTGGCCACGGCTTCCTACCAGGACCCTGGCTGATACCGGATGTGAGTGCCCCTTGAGTGCTGAGCAAAGTAGTTGTGTAGTAAATACTCAACACGTTTAATTCTTGTTTTATGTATTTATATATTACTACATCTTCGATCATCGCTAAAACCAAGAAAACGTGAATCTGCATTGCATAAAGGGCATTTTAAGTACTAATCATGTGACCTTAGGCAAACAATTCGCTGTCCTGAGCTTCATTTCCTCAATTGCAAAGTGGCTACGTGGGAATGGATGGCCACGAAGATCCACCCAGTCATTCATTCATTCATTCACCCCCCAATCCCTGATTCCTTAACTCTGGAACGTGTGCCCTGTCCTCACAGAGGGCGTCAGACATTAAACAGGGAAACCAACCCGTCTGGATTCATACCCCGAGAAGGGCCCCAGAGGCTTGCTTCCAGGGGTGTGTGCTATGGTGGAGAATGCAGAGGCCGGTCGGGTGGCTGGGCCTGCCTGATGGCAACCGTGAGGCTGGGACACGGAGGAAGAGGCAGAGCATCCCAGAAAGGAAGGTGGGAAGGGCCATCGGCACAAGACTTGTCATTTTCACCAGGGGAGCTTCTTCTTTCACATTTCATTTATTTTTAGAGGGGTGGGAGGAAGGAAGGAAGGGAGAGGAACGTAGTTGAGAGAAACATCGATCGCCTCCTTCTCCTAATCACCCTGACAGGGAATGGAACCCGAAACCTGGGCATGTGCTCTGACTGGGAATCGAACCAGCGGCCCCTGGCCCTGCAGAACGACACCCAACCGAGCCACCGGTCAGGGCACAGCAGGGGAACTTTCAGCCCACTGGTCGGCACCAGGCGCCCTTAACCACCCAGGGGACATTTGGGCACACCTGACAAACTTTGGGCTTTACAGGTGGGGGGGGTGCTACTTGCGTCTGTGGGTCCAGGCCAAAGACGCTGCCCGACAGCCACAGTGCACAGGACAGCCCCCCAACAGAGACGCACCCGGCCCACCCGTCAGGTTGGCCCGACGCAGCCCCATTCCCGGCACTGATTGGACGGGTGTGGAGTGGGGCCCGAGCTTCAGGGCCGAAAAAAATTCTCCAGGTGGCTCTAACGCCTGCTTACAGGGACGCGGCACAACGGACCGACCAGGGCGGCCGAGGGTGCAGGGGGAGAGGGGGACGAGCAGGCTCATTCTGGTCCCGGCCCAAGGGTTCCGATGGCCGTTCAGCCCGATCTTCCAGCAAAATGCCTTCCTCGGTTTTCTAACCAGGGAAGGAAGGTGGTGAGACCCTGCAAGTTCCTCTTAAAGGAACTCCCTGCAGGGGCACCGGGTCTGGGAGTCACACTGTGGCCGAGGGCCCGCGAGCTGGCACCGTGACGTCTCTGACCCTGTCTCCTCGCCTGGGCCCTGTGGAAACCAGGGGACCTTGCAGCTGCTTCTGGGGGCGCCCGGAGGGTTCGTAAAGAGCACGCAAGATGCACCTCACGAGAGCCTCGTGTGAGGTGTCGGTGACTTTTTACTGACGGCTCAAGTGATGATTCTATTGTGACGTGTGTCCCATCAAAACCTCTTGTAACATACTGTGTTTTTTTTTAAAATAAGGATTTCTCGAAAGTATTTGAAACCTAGCTCCCTGGCCTGTGTTGTCAGTTTGGCTCAAATAAACTCAATTTTTAAAAAATAAGTGTTTCTTTAAAACGTTCCTTTTATAAGTAGAAATATTCCTCCAAATAAAACAGAGTTATCACATGTTTATTAGGTTCCTATGGTCAAGCCCACAGGATGCACTGGACACGAGTCTACACTGCAGGAAAAACCCAGTGACTCGCACCCGAGGGGGTGGGAGCGGCAGGCACCAACACAGCACACCCCGCGCATCTCGGGGGTGGGTGGCCCTCCGGCACGACACACGCCGTCGGCAGTACCGGGATGGCACGGACGCCATTGCCCAGGAACAGGGTCCGACCCGGCCCTACCGCTCACCCCGCAGAAGGACTGTGTGTGTGTGTGTGGGGGGGGGGCTTGTGGAAGGGTTCTTGGCAAAAGACAACAGTGTTTGAAGCAAATTCCAAAGAATAAATATTTTAATTTTCTTCAAGAGGATTCTTAATTTCATATTTTAAATAGTCACGATTTACATTTCCACAAAAATACGTGTACAGCATCAGTATTCTACAAGTAGTCACATCTGTAATTACCTTATTAGGAGGCGCAGCAGCGGCGGTGGGCAACACACACAGTGTCTGTTCTCTACTCGCCATGGGATCGAGGTGACGACTACTGCAAGTCGGGACGGGTTCAGGTCAGGGCTGAACATGGCGCCCCAGCAAACCCGCAGTGAAAAGCCCCACGTGACCGGCAAGTTTCACAATGTAAGACAAATGAACTGGCAATTGGAAGCTGCCACTTCAGAGACACAAGTGACATGTGAGACAGTGAAGTGAACGCAGGTTTTACAGAGAAGTTATGCCCACCACCCAGGGCATCAGAGGGGTCACTGGGTGGGACTCCAGCAGGTTCGCAGCCTCCTGAAACCTCTGGCACTTCCTGCAAGCAACATACTTGAGACCGAGGGGCCAGCAGCCATGATGCGAGGTGAAAGCACCCAACACCTATGTTCTTAAAGATTGCTGAAACTTATGAACTACGGAAGCTCCCTCAAATTTCTCATCCCAAGAGAAGCCTGTCATGGTGGTGCGTTAGGCTGCATTTTCCACCTGTGATTTGCAGAAAGTACAATGAAAGGAAAACACGTGTGGTTCAAACTGGCTGACTCGCAACTGTGCACATAAAATCTATGACAGGGTCACAGTGCAGGACCCTGAAAACACGGGGACAAACATACATTGGCATTGAAGCACTCAGTTATTCTTCCACGAAACAACTATCTTCCAGTAGACAGAAGTAAGATTTTTTGGCAACAGAAATCTCTTTTTTTTGCCTTCATTATCTATACACTATACACATAACCTTCCTTTTCAATGTAAGACTCACAAAAGCGTATGGGATTTATCCCATCGATAGCAATTGGTGCATCCAAGTTGATGTCCTTGCAGATACAAGAGCATCACCTGGTGTTTGCTTAGTGCTTTACTTTCAAGAAATTTCAACTTCATAGACATTCTCTCCAATGCCTTATGTGGGTCAAGAGGAAGAGGGGGAATAAGATCGCTCAGCTTAGCGCGTGAGCCTTGCCACACTCCCCAGAATTCAGAGGAGCCACGCCCAACGCAGGCGCACGAAATGGACACAGACTAAACGACTCCACTTGGGCCCAGCTTTGTACACCCACAACATCGAAACTGATGCTGACAATTCACTGTTAACCCTGAAACCACCTGGAGCAAGTGTCCATTCAAAGAGCTTAACTTCAACACTGCCCACTCTCTCCCCGCCGTGCGGGGCACATGCCGTGCGGGGACCCAGGGGAGCGAGCACGGGGCAGGCGCCCGCCTCTGCACGAGCAGCCCCTGGACGAGCAGGGCTGTCGACTGTTCCGGGACTGAGCAAAGGCAGCACACCCTTGTTCACAGAGACAGTTGAAGAGCCGTTCCCTTAAAAGCTGGAACTATTTTATTTTTTTACATTTATTGATTTTTAGAGAGAGGGGGAGGGAGAGGGGCAGAGAAACCCAGATGTTTGAGAGATACATCAATTGGTTGCCTCTCATGTGCCCCTAACTGGGACTTGGTCTGCAGCCCAGGCCTGTGCCCTGACTGGGAATCGAACCAGCGACCTCTCAGTTTACAGGCTGGTGCTCAGTCCACTGAGCCACACCAGCCACGCCAGCCGGGTCACATTTTAATAGCATTTGAAACTGACACGCAGCAGGAGGGATAAAACATTGGTTTTTATCCATTGTAGACACACTGCTACTTGGACTTTTCTTTTTTTTTGAAGATTTTATTTATTTATTTTTAGAGAGAGGGGAAAGGAGGAAGAGGGAGAGAAACAATCAATAGGTGGCTGCCTCTGGTGCGCCCCCTACTGGGGACCTGGCCCACAACCTGGGCATGTGCCTGACTGGGAATCGAACCCACAACCCTTTGGTTCACAGGTTCACGCTCAATCCACTGAGCCACACCAGCCAGATGATTTTCTTTTCTTAAAGCAACTTTTGTATTGTAAAAATGTTGATGTTAAATGTGCTCAAATGGGAATCCCAATGGGAACCAAGTTCTAATAAAGTGAAAGTCCACTGCAGTGATGGGCAGAACCGCTGGGCCCTGTCTACCTTGAAGGGCAGAAGCTGAGTGGACATTCTACACATAAATAACAGCAACCTGGGGACGGACAGGAGGGACACGGGGATCCGCCCTGGTCCTGTTAGGAGGAGACACGGCCACAGGCTCGGCTGCCCGTGACGGAGGTGGTCTCCCCGTGGTGCAGCGACACCGTGGGGTTCTGAGCCTCGCTGCGGCTCTGGGTCAGGCTCGCTTACCTGCAGCCCTTGGGGACAGCCCTGCACGGACTCAGCGCAGCCGCAGACACACGCGGCCTGTTCCGTTCAGAAGCGTCACACCAGAAGTGCGCCTCACGGGCGCCGCGGCTGCGCAGAATGCCACACCCTAAGTGGCCTGAGCCCTGAAGGAACCCCAGCTACTCTGCGTGACGTGCGCAGTGCTCTCGTGGGACAATGCAGGCCGTCTGCAGTGTCGTGGGCCTGGGGCACTCTACTGAGCATCCTGTCCACACCACCATTTACACACACATGCGCGCACACGCACACGCACACCCTCTTCATCCGAAAATCTTTGTTGGGCTTTGCTGTCAGAAACCCCTTTGTTCATGGAGAAGGGACACCAAGTTTTAGAGAGATCAAAAAAAAGTCTTGGCCAAGCCGTCGCTTGGCGAGTCACAGATCTGGCCACCGGGGGATCCGGCCTAGCACTGTTTTTACGGTGTCATCACAAGGTAACAGTCTGACCCCACACTTTTAAAGAAGGAAACAATTGAGGTTGAGTAACAAAGCAGAAGCACCCAGGCACAGGACACAGAAACCCCTCCAGTGAAGAGCACGTCGGCCACGCCGGGCCCTCAGTGCTGAGTCCGGGACACAGGCTTCCGCTCCCACACCCAGGTCCGTCAGCAGCTGGCGCGGGAGGGCGGGAGGGCGGGGCAGGGCAGACGTGGGCACCTCGTCACAAAGGTGGGTTTAGAGGAAACACGTGAGCCCAGTTCATCAAAGGACGGCCCGCCTGCAGCTCACGGGACCAAGATTATTTCTCCGTATCCTGCAGCTCACTGAACTCGCGTAGTGAGTGGGAGTGTGGGGAGCATATTTAAAAGGTAAAGAGGTTTTCTGTTTCTGAGTGTGATCCAGTGTTTTCCAGTGTGACTCCTCATCACAGATAACATGAGTGGGTGCTCCGTTGTGAGGGGACGGAGCCCGTCAGGGTGAAGGCCAGGCTGTCGGAGGCGCCCACGCAGGTGGTACCTGCATGCCCCGCCCCCTCAGACCGCGTCTGCACATGGACACCGCGGGACGGGGGCAGGGCGGCAAGGGACCCGGGCCACTCAGACACGGCAATCCTCTGAGCACTGCCCTTTCCGGTTGCTCAGCAGTAAGAAGGAAACAAAATAAAAATGAACGTTATCAAGCACAGTTTTCATAGATTTTACATGTTCAGATTTTTGGTTTACACTGCTTTCTTGTTGATAAAACTCAGAGAATGAAAGTGATGCGATGTTATTTTCCAAACCCCTGCACTGAAATGTGGTCCTGAAATCTAAACTGACCTTGACGAGACCCCCACTGGGGAAAATGAGAGCTCTCGCCACACACGGGTCAGCAGCGGGCACACAGAGTCCCGCCCCCTTCCCCTGGGAGACCCAGGTGAGAGCACTTCCCCTCCCCGTCCTGGGCCGTGACCGGCTCGCTGTTCACCAGAATCGACTCTGAGAGAGCGTTCGCAAGTACCTTGGGATAAATCAGAGTACTGCACCTACGAATGTGCTCTAAGAAAGCAAAACATCCGTGGAGGCATAAAACAATTTCACCTTTAAATAAAAATACTTTATTCATTCCTGACACGTTATCAAAATGTACATTGTTAACCAGGTAAAAATGGTACTTCGAAATGACTGACTAGGGCAAATTTGGAGGATTTTTGGTTAATTTAAAAGCGTAAACACACTTCCACTCTCCCCTTCCACACACTGCCCACAGCACTACGATGGCCTAAGTGAACGTTTAAACAACTACGTGGCCCAGCTCATACGGGTGCACATTTTCATTCACGCTCCAGATACACGAGGATTATTACACTTGCGTTACCCTCCTTTGCCAAAACTTCCAGGCTGATTCTTTCTGTATCTTGTGCATCTTTGTAAAATCACGGAAAGCAGACGGACAGCACGTGACTCGCACGGACCCAGAAACACACACACAGGATAAAGTGCAGCGCGACAGGACACTCGGGGACACGCCCGCTCCTGCGGGCGTGTGGGCGTGATGTGTTCCCAGGGCAGGGACCCGAAACCCGGCAGGCGCGGTGAGTGGCTCCTCACTGGCGTTCGCTCGGAAAATCCTATTTGCTTGGCTCTGCCCGTGGCCCTGTCTCTCATTCTCCGTGAAAGCTGGGAAGCTGGGATCCTTTTCAAACCCGGAGGAAAATCGCCTCCCGGAGCAGCGGGTTCCCAGGGCCCAACCACTTCCGAGCCGCGGTGCCTGCAACAGGGTCTCCGAGGGCCGAGCCCGCAGCCTGGGGAATCCGAGTCACCTTGACAAAGGCAAGCACTCCTCTACCTTGGCAGCAATGCTTTAAGGACTTTTGACACCAGCCACCAGACACTTGTACAGGCAAGTCCCAAACCAGCCCTAGAGTGGCAGCAGTTCTGGTTGCGCGTTTGGGGGATGTTAAATTACTTAACTAAGATATGCTTTTGTTCCTGAGATGAGCACAATGAAATTACCTGGGTTCCCTCTACAGCTGCCGATGGGACGATGGGACGCTCCGAACCTCAGCTCCACCCTCGTCATCACCCTCGTCGTCGTTGGAAGAGTCACCTCTGAAGCGTCAGTCCTCCCCGTGCCGCCACTTCTGGGACTCGTCTTGCCGGACATCTGGTCTCATCTGGTTCCTCATGCCTCCCAACACATTGGACGTTGCCTCCGTGGCGACGATCAGAGGTTTCACTACCGCTGGCGGGATCTGGCGCAGGACCTCGCCCACGGCGCCCGTGACCCCTCTGCTCTCGTGCTCGCGGGCCGCAGTCTCGTAAATGGTATGAGCTGTGTCAGCGATGCCCTGGAGGGGGCGGCAGAGAGGGGAGCCCGTCACTGGTGGGAAGCCCCCCTTATCCTAGAACACACACTTCAGTGGATTTATCCAACACGTTTGTTAGACCAAAAAGAAACAAAAGACCTGCCTCGGGGACAACCCAGGATAATTATTTTTATGGCAAAATTCTAATGATAAGAGGAGTGAGAGGCAATTGTCACGGCCGTTTTGCTGGGACCCAGCTAAACTGCAGTGCCCCTGAGGGAGGGCTGCCGAAGTGTGAAGGGCCAAGGCAGCTTCGCTGGCTGACTGACCCCTGTGGTCAAACAGCACACGAAGCTTCTGGAACAAGCATGGTCACTGCAGGAGTGTGGTGACAGTTCCTCTGAAGCAAGGGTAACAAGAAAACCCGGTTCTACTAAGCTCCAGAATATTAATTTGTTTTCAGTGACTGGCTACGCAGCAGAAAGGTAACTGTGGACCAGTCAGTTAAGACAAAGGGCTAAACAGAACATGTCATTGAACTACACGGAGGAAATTCTGGGAACATAAAGCAGGAGCGTATGTGACGATGACACACGGGGCTCCGGCATTGTCTGCCTGCCCTCCGACTGCCGGACAATGGCCCACTCGGGACTGCTGCGCTTTGGGGCCACGAAGACGAGCGTGTCCACAGGGCCACGGGGTGAAGCTGCGTACACGGCCTGGGGGTCTCCACCACCCGTCCAACTCAGAAACCCCCCAGGGGACAAGGGGCTCTGCTCCACGGTGACCATTTATTTCCGTGAAGCTCACAGGCCAAGAAACCGGGCTCCCCAGGGAGATCCAGCAGCCCCGTCCCTGCCCAGACTCCAGCCGTCGCTCTGATGAGCGAGCAAGGGGATCATCTCTTCCTGACACAGAAGGCAAAAACGCACAGTACTGGGGGGGGGGGGTCGAGGCGAAATGAAGTACGGAAAACTAAAAGAAAAAGATAATAAATGCTATTCTTTAAACCATCTCCCAGACAACGGGCAATAAGGGGAACATGAGCCCCCAGAAGAAAAGGCTCACAGTTTACACACTTGTCCACATCCTCTTCCTCCCCCTCTCTCGGCTGCTCTCCCCGCCCACAAACAATGAGAAGGTATTAGTTCATGAAGATAATTACCACCACCCAGCACGGAGACAACAGGAGTGAATTCACACGTGGCTCCGTCACTTGGGCCATGTGACCTCAGACCTTGAAACGGGGAAAGAACAGGCCGTGGCGGTTGTGAGTTGCATGAAGCATGTGAAGAGCGCGGCACGGCTTAGCGGGGACGAAGAGTTTAGTAACTGATCCCTGGACACCACCGCCACCCCCACGTGCGTAACCACCTGGCGGCCCCAGAGCAGAGCCGGCCCAGCAGCGTCGGCAAGCTTCCTCCCTAGTGCACCCCACGGGGACACCTGTGGGCCGCACGTCCCGGGTCGTTCACTCTGGTTTTTGCAATCCTCTAAAGCGGTACAAGTCATTCTTAGCTAGAAGGCCCTTATGAAGCAGCCCAGGCCGTCAGCTCTAACCTGCGAAGTCTAGTTTGCCGACCCTGCCCTGGGGGACGGGCCTGTCTGTGAGACACACGGGCTGTTCACCCTGGGTCTTTGAGCTGGTCACACCCAGCGGAAGCAGAGACATGTATCACCACTCAGGAAGCTCTAGTCAAAGAGTTTTGTGAAACAGAATTCAGATTCAGTCTAACCAAGCACACCCTACCACCTCTGCGCACTCTCCCAGCTCCTCCCTGCCTCCCTCCATTTTTCACATCGGCAGCTTCCGAGAGGGAGAACTAAACATGAGACCCAGTGCCCAGTTCCTGTCCCCGTCCACTGCCGACTGGCCACGGGACACGGGAGGCCATGCCCACTGAGCCTGCTTCCTGGCCCCCGAGTAAGGAAAACCACCAGGCTGGAAGTCTGCACACAAACGCCAATGTAAAGCAGGTGCAGGCGAAGCCTCTTACAGACAGAAGTGCCAGCCAGCCAAGAGGGAGGGTAGCCCGCTGCCCTGCTCTGCGCGCTGCCCCGGGGTCACTTCCACCCCCCGATACATCCTCACGTATCCACCAATAACGGGCCATCCCACCACCTGCAGGAGCAGGTCTGACGGGTAATTACATCCCTTTATTCTCCCGACTGAATCCCCTTCTAAGAAAAGAGACCCACGGTCTGGCCACTAATAATTTCCTTGGGGGCCCTGCCTCAGTGGTCTCCTCCCAGTTTGGGACGCCAGAGGCCACTTCTGTCGGCCAGACGGCTGCCTGAGGCACTGCTGCCTGCCAGCGTGTGGTGGGGAAAACACCTTCCGTGAAACCCTAATACACCAACCGTGAGTGAACCTCGGACTCCAACTCCATGTCACGTTAGAAGGAAGGTTGAAGAAGATTAAGACAGGAAGTGCCCCGACACCAGCAGTGAGAACCAGGGCTCAGCGATGCAGCTGAACGAAGATCTGGCAATGTTTGGTGAATGTCAAGGTGCAAGTTGTTGCGAATCATCAATTCTACCTCACGAGCAAAGGGACTTTTCAATGAACCTTCCTACAGCGATGTTTTAGAGAAAAACGGAAACTCGGTGTCCACCAATAGCGAAATAAACAAACTGTGCTATGTCCACACAATGAAATACTGTAACAGAGGTTACATTTGCTGTCCATACATCAACATGGACACATCTTGAAAGATGTAAGTTACAGAGTGATACATACAATATACCATTTATGTTAACTTTTAAATTCAAACGATGAGATGTGTTGCTTCTGAGTAGATACTTGCAAACTGAAACTAGGAAAACACGTAAGAAGAATCTGTACCACCTCCAGGACAGTGGAGGCAGGGAATGGGATCAGGGTGAGCGAGTCACCTGAAAACTTGCATGTTTTAAACAAACGTGAGTAAACACAGTGAAGTATAAATGGGCACTGAATCCAGCTGGTGAGAACCTGGTGTGAGTGCTATTCCTTGCTTGCTTCCGTGCAAGACCGTGGGGCGGAATAAAGTGGAGTGGACAGGAAAACTGAAACTGCACATGCACTTTCTAAAACTCTCCGAGACGGAGCCCATCAGTGAAGCGTGAGCCCGCCGGTCCCGGGCACCTGCCCGGCCGTAGGGAGCATGTCCAACTCCACTCCCAGGGGCTCTTCGGGAGGAACCCCAACCACTGATCGCCGTTTGGAGAAGCGTGGACACTAGTTCCGGCCTGTCCCACGCCAGTGGCACCTACCTCTTTCACGACGCTGTAGGCCTTGGCCACCCCTTCCCGCAGGTCTACCGGCTGGTGGGCTAGGCGGTGATGCGGGAACCTTCTGGGCTTCTTGGGCTCGATGGAAAGAGTGCCGGGAGACACCATGTCATAAGCAGTCTCTGCCGCCGCCTGGTCGTGTTACAGAAAGTAAGAAAGGACTCGGAAGACGGCCTGGACTGACGGCCGAGAGCGCACTTCCCGCAGGGACGGGGAGCAATGGAGGGGGTGCACCCTCCCGGGTGCTTCAGCAGGGTCTGAATTCTTTACAAGAACAGGCTGCCTTTGCAGTAGGAACATCAGGGCACACATTCAAAACTGACACTCTTAGTCGTGCTGACTGGAGTGGTCCCTCCTCTGCCCTCTGAGGCCCGTCTCCCCGTTACCAGGTTGGTTGGGAACGCTCAGCCCACATCAGGTCAGCTGCAGCTTAACACTTAACACGGCAAACCTTCACACAAGCACCCTTTCGTCCGTAAGGCCGCCTTTACATTCAGCCATGACCTTATCATGTAAATGTGAGATAAATCCTTGGTAACTGAGTGGTTATAATTAACCAGAAATAGGCAAACAAATCTAACACTGTATTCCACTAACTCTACTCATTATTTACCACTGCGTAACAGATTAAAAAAGCATGATATTAAATCATTACAAATAAAATATCTACTCTCCACATTCTGCATATTTTCAGTGTCATTAAAAAAAATGACAGACCCGTTTTGCAGTGGCTCCTCCCCTCTGTGCAGACCCAGGTAGCGGAGGGAGAGATACCTGTATGGTCTGAACCATCCTGTTGGTGAGCTCCAGGGCGGCCATGGCTGTGCAGGTGCCGAAGGAGGCAGCGCCTCTCTGGAAGCCTCTGACGATGCGGCCGTCCTTCCGGTACTGCTCTATGGGCAGCCAGACCAGGTCCTTCAGGCCTTGCACTGGAACGAGAGGGGCCGCAGTCAGCTGCCAGGCTGGGGCTCAGCCCTCTGCTCACATTCCAGCCCTGGGCTTTCTAACCCCTGGCAGGGGAGGCCGAGTTCCGTGTGTGACTACAAAGGTGGCTTTTCTAGAAAGATGCTCCTCACACGGACCCTCCAAGGCACCCATGACCGGAAAAGGGTTACGTATCACGGATTAGATAAAAAAACGACTGAAAAGGAAAGCTCACCTAACTGCACCAGTGAGTGCATGGGCCCCACGCCGCCCAGGATCCCCGGCAGCTGGTTCTTCTTAATGTCGGTCAGCCACTCGGTGATCGCGTAGGAGAGTAACTTGTCAACGCCTAGCAAACTAGAGCACACACTGTTAGTACACAGGGAGGAGAAGAAATGTACAGCTCTCGGTAAGTCTGGGGAATGTTTTTACTTAAGGCCAAAGAAAATTACATCTTACAAGGACAGAATATTACAGGTGCTCAGTCTGAGCATACATGTAAATAAGTGTACACACACGTGTGACGCAGCTGTGATGGTAGGAATTCCCGCAAGGCTCAGGCAGCAGGTGCAAGTGTGTTTTACCACCGTGCTGACTTCTTCAACATCTAAGGCTGCGGCAGGGGACTAACTCAGCGTCTGCAAGTTGCCGTGCAGTTCTCAGCTATGGAGAGCTGGTGAGAGCCCTGTGCACCCTCAGCCTTTTCACTAAATAAGCCGACTGACTAGTTTGGGACATTATAAAAAAATAGGATAACTATAGCTGTTTTGGAAAAAGACTACTCTGCTAGAATTACTCTCTCAGAATTCTAGTCTCTCAGAATACATCTCAATAAGGATCCTCTAAAAATGAGCTCTCTCCAAACAATACTGTAAACTAAGTCACGTATGCTTGCTCAGAAAACTCCATTTTCCCTTTTTATAAACTCGCTTTAGCAACCTCACGCTGAAGCCCCGTGCGGTGAACCCACCTACCCGTGCCGGTAGAAGAGCCTCTTCAGCTTCAGCTCCGAGCAGTTTAACTGGGCCAGACCTATCAAAATGCCAGCGAAGGTGCCCTTGAAAACACAAATAAAAAGGCCACATTGACCTGTAAATCGAGAGACTGAACATTTAAAATAGTTAGTAGTTGGGAAAGTCAAAGTCATATTCACTAATGAAGCTAAAACATTTAAAACATTTATGGCAAAACAATACATGTTTTATAATAGCTATGACCCAATTTATATCAACCCCCAGGGGTTCTTAAGCGAATGGTATTTAATTTAGTGTAAAAACAGAATTAAAGTTTAAAACTTGCACTTTATCTCATATATAAAACTATGACAGAAAAAAACAATTTTTAAACTGAGCGCATCAGAAAAACAAATGGGGTAACTTTGTAGAGAATCTTTACACAAAGTTTCCAAACCTGATCCATCGATACATGTTTGCCGTGGTAATCGAGTCGAATAGGAACTTCTGATGTGAATCTAAATTCTCTGAAGATAAAGAAAGAAGGGGAGTTATTGATATGAAAGTTACTAATAGTTAATTTGATCTAAATTAATTTGTTCAATTGGAGAATAAAAACAAAGCCAAAAATAAATAAAAGAGAATGCCTTTCGGCTTTACTTTTTCTTAAGGTAACATAACAACTAAACCAATGTGAATCATCTTATAAGTCATCGTTTTATTATATTTCAAATTTCTCATAAAAACCTTTTCCTAGTTTACTAAGTAATGTTCATCTTAGAAAAATTTTACTCTGGTAGATATTCTCAATTTATACAGACAGCAAATTAATAAAAGCAACCTTCAAGACTAAACCAAGTAATATAATCATCACCAAAGAGTGGGAAGAAAAGAGGCGACGTGCTCACTCGTGGCTCCACCTCGAAGCAGAAAGAGCCAGGGACAGCGGGCACGGGTCCCCGTTTTTAGGGGGGCGCCGTCATGGGCACGGCACTTGCCCTCGCTGAGCCAGAATGGCTTTGAAAATAAATTTTTGAAACATTACCTACACTGGTGAGTTTTAATGAGCAGTCTTTATTTTTAATCCTCACCCAAGGATATGTTTATTGATTTTAGAGAGAGAAAGAGAAAGGAACAACGACATGAGAAACAGTGACTGGTGGCCTCCGGGACGTGCCCTGACCGGGGATCAAACTTGCAACCTTCTGCTGTACGCCAGGACAACGCTCCAACGCACCGACCGGCCCGGCCAGGACTCAGTGAGCGTCCCTGAGATCAGTGCTTGTAAACCGGATGTCCACACACAAGCACTGGGAGTTCTTTGAGAATGGAACTCTGCAAGGGTGGCACCCACCACACAGAAGCACTGGCTTCCCAGGCTGAAGTGTGAACTGGAACCTGAAGCACATTTTTGCTACAGAATTAATGTTGGTGACTGTATCCTAAACCATCCCCCGGAGACGGCTGAGCCCACGGAACCTTGAAATGCTGTAGTCACGCCAGTCACTACAAGAAGCCTGGGCCGCGGGCCATCTCTGGCCCTCTCGCATGCACCTCCGTGCTGTGAGCAACGGCCCCTCGCCACCTGCCCCCTGTTCTTTTACTCTTCTCTCCTCCTTGACTCGACATAGGACACATCACCCGCTTTCACTGGGTTTAAGCTCAGTGAGGTGGGGATTCTTCTGTGTCTTGTTCACTGAGCCTAGAATACACTGTGGCGTGCATGCGGATGGTAAGGGCTCAACAAGTACAGGGTGGGGCGCTTTTTTTACACTTCAATTTCTTTTATACCCATTATCCAGTATTCACAATAACTGAATTGGTAATTTATGCAAATTGTTACTGAGTACACAGTTTTCTGGTAGAAGTTTTTAAGAGAAAACGATCAATGTGGGACAGAAGCAAGAGAGGCCCTTCCTTTGCAGCGGGAAGGCTGGGACCACCGCGACCGTCCAGCCCAGGGCCTTTCCCACGGTCACAGTCTGGGGTTTTCCGTCAACATACAAGATACTCAAACATAAAAACCATTTAAAAATGGTTATACTGCAGCCCTGGCCTTGTAGCTCAGTTGGTTACAGCTTCATCCTGCACACCAAGGTCATGGGTTTGACCCTGGTCAGGGCACACACAAGAGACAGCCAATGAAAGCGTAAATAAGTGGGATGACAAAGTGATGCTTCTCCTTCTCTCCCCCACCCTTCTTCTCGTTCTCTCTCATCAATAAATTGAAAAACAAAAAGTTACAGCGCTTGCTTTGGGCAGGACTTAGAGGAAGACAGAATTTGGGGGCCGCCAAGGTCAGCAGGAGAGGAGCACAGAAGATCGGGGACGTGGCTCAGTGCCCCTCACAACACAGGTGCGTTTCATCGTCACCCTTTCTCCTTCCAGCAGAGCCGAGGCTCCGGGCCACTGTCGAGGGCTGGGAAAGAAGTAAGCTGGGGAAATGAAGGGTCTGTGAAGGAGGGACGCACCCCCACGTGTAAGAGTGGTCAGGGCTGACGGCGCCAGCCCAGGGTCTGGCTTCCAACAGGGCTGACTCAGCCACGAGGGGACAGGCCGGGAAGGACAGGGCAGTGATGGGGGAGGACACACAGAGAAAGCTGGATAGGAAGTTCCAGCAGGGAAAAGGGAGGAAGGTCGACGCTGAGGTGGGTGAAGGAAAAGAGGAACCAGCTCAGTGTTCGAGGAGGCACCAAAAAGCCATTCGGCAACCGGGAAGAGAAGGGCAGCAGGAGGGGAACGGAAACTGCTGCTATAGAACCAACAGAGGTGGCCCCCAACCTGGGCTCCTGCCTGTAAAACGGGAGGGGACGTCAGGTGGGTCCCCAGCTGATGGCTGGCAGTGCACAGAGAAGCTGATGGGAGCTCACAACCACCGTACATGAACACGTTAAAGAACCATCTTCAAAACTCAGAAAGAACTTCACGTGATCAAAATGAAAGGATTCACCTAAAAAACACAGGCTGGTCACTAAACGACACTTCTTCGGCCGCGAAGTCCTTGTCTCCCTCCCCGTTGGCCACTTCCTCGGAGCCGGCGCCCTCACTCCGGGCAGGCTGCTTTGGCCCAGGGAAAGACAGGACCAGGCTTGGCTCCTTTGAGGCACTTAAGCGCCTCGGCACACTGCAGGTGACATCGGATCCGGGAGACTTCTTAACTGAAAACGTAACGTGCACATGTGAACATGGGTTTGCTTCCTTCCAGGCGCTGTTCAAGTCACTCCAGATGTAACCCACTTTGCTACATTTCATTTAATAAACAGTCAACTGCTACGGAGAAAACTGACTTTCACCTTTTAAATGATTACTTTCACATGAACTACATTTGCATAATTTAACGAAAATAAACACAGAACACGTCTGTATAAATGAAGATGAAAACTATGTAAGTACATTCTCCAAAAAGCCCAATAATGAAATCCGCGCAGTCGTTACGGACTGTGCCTACTCCACACTCGGTACCTTCCGGATCGGGGGCCATCAGCAGTTCTACTTCTGTAGACAGACTCGTGAAGAAATCCTTCAGGAAGAACAAGGCGTCCTAAAGTGAGAGATGTAGTTGTGAGTAAAAGGAGGGGGAAGGTACACCTGTCTGCCAAGCTTTGAAACAAAGTATCGGGAAGCCCCGCATTTTCGCCAATTATTCAGAGACAGCTATAACTGACGGAGTCCTTAGTAGAGGTCAGACGTTGTTCCTGCTCACTCTCTCTCTGTCTCACACACACATTCACACACACCTCCTCCGAAAAGTGACCTTATGGACGTGAAAATCAAGACACGGAGAGGTTCTCAATCAATGCACGTTTGCATTTTCCTCCCCACCACTGAGCCACTCCATGTAAGCTCTCACTCCCATTGCTCGTGGTGGCATTACCAACAGTGACAGCTGGCACGTTCCGGGTGCTTACAGGTGCCGTCATAGCTCTCTGTCTGATTCCTGCTTTCACCCCGATGTTATACTGCCTTGACACACTCTTCACTGGGCATGATGTTCAAAATGAAAATTTAAAGCAAGTAAAATCACCCATTCAGTTTGGTCTCTTCTGCAATTACAGGACCATAAACAAAAACACGCGGCTCTGTCTTGACGCTGTACACGCGAGCCTCACTGGCCCACTTTCAGCAGCTCCATCTGTCCACCTCACTCAATTTCAAAGAATCTGCCTGGCTCCTGACCATGTTTATAGAAGTATAGATAATAAAGGCCACAAAGGTGTTTTTCTGGGTAATATGGCAGATGGGACTGAAGAACAAGCAGGTAGTTCCGACAGTATTGGAAATACTCTGCTTCTGCAAGTAGGGTGATGGGTTCATGAGTTATTTGTCATGCTTCGCACGTGTATATTTATATATTTATGTTACATACATTCGTTATATGTTGCTATATATGTATGTATGTATCTTTCAAGTATTAGATGTCAACAGTTAATAATATATAAAATGTTACCTTTTGGCCACTAGATGGCGGTATTTTAATGCTATGCTTTTTACTATGCCTGCCTTCAAAAAACACAGAAAATTCCAGGTATAAATGTGCTTTCTTAAAAAAGGAAGATTAAAGAGACAGTGGTTTACCCATTTTCACTATAAATGCACAAAACGACAGACAAAGGGATACTAATCATCAGCTCTTCAAAATGTCCTCAAAGTTTTAGATTCTGGTATTTGTGCTAAACTCTTTACAGAGTCCTAAGAGAAATTTCCTAAATTGAAAACTAGCGACACAGAGACACCTCACAAAAGAAGGTAAACGAATGGCCAATAAGCACATGAAAAGATGCCAGCACCCCAGTCACCAGGGAACTCGGAATTAAAGCCGGCGCGCACACCAAGCGCAGCAGCTGGAACCGGAAAGACAACCCACGAGTCCGGTCAGAGCACGAAGCCTGCAGTTCCGGTGTCGCCGGCAGGAGGTGCACTGGTGCGGCCACCTCGGAAAACCGTTTGGCCTCAGGATAGTGCCACAGCACCTACCCCATGACCCGTGGACTCTGTTTATGCTGCCCAATAAAAAGGAAACCGGCTGGGATGGGAGTAAAAGACAGAAAACTGTACTTGAACAACAGTTAAAATAAAAAAATTAAAAAGCATGCATTCATAAAAAGATGTGTACACAATTTCCCAACAGCTTTATTCATAAAAGCCTAAAACAAGAAAGCGACCTGAGTGTAAACCAGTGAGTGAGCGACTAAACAGGCATGGCAAACCCACGCAACAAAACACCCCTCAGCGGCAGCGCAGACGGCCCCCACGGACACGCGGCTGAGGGGCTGGTTACAGCTCCACTTATGTGACGTGGCGGATGGTGACCGCTCGCTCACCTATGGCCGTGGAACTGAGGCGGGTGGTTGCTTTGGAGTGATGGAACCTAAAAATCTGGTTTATTGTTCATGCCAGACTTGCACTGTAGTTATTTTTAGCTCTTTCAGTGTCGTGCTCTGGCAGTTGAGTAACGATGCTGAACGCCCACCCGCCAGTGTGCACCTGGCCCTGCCGCACTCTCACCGTTTCCAGCCTCGGCTGAGCAGGCGTCCGCTTTCCTACCCGAATGGCCTCGCATCTCATCGGATCACCTGAATCAGGCCCTCACGCTCCCACAAAAAACTCAACGAGGCTGTATCCGTGGCCCTCATTAAGACCCCCTCAAGAGTCACCTCCTCCAGAAAGCCTTCCCTGATCACCCCTCACTCTTTCACACCCCTTGGGAGCCCTCTTGGGGTGGGGCCTCTCATTCTGAGCCCATCTTCATCACCTGCACTGCCCACAGGTGTTAAGCCAGGCTTTCTCTTGGTGTCCCCACACTGCACAGAGATCTTTGAGGGTGTTTATTAATCTTTGTAAGCCCAGCAGCCCTGTATAGAACTGGGATGAGCTTGGCATACAGCGAAGGTCTTGGACTTAATTAGCATATATTCCAGGCAGTGCAATTCTAAAGCAAAGACTAGCTTAGGAGAGTCGGGAGTTCTGCCCCCTTCCTATTCTGAATCTCAAACTGCCTGGCTCTACGACCTTCCTCACCTACTTAGGAGGTCACTCCCTCGGCCTGGTCTCCTGCCCACCCTTCGGGCATGCTGTGCTTTGGCAGCAACTGCGCTGAAATTCAACAGCGATGCAGCTTTTTAAACACATGAGGAACAATGTGTTGCTTTTATACGTACTGCCCATGAGCCAGTGAAGATGAATAAAGCAGAGATAAGCTTGGTAAGAAAAATACTGCTCCACGCATTATTATTCATCAACTGACTTGTTTTCAAAACAGAAAAGGGAGAACACAAATTATCTGCTTTTCTGTTCAGATGACTGTTTGCTATCTCAACAGTCCAGATGACCGGGCTGATCTCAGAAGGGGTGGACGGGAGGGGCTCCGCCATCCTTGGGAAACTGCCTCTCAGGGGCTCACCTGCCTGTGGCTCCGCGCCCAGATGTCTTGGGGATCACTGCTCCTCAGTTTAGCCATTCCATTTACTTCCCTGACTGCTTTCTCTGAGATTAATATTCCCCTACAGTGCCGTACAGTTGTAAAGAAGACATTAAGCTCACTGTTGAAGAAAAAAGTCTATTAAAGAGAACTGGGCTCCCTGAGTCTGGTAAAGTGACGCCGTGAAGGTGTTCCCTGCTCCACTCCTTGCTCACGTGTGACTCCCACAGATGGGGTGTCCCATCACTGCCGCGCCCTGTCCCTGCCAGGCCCGTGTGCAGAGAAACCGAGCTGTGGGCATCGGAAGACCCCGCTCTCACAGCGAGAGACCCAGGTCTGAAGCGCTCCCCGGTGAGTCTGACGCAGCTCAGGGCCACAACTGTTGGAGCTGCGCTCAACTCCTCTGCTTCAGAATACGTTTTCTCTGAGATATGCCTGTTTTGTTTACGAAATAAATATTATTTAAGCTTATTCCTGAAATATCTGTTATGTACTTAAACTACAAATCAGCAGTATTCAGTCAACATTAAGTGAACAAATAACGCCACCCCCCCACACTGACCCCATTTCCAACCCCAACGTGCACCCCCATCAGCTGAGCGGAGGGGGCGCCGCGCCAGACGCAGAGGGTTTCTGAAACCCCACTTACACTCTTCAGCTGTGGCGCGCCTCTGTCGGACATTGCTGATCTTTAACCTTCTGTGCCAGGCACCAAGCCTCACACTTTCACACACTGGTCTCATGTAACCCTCTTTAAAAATAACGACGCGGACTTCCGCCAAGATGGAGACGTAGATGGAGGATCCACCTCGCCTCTGTGCACAACCAAATCTAAGAACAACTATTTTTAACAGCAGTCACAACCAAGCCACACGGAAAAATCGACAATACGGAGTCCAAAGGACAACTAGATACTCGGCTGGACCGGTACGAGGAGCGAGGCCAGCAGCGGAGCAGGTTAGCAAGAAAAAATTCGCGGGGCGGTGCGCGGCGCGCGCAGGCAACCGAGGGCACAGATCGCCAGCCAGCTGGCTGCCGGAGCGCACAGGGAAGAGGCGCGGCGATCGGTCGGTCGGTCGCGCGCATTTACGTGGGGAGAAGCCAGTGAGAAGGGAAGCCGGCGCGGGGCAGCAGGCTCGCGCAATTCCGATCGGATAAACCCCAGGCGTGCGGAGTGACTGGAAACGCTGGGCTAGTGGAGAGGAACGCCATTACTCCCTCTCCGACCCCGCCCCCACACACAGCGTCACAAACCAGCGACCTGAGTCGCCCCTTCCTGGTAAACAACTAAGGCTTCGCTCCGCTCACTTAACAGCGCGAACAGACCAAAAATGGCTCTAGGACAACTCAGAGCCCCAGAACCGATAGACCTAAGTGATGAAGAAATAGCCAGTCTTTCAGATGCACAGTTCAAAACACTGGTTATAAGGATCCTTACAGAACTGGTTGACTTTAGCCACAAATTAGAGAAACATATGGAAGCTAAATTAATTGAAATGAATGGGGATACAAAAGATTCCAATAGCAATGGAAAGAAAATTGGGACTCAAATCAAGGGAGAGAACCAGAAGGAAGAAAAAAATGATCAAACAGAAAGGAATGAAGAAATAAGAATTCAGAAAAATGAGGAGATTAGGAACCTCCAGGACATCTTTAAACGTTCCAACATCCGAATTATAGGGGTACCAGAAGGGGGAAAGGCACAACCACCAGTTGAAAAATTATTTGAACAAATAATAAAGGAGAATTTCCCCCAAGATGGCAAAGGAAATAGACTTCCGAGAAATCCAGGAAGCTCAGAGAGTCCCAAAGAAGTTGGACTCAAGAAGGAACACACCAAGGCACATCATAATTACATTAGCCAAGATTAAAATGAAGGAGAGAATCTTAGAAGCAGCAAGAGCTAAGGGGACAGTCACCTATAAAGGAGTTCCCATCAGACTGTCAGCTGATTTCTCAAAAGAGACCTTACAGGCAAGAAGGGGCTGGACAGAGGTATTCCAAGTCATGAAAACCAAAGATCTACAACCAAGATTGCTCTACCCAGCAAAACTTTCATTTAGAATGGAAGGACAGATAAAGTGCTTCTCAGATAAGACCAAATTCAAGGAGTTCATCATCACCAAGCCCTTATTATATGAAATGTTAAAGGGACTTACCTAAGAAAAAGAAGATAAAAAAGATGAACAGTGAAAGGACAGCAAACTCACAGTTATTAAGAACCATACCTAAAACAAAAGCAAACTAAGAGGATAGCTAGATCAGGAGCAGAACCATAGAAATGAAGATCTCAGGGAGGGTTAGCAATAGGGGAGTGGGAGGAGGGGAAGGGGGGAGAAGGTACAGAAAATAAGTAGCATAGACAGTAGATAGAAAATACATAGGGGGAGGGTAAGAATAGTAGGGGAAATACAGAATCTAAAGAAATTGAGACACATGTTCATGAACTAAAGGGGGAAATGGTGGGGGAGGGGTATGCAGGGTAGAGGGGAAGGGAGGGGGGAATAGAGCAAATGTAATGGCATAATCAATATAAAAAAATAAAATAAAATAACGACGCTACACGTGTTACTATCTCTTCAATTTTACCTATGAAGAAACTGAGGCTGGAGAAGTTAAGTAACTTACCCCAAAACTACCAACTAGTAAAAGAAAATTCGGATTTACACCCAGGTCCGACTCCAAGCTGAGTCTTCACCACCGCACCGCACCTCCACATTATCTTGAATCAAGTTTGCAGAAGATTGCTTTGCACAGCAATTTAGCTCAGAGCAAAGCCCAGAATAATCGGATGAGATGCTGGCTGGAATATGGGCCAGTGGATTTCTCCACGTCTTTCCACAAACCCCTGCTGTCTGTGACCTGTTTAGGTGCCAACGCACTAATCTGTCATTTTCCCCAGGGCAGAAGGGATTGCCTTCCAAGTGCGGTGAGTGAGACACAATCCTTTAAATGTTTCGATCACGCAGCAGGGACTCCATTAAGACTCTGGATACACCCGCACATCTACATTAGAGGCAGGGACGCTGGAGTCAGGATGAGGGGCAGGTCCCAGTGCTGCTCCACCCAGACAACCAGTGGGAGACTGCACGTCTAAGAACGTCCGCCCGCCGGGAGTTCTGGTTCCAAGAGCCCCGAGAACTAGCCCTGTTCCCCACCAGCAGCGGTCTGTGCTAACAGAGCAACTTCCACAAAAGTTAAGTAAGCATTTAACACTACTGAATGAAGCCTGTCATCCGGAACGTGGGGCCGGTGCCTCCTGCTAGCCACGAACCTGGTCGATGTTGAGGCGCAGCGGCATGAGCGACACCCTCAGACAGCATTCCTGCGGCGAGCGGCCCGACTCCGGGCGCACGTGCAACGCCTTCACCGTCAGCTGCCGAGACACAAAAGGGAAGGACGTTTTTCCTCAATGATGACTCTGTTCTCATTTCAAAAAGAGAGACGAATGTTACATTTCCATTCCCTATGTTAGAATAAAAAGTGGACTTGTCTACCCTCCCTCCTTAAAAACCTACATGCAAGTTTTCTGGGTCACACATTCCCTCGGGAACCTGCGGAAAGCTACGGACTCTCTTGGGGTGGGGGGAGGCGTGTAAGGCAGGCGCGGTCTCTGGGTGGCCCACGGAGCCCCTGAGGCTGACCCACAGACTGTGCTGCAGACACGGCAGCCCTCGGCTGGTCACGTCTATCCTACCAAAGAGCTGGACTATCAGCGATCCGAACCCTTCCAGCAACACTACATGTTTGGTGCACATCTCTCTGGAGTTCACGTCATCCTTAGGTAGGATGCAATTTTAACCCCAGAAGCGACAAGCAAAGTAATGTTTAAGCCCTAAAACTTTCAGCAGCATATTTAAAAGGGGTTTTCATATTAAATTGAGAAAAATTATCCAGTAATTCTCCCCAATCTAAATCTCATGCAGTCAGATATAACAAAACCCTTCTCTAAAACTCGCGTAACGGAAAACACAACCTCACCATATTGGAATGAGCTTTCCGAGGCATTTCCTTACTGCAGTACAGGTACAGGAACTTATTCATCTGCGAGGCGGCCAGGCGGTCCCGGATCTCCAGGTCCTGCACGATGAACACCTGGCGGGAGACCGGGTGCTCCGGCAGGCTGGGGCCGCCCTCCGGCCTGCAGGGCGGGTAGACCTCATGCTGGAACTTCACCTGCAGAGACAGGGGAGGGGCACAGGGCCGTCTCGACATTTTAATTCAACGGGGTTTTTCTCTCTGCAAGGCTGAGCATCACTCATCCCAGTCTCTGCATTCTCAGCTTTCCAACCCTCCTTCAGAGAACGTTACATTCCTTCATCTGCTCACTTCCTTACAGATCTGTGTGCACCCCCTACCCCAGGGTCAGCTCAGCTGACATTTCTTATCTGACCTTGGTAAAATCCCTACCCTTTTCAAGCAAAGCCCTCCAAAGGAATGAGACATAAAATGATCATCTTGCACATCTATGAAACGGCTGAAAATGAATCAATGAAAGCGGGGTTCAGGCTCCAAAGCAAGGACACCCTTAAACAGACGGAGCTGACTTCACTATAATATTCCAAGTTAAGCACCCTAACAGAGGACCCTCAGACCGTCCCAGACAAGTAGCAGAATTAAATGCAAACGGTGTCACTGGGGGCCCAACCCTGTTGGCCCCTAGTCACTCACAAATGACCCGCCAGGCCATTGCCCAACAGGAGGCCCTCCCAGGAAGGTGCTCCAGGCAGCGGTCCCCAAGTGCAGCCTGCGAGAAGCAGTGTCGGACTCACCCGCGAAGGCGTTAAAAATGCCTGTCCATGGGCCCTGCCTCTGACCTACCAAATCAGAAACTCCAGGGCCCAGGAACCTGCACCGGGACAAGCCCTCGGGGGGGGCTCTGGTGCCTGCCTGTGGGGGGCAGGGTGGCTCACTTGGTGAGCCCTCACGAGGCTCCGCTTCCAGTGGGGTTTTCCTTCCCAAATGCCATCATCTTACCTTGCTTAACTGTATTTCCATCAAAAAGTCATGGTTTCTTCCTTTTCCCCCACACGCCGTATTGCGTCCATGTCTTGTGGGTGTGTGCGAGGGGGAGCTGTGGGGGCTGCTAGAATGGGAAAAAACACCTCTGGTTAAGGGAATGTTCAAAGAGAGGCCATGACCGACCTCAGGAAAAACAGCAAGATGAGAAAAGAGGATGAGCCCAGAGCTGCCCGAGCACACAGACTGAGTGACTACACAGCGAAACTGGCTTTCATACTGGGACACACCGAGAGCGTGACTTGCATTACCGACCTCACCAAGGCCATCGTCAGCTTGCTACGCCAAGTAAACCCTAACTGCAATGTCGGGGTTCCTGTATCAGGACAGACCTGGACAGGAGACTCTGTTCCTCGTCACTTCAGAAACCCGACAGTCAGAGTGCAAGTCCCAGAAATCCCAGTGAGTACGTGAAAGAATCACAGTCAACACTCAGTGTTCAAAAAATTACTTTTTGATAGAAAAAGCCACTACACAGTCATGCCAAAGGTTGCCACCTTGTGAAGCCCTTTCTGCAGCCCGCCCCCCGGGGAGAATGCCAGCCTGCTCCCCAGTTCGCCACCCAGTTCTCTTCTACCTCCACGGAGTGCCACCCCCGCGCACCAAGGACTCCGGCAGCACGGACCCCACGTGGCACCCGATGGGACGCCGGAGATTCCGGGGTGGCCACGGCCCCTGTCTCCAACGCACTCACGTCCCGCCCTCATCTGCACACACCCGTCTCTCCCTGTCGAACCCAGGGCAGTGTCTGAGCACATCCACTGTAGGGACTGTGCCTCTTACTCAGGCTTTGGCACACAGAGGTACCCGAAAAATTTTGCAGGATGGAGATCACTTAAGTCACCACATTTTACTAAAAATGCAAACACTTCAGACAAGTCTACGCAGCAGAAAACTCTAACGTTTAAAGAGTAACACTTAAATTACAGCTTTTTAATACTACTTTTTAAATAATTCTTAAAATGAGAAATGCTACGTATCTTTCTACAAAAAGAATACGCTGTCCTGCCAGATAAACTTGCGTAGAAATTAATTTAACTTACATGTAACTTTTAGCGGGAGAAGTAGGAGGGGCAGTTCCAAAGTCCTTCCCCCCATAGAGATGCCAAACAAGGGAGACCTCTTTAACGACGTAGCGAACCACGGGCGGGGGGAAGCGCACGGGGGCCCTGCCCGTGTCCGTCTTCTTGACGGGCAGGCTGAAGTAATTATCTCTTATCACAATGGTGTCATCCACCATTATTTTCACCTCGGGCTCCTCCTCCTTCTCCTAAAAGAAAGGAATGGGTAACACCGCTGCCTTGTCTCAGGGAAAACCACTGGTCGTGCTGCCTGTCTCACCGAGACGTCTTGATTCTGCACCCTCTCCAGTAGTTTCAGTGTGTGAAATGGGAAAGTGAGTGCTGACGTTTACAATCACAGAAGATGTTCTGTGTTATCGACCATAAAGGAGACTCCGTTCCACGCAAAGTACTCTATGCGAATTTTCTCTAATCTGGAATCTGACTTTTACTATATGACTGACAATAAAAAGGCGCATTTAGTGTTTGTCGAAGTGTGTGTACGTGTGTGTCTGCACAGTTCTTTAATTCAAAGTCGACCCTGCATTCCCATTCTTCAACATCCTGACCAAACTACTGTGCCCCTGACAATGAGTTCGTCCTGAACTTGGCAGCCTTTATTCTTTCCATTCCCCACAGCTTAGTCACAGAAACACACTCACCTACTAAGTTACCACTAGACAGTTTAAAACGCATGCTCACTAAATGGTGTTTCACTTTGAATGGGGTTCGGTTCTAGCACCGAACCCCTTGGGTTAGTGATGTATCCAAAGCAGACCACACTTTGAAACATGAGCACGACTCTGAAGTGGAGACTGAGTGAATCCATCAGCCCTCAGCCTTCTCCCAAGCCGCGCCCGAGCTTCCCCAGTCCTGGGACCAGCAAGTCTGTGCAGTGCCCCTTCCCACCATGAAACTCCCCACCCTTCAGAGCTACCTCACAGCCCACGACCCTCACAGCCCGACCACCCACCAAGGAGCTTTTACGAGCACAGAGCACTCTTCTCTGAGTCTGAGAGATCTCTCCTAACAACAGGAACGCGTAACAAATGCTTACAAAGCATTGATAGTGAACCACAAAGTATTTCTGAACTGTGAAGAATCAAAATCTGAAGAAATTTTTAGGCCTCTGGTCAACTCAATCTGCGATGCTATCCTGAGGCCTCAGTGACGTCACCGGTGTGTTACCTGAATGGCTGCTCTCGGTGCAAAGAGAATGCAGAAGTCGTCACTTTCGGCGGGCACACCTGTCATGGCGTCACTGATCAAGCGGTGGGTGAACGAGGCGTATGTGGGGCCGGGCTCCTGGGACGCGTTCCCACTCTCGTCCGGGAACAGGAAGAGGTCGGAACAGCACGGCTCCTGAGTGTGCGACTTCTCGTCCAGAACTCCTGGGAAAAGGCGCAGTGCTCAGCCTCGGCGTGCTCGGAGACACCAGCAAAAACATCGAGGACGCGCGTCACCGTGCGCCAGAGCCACAGTGCGTTGAGTGCTTCCACCTGCAAAATCCCCTTTTTTCTCACAATTATCCTCTGCCTATGAATGCAAAGACTAAAAAGAAGTTTGAAGTTCTCTACAAAAAGGGTAAAGGACGGTCTCCTCTCGGCTATCTGGCGTTAGAGAAGCTCAGGACTTTGGCAGCAGCTGGCCCGTGTGCACTGGATTTGTTCGCTGACAGTTCTGGCTTGTGGGTACAGCTCTGGAAGAAACCTCCTGGGCCACAAGGCAAGGGCATATGGAGGGCGGGGCAACAGCTGCTGATGGATCTCCTCCAGACTCCACGCCACCCAGAGCATTTGTTTTGATAAGATACCAGAAAACACAGGTTTTGTCTCCCACTTAATCTGCAAGCCTGCAACACCCCGGTCTGTGCTACTCACCTATAGACACTCAGTAATCACAAGCTGATTGACTAGTGAGTACCCGCCAAAACCCAGGCTTGTTTCTCCTCTAACAAGCCACCTACTGAAGAGTGTGGAAGAACAGGAGTCACGGGCGCCTCGACCGCACCCGCAGCCTTACCGTTGGGCTGCGGCTTCGCGGTGGCGTGGCTGGCCTGGTGCGCATCAGCCTCCTCCATCGCGTCGCTCATCAAGTCTCGCAGCATCTGCTGGTCGGCCTCAGGGAGCACCGGGCCCCGGGAAGGCGGCGGGCCACCGGGGTCTACCTGCAGCCAGAAAGGCTAATGAAAAAGGGCCGCGACTGCCCTAAGAAGCCAACCAGCCCAGGTGATGTCATCCCCGACACACACTCCGCTTCACAAAAGCACCAGACACGGGCGCACACTCACTTTCTATCTTCTGCCCGGTAGCTGTGACATTTGCACCGTGAGTTTTAGTACCATCTGCACCCTCACAACTACCGGCTCATAGAGGTCATGCCATCGCCTCCAAACCAGCCCAGGGAACCGGGGTCGTGAAGAGGCAATGCATCAGGAGAGAGAGAAGGTGGGAGAAGGGCCTGAAGCTGGGGGAGGAAGGAGCTCGCTCCGTAGAGTCTGACCTTGTTTGAGGAAGCCCTCAAACAAGGACTTCCAGGCCTTCAAGACCAAGTTACTGGAGCTCATGGCCTCATCGCTTGGGATGAAAGATACCTCAGCGCAGTGGGGGCACAAAGGAGGGAAAATCTACCACGTGGTACTTCACAGGGTTTAGTTCCAGCCCTGATGCTTAACCCTTTCGGTCAGTGAACTGTGGATTCATTAAATCCACACCACGTTTTTTAAATGTACGCATGACCCTTAAATGGAAAGATCTCCATGACCAGAGAGAAAGGGGGTGGGGGAGGTAGCAGAGGGTAGACGGGGGAAAAATCGTGATGGAAGGAGACCTGCCTTTGGGTGGTGAACACACAACATACAGGTGATGTATTAATTGTACACCTGAAACCTATGTAATTCTATTAACCAATGTCACCCCAATGGATTCAATAAAAAAGTAAAAAACAAGCAAAATAAAAATAATAAAATGGAAAGCTCCAATTTGAAAAGAATAACTTAAAATAACTTTCAATGAACTGGAGAACACGAGCAGAGCAGCAGTAAGACCGGGAGCAGACACATGGCTCCGACTGAGGGTCAGACGGCCCCGAACAACACGGCGAGGCCCCCATGGGGGTGCCCCCCACCCCACAGGCCCTGCTCGGTCTGCACACAGAAGAGGCCTGATGGAGAATGAAAACTCGCTCAGAGACGATAAAATGCAAAAAGCAAACTGGACGTGGTTTGATCTGGACGTAAGAGAGGGCAGGGAGGTGGCACTTGGGGGCCTAAGAAACCACTGCACCAGGAATCAAAACATCTGGGTTTTGTTGCCATTTCTGCTACTAATTGTGGGAAATCACGTAAATTCTCAGGTTTTAGCTTATTCATCTGTAAACAGGCCATCCCCGTGAACCTCTGTACCGCACTGGGTTAAAGGAAATCCCAGGAAGTAACTGAAAACTGGATACTTTCACGGATAACAAAAACGGAAAGTACAATGATACGAACCAGTCTTCTGGTAATAATACCAATAACACCTGCCATCTGTCTTCTCACAGGTTTTTACACACAACTTGCATATAACGAGCTCCTACATGACAAATGTTTTCTTTCCTCAGGACAGATGAAAATAACTTAAGTCTAAAAACAACTACTATGTTGGTTGAGGAGATTAACGTTCTGAGACAAAGGATATCAACAGCAGAATGGTTCCCACACGGGCCCGTGCAATCACCCGAAGGTAAGGCACAGACGGGTGACATTTCCGTTTCTTTTCCACCTTACGGCTGCCTGGAGACCTTGCTGATGTACGTGGCTGGCCTGGGGCAGGGGTGGGTGGTGCTAACGATCGGCGCTGCCCGCCGTACCGTGGGCTTTCTCTGTGGGGCTCCCGGCTTCACCTCCACCCTGTGGGCCGCGTGCAGGTCCCCGTAGCTGGCCATGTACTGAATGAGGTTCATGAGCGCGGCGCAGGAGTCGGAGCAGGTTCTGACGTGGACCACGTCGCTGGAACAGTGCAGCTCGAAGCGCGAGTCCGTCTGCACACAACACGGGGACACAGGGCGCAGTGTTTTCCAGACAGGAGACGGCAGTTTCCTCTTTTCACCCATTTACATTACACACGGTATCCTGTGACTGCTCTGTCATAGGAAATGCGTGTTCACAACTCAATCTTCACTTTAAAATATCTACTTTTGAACGAGGTTAGGTGAGCGGAAAAATTGTTCTAAAGTCAATACATTTTTAGTCTCTCCAATAAAAATTAGACAACTAAAAACTTCCATTTAGTTTAATAACGCACCTGCTCTCCGCCACAGTCAGACTTCACTGCAGTTATGGTTAATTCCAGGAGCCCCATGTCCATCACCCGGACATAGTCTAAAATTTTAAAAAGTAATCAATAGAATGTCTGAGTACAGCTTTCCAAAAATGCCTACCCAACACTTAATAAAACTAGCATCTCTTTGCCCTGGCTGGTGTGGTTCAGTGGATTGAGTGCCAGCCTGCGAACCAAAAGGTTGATGGTTCGATTCCCAGTCAGGGCACATGCCTGGGTTGCAGGCTGGGTCCCCATGGGGGGATATGCAAGAGGCAACTGATTGATGTATCTCTATCGAATCAATATTTCTCTCCCTCTTTGTCCCTCCCTCTCCTCTGTCTGAAAATAAATAAAATCTTTCTTAAAAATGTATAATCTCTTTACACTTCATGGCAGGCAATGCTACAAATATTTATAAATGCAACATAAATATGTTTTCCTCCTACAAAAATCCTACAAAAAATTTTATTTCCTTAGAAACAAAATGTGTCATATATTAAATAGAATATATAATTTGATGCACTTAAGGTCATTATAACTTCACACTAATATTTAATGAAATCCTTAGTTCACTGGCATTATTCCAGAGTTAAGTGCTTTACGACACTCACACAAAAACAATTAAAAAGCATTCATCTATGCCCAGTGATGTGTTTTGAGCTCTCACCTCTATTCAAATTAACAGTGACGGTATTACACTTGTCAGACAGATGCAACGCAGCTTCATCCAAGATTATCCTGAGGGAAAAAAAAAACATCTAAACAACCAACCTCAACTATATGCCACTTGGTCACTATATACTAAGTTGTACCATTCTTTCTGACATATTATCAAAGTCACATGCAGCTTCTAACATAAATGTCACACAGCATTTCTTTAAAACTCACTGCTGATGAGTTCCAGGAATATTTCAGTGGTGTAAAGAATGAGGTTGAATCACCTGCTCAAATTAATGCTACATTTTCAGCATCTTTTCCATAGATGCCCAAATTCAGAAGGTTTTAATTATGAAAATAAAGGGTACCAGGTGTTATGGGAAGTTAATCTATTTTTCTTAAATAAACAAACAACCTCAAGAATTAGTTCCTCCCTCAAAATGAAATGCAGTAATGAAAAGAAGAGATGCGTCGAACCATCTTTGAAAGAAAAACTAAAGACCGGAAGAAAGGCTCACGACTGTTAGCAAAAGCGCGCTGACGTGAACCAACGGCTGGGAATTTCAGGGCAGGGTGCAGACGAGAGGGGCAGGGTGCCCGGCAGCTGCGTCAGTGCCGGCGCGTCTGCCGCGGGTACCTGAGAGTGGAGGACGCCCTGTCCAAGGCCACACTGCTTGAAACGCTGAATGTCTCCACGGTGAGGAGGGACCGGATGGGCAGGTAGAGAGGCCTGATGCCGAAGGGAAAGGTCGGAACGTCAGTCCTTTTCGAAGAGCACTTCGAGTCCTCGACCGAATTACGTGTTCTCTTTACAACCGAGTACGTACTTTAAATAGTACAATTTTATTTTGTGCCATTTGCGGACTAACCTGTAATCAAGCGCGCAGCTCCAGAGATGAACGTGGAAAGTTGTAAATGAAGTCGGAGGGTTATATCCTAGAACGGGTTCATCAGCAATATTCAAGAAGTATAAAATCTATAATCAAAAATATAAAATGCCCTGCTTTAGAAGAAAAAAAAGTTTTGATATGGTACCACTAATACCAATGTAAAACAAAATAGCTCACAAACAAAGCAACCATTTACTGGAAAATCATAATGCTGAAAGGAAAAAATACTTTGAAGAAATTCATTTCCACAAGTATTTACAAAACTAGGATTTGAAATAAAAAGGCCCATCCAACAACCGCACTGCTACAGGAACCTTAGAAAAATCCAAGTTTATGAAACTAACAAAGTATGTATAACACACAGTCAATTCCTTGAAACAACTCTTGAAAGAAACAAATATTTCTAAAGATTGCTTAGAATTGTCCATCAGGCTTTCTAAATAATCCACTGTTGGGAGAAGTTCTTTGTCCTCGATTTACACCGAGCTTAGCCCTCGAACCAGCCCCTCTCCCCGCACCTGCCCGGACACATCTCTAATCTAATGAACAAGCAGGCGAGGCCACGCCTCCCCCTCCCGCCAGGTCAGTGTTCGCACTAACCATTCCCTTCCCCCCTCCCAGACGTAGATACAAGGAACCTGTCCTCACGCTTCTACAGACAGGCAGGCAGGCAGGCGGAACGCAGAGTACCTCCTGTTTCCTACATGCTTTTATGAAAAAAGCCTTCCGGGAGCACCCAAGTTTAAAATAATTCTTTTCCTAGTGACAAAAAGTTCTTTTCTGAGACAAATGAACAGGAATCATCAGTGCACTGGTCTTCATTCTCATATAAAGAGGAGCTGACTTCTTATCCAGGTTCCTCTGCAATAATCAACCGTGCTTCACTCACCATATATCACTCTTACACTGGAAATTAGCTACACAAATCCTCATAGATGCCTCGACCCCGTGGCTGGAGAGCCGCTCTGGAATTGCCGCCCACGGCGCACGTCAGCGCACTGTGCACTGTCCCACCAGGCCAGGCTCTCCACTGGGCCTGCGACACCGAACCCTGCCCTTTCCTGGCTTCCAGGACAACTGTCTGTGAAACGTGCAGGGCCCGGACTTCCAGGTGGAAACACCGATCGCATTCTGGAGTGCTGACGGCACTCTACGTCCGAGCCCGAGAGGTGCTTATAGGGACACGTTCACTTCACGGTGACGCACTGAGCTAAACGCTCAGGACCTGTGGGCTTCTCCACGCGGCCGGGTCAACGTCCAGTTAGAAGGATGGACAATCGGACGCGCTCTTACCTGCTCGTGCCAGCTCAGCCCAGAAGGGAGCACCCGGTGCTGCAGGGTGGCGCCTCTCAGCCCCACGGCCACGAGGAACTCCTGTGCGGGCGACACAAAGGCTCTGGCTCACCACCCGCACACCCCGGAGTTTCCCCACCGAGAAACACGCTTGTGTCGGCCGGTCATCCGACTGACAGCAAGCATTGGACGGCACCGAAGTTTGAAGCGCAGACCTTCGTATTGGACTCGGATTTGTCAGACAGTATTTTCACGGCGACAGACAGCATGTTCGCAGTGTCTCCTCCAGCGCCGTCTGAAGAAGCTCTACTGAGACCATTTTCTTCGGAGGCATAAATAGTAGGCTCCAGCCAGTGCGGGCGGGTGGGTCCGGGCAGGCGCGCTTCCGTGGGAAGAACCACTCCGTCCACCATGCCTACGTCCACATTGCGGCGAAAACATACCAAAGTGATTACTTGAAATTAGTTCATGGACGTCTACAACTGAAGACAAAAACCCAGGTGCCTCCACTGAACACAGCATGAGTCTGGAGGCAACATGAGCGAGAACAATCCAACCCTCTCTGCTGACGGTGGTGTGACTGGCAGCACCCAACTTCAATTTAAATAGGAGAATCTGGTAAACACTGAGAATGTGCAAGTACCTCGTGTCTACCTACGGGGTAACACAGGAAATGTGCTCCAAGAATGGTAAATTCTGTGCCCGTTTTCAAAATGAAGTGTTGCTTGAGAATAAAGAATGTAAAGTCCCATCAACCGATGCATAGAGAATGAGGTATGGTGTGTCCGTAAAATGGAATATGATTTGGCAATAGAAAGGAATGAAATACTAGTACATTTCAATAACCCTGAATACCCAATGTCAGTAGCAAAAGACCATATACTGTATCATTCGATTCAAAGGAAACATCAGGAATACTAAAATCCACAGAGACGGGAAGCACTTTAGTGATTCTTAGGGCTGGGGTGTGGCGGGGCTTCGGTGGGGGTTCGCCTACAGGGCGCAGAGCTTCTTTTGGGGGTGATGAAAACGTTCCTAAGTTGGCTGTGACCATGGTTACACAACTCTGTGAAACACCAAAAACTACAGAAATAGATGTATATTTTAGAGGGTGAATGGTATATGAGAGGTGAATTATATCACATTGCAAAAAAGGAATAGTCAATTTCTAACTCACAGTAAGTATTAATTTGCCAGTGGAACCAGAACCCCCCACAGAAAAACTGCTAACATCAGAGCTCCATTCTCAACAGAATTTATCAAACCAAACCTACGCACGTCTGAACAGAAGCAAACACAGCGCACACACACAATGCCCGATTTGCACACATGCAACGCCCATCCCGCACACACTCGATGCCCGCCCTACCTTTGTGGTACAGGCTGAAGCTGCTGGAGTGAAGGCAGATGTAGTGCTTGTCGTCGAAGCCTTCGTACTTCGTCACACAAAACAACGACCCGCTGTTGAACTCCAACCAGAATTCGCCGTGCTTGTCTTCCAACAGGTCTCCATTGTCTTGCTAACGGAAAAACCACAAAAAACCCAGGCGTCGTTATCGGAAGACAGAAGACCGCACCTCTCAGGTGGCAGCCCCGTGTCTGGCTCCTGATGCCACCCCCACACGGCGGTGCTGCAAACTGAGTCATTCGAGGGGGCCTCTCTGCCAAATGCACCCGTCCTCCGCCCTCCGTTACAGTGGGCAATTCCTCATGATCGCTGCAGGAGCAGAACCGGCACACGTTCTCCACAAGAAGGTGCACGTCACGCGCATCTTTTGATCTGCAATGAAGGGTAATGTTCCGAAGGTGCTGTCTGTCGCCAGGAGGGGCCTCAGAGAATGGGACTTCCTCCGTCCCTGAACCAGCGCCACACTCCCTGGCCACTGGGTGTCACATGGTAGATCCGCCCTGGAGAAATCACTTCAGAGCTGTAAACCCTCACCTTGACGTCCGTAAACACTGCCACTAATCCGTGATTAATGCTCAGAAGGACTGAGAGGAGACTCTGCGAGTGTTTGTTCTGAGAGTCGAGTTTTTTTTTCCTGCGGGATCGATAGTTGGGATCCAGAGTGGAGAAGTACTGCAGCGTCTCCTCCTCAGACCCGCTCTCCTCGTCTATGAGAAACAAACGTCAGGTTACGTGGTTCCCGCAGCTTACGTTAAAAGAGAGCAACTTGAACATTATCACAAGAACATTTACTTTACAACCTGTTATTTTTAGGGTCTAGTGTAACAATAAAAACGTACTTGCTCTATTTTTTCATTTTACCACTGAACTGCAGACAATGTATATGTTTTCCCTATAAAAATAACATAATTAACTAATAATAACTAATAATAATAACTAATAATAATATTCTCAATATATAGATACAAGTGGGGAAATATAAATTACTAAAAGATATTATAATACATAAATGGAAAACATCATCAAATAAAAGGTTCCTACTTTATTGATAAACCAGTCAGTGACTTCAGAACAAATTTAAAATGTATTACCATAGTACCCTGGCTGGTGTGGCTCAGTGGATTGAATGCCAGCCTGAGAACCAAAGGGTCGCTGGTTCAATTCCCAGTCAGGGCACATGTCTGGGTTCTAGCTAGGTCCCCAGTAGGGGGCGCATGAGAGGCAACCACACACTGCTGTTTCTCTCCTTCTCTTTCTCCTACCCTTCCCCTCTGTCTAAAAATAAATAACTAGAATCTTAAAAAAAAAGATAAAATATATTACCATAGTGAACTGTAGATTTAAATGGACTAAAGCTGTCTTTGTTGAAGGTATTGATCAGCTGACTGGCCACTGAGAGCCCGACACCATAGGAAATATTTTCAAAAGTCTCCACTGGTGAAGGAGCTGTTGGTTCCCACAGTAACAGGTCATTGAAGATCCTATAAAGACAAAGTTGAAAAATAAGCTCCTAATTCCTGGTTGAACTGAAGGCAGACAAAAAAAAATCCTTTTAAGAAATCATATGAATAATAACTTGTCTAAATGGTGAAATAGAAATTAGATTGTTTTAAAAAATATCAATCATGTTCATATAATGGAAAAATAACTGATATGGCTACAATGGAGGGAGTGAGACAGGAATCTGGAGAAGTAGACACCTAGTTAGACACCTGCCTGCTTTTACCTGGGTCACCTATGACATTATATGCATCAGATTACACACATCTAAATGTACTTGAAGGAAGTTAATGAAAAAATTCTTCAAAAAACCCAAGAACAAAAGGAAGACCGTCCACACACGAGCGCCTGTGGGCTGTAGTAGATTGTGCATCTCGCTCGACCTTCCCCCAATCCCGAGGGGCAGCCAAGGGAGAGTCCTTACCACCACTTGACACTTGAAGAGCCTGCCTCATACAGGTTAAGTGACCTGCCCAAGGTCACACAGCTAATTGCTGGGAGAACTGGGACCAGAGCCCAGATCATGGCCGCTCCCAGTGCACTTCTGTGTTTCTCAGGTTCTCGAGGGTTACCTGCTTTTTCCCTCTTCACCAAAAGCAGGTTCATTGGGAAGACTGCGTGAGGTGAAGAAGGCATACGGAACAGGGAATGAAGAGAGGAAACCTTTTCCATGTTTTAATGATTTTTGAGAGAGAGAAACAGCAAGTTGCTGTTCCAAGCTTGTTGATGCATTCATCGGTTGATTCTTGTATGTGCCCTGGCTGGGGGTTGAACCTGAGACCTTGGCGTATGGGGATGACATTCTAACCAACTGACCTACCTGGCCAGGGTCAAGAAAGGAAATCTCTCTACCTAACAAGGAAGCCAAGTCAATACTGGTGACTAGTGGGGTGGTGACAGGCGTCAAGCTAGGCTACTACCAGGCCCTACTTTCTTAAAGAATGAGTTGTCACTAATCAGGGGTCCTTCTGCCCTGACCCTCCCCTCCTGACCCGTCTACATTTTCACGAAAACAAAGCCTTTTCGGTGTCCCCTCTGGGGCCCTCTGATAGGCTGGGACCCGCAGCACCTCCCCTGCGTGCACACAGCTAAACCGCAGCACCCATGCCCTGATACCACTGCATTTTCTTGCCTCCTGCACTGCACCCTCAGCCATCCCCGTCTGCGCCCGGCGCAGTGGCGCTCACGGAGCAGGCAGGGAAGTGCAGGAGGATGCCGCAGGCGCAGACTCACGGTAAAGCCTGGTGTGACCACCCAGCGAGACGCCCCGTGATGACGTGCGGCCCTCCCTGTGAGAGGCCACGTGTCTAGGAGCCGCCCGGGGCCACGTCCTGAGCTGCCGAAGCCCTAAAGAGTCCAAACCAAGCCCGAGCACTGGGACTTACAGTAGACGGCACTCCCCACCCGAAAGGACGCCTTCGGAAGGTTCTCCAGGTGAAGGACCCCAGGCAGAGAGGACAGAGACGCGTCGCATCTCAGACAAACAGAGCAGAGCCCCAAAACTGGGCGGTGCTCACTTGGCCCATGGCTTCTTGGGAATTTTTATTAAAACAAAAGAGTTTCAATCCAGATGGCAGTCTAAACTCCGATATAAATAATGTAAAAATGAATTTTCTCAGGACATGCTCTTTACCTTATTTCCTACAACCGTCCTCCTATCTTCATGGATTAAAGCGAAACTATTACTCAGAGTAAAACTCAAGTTCATGGTATGTAAATAAAGTCTCATGATTTTACTCCTTTCCTTGTTTATACTTTCATCCAAGCACAGTCTTGGTATCCTTAACACTATGACACCCTGGGTGAAGTTTTTAATGTCCAGAAAGAAAACACAAGATATTTATGGACACATCACCATGATTCTGTGACAATGAGCCTAAAAGACAACAAAAGTTCAATAACTACTTAATAAAACCAATTAGGCTTGGCTGGTGTAGCTCAGTGGATTGAGTGCTGGCCTGTGAACCAAATGGTCACTGGTTCGATTCCCAGTCAGGACACATGCCTGGGTTGCAGGCCAGGTCCCCAGTGGGGGCGTGTGAGAGGCAACTGCACATTGACGTTTCTCTCCCTCTGTTTCTCCTTCCCTTCCCCTCTGTGTAAAAATAAATAAAATATTTTTTAAAAGCCCATTAGAATTCTTTTTAGTGTTCTATTCTAAAGGACCTTGAAGAAAACTTTCATGTACCTGAGACTGTCTTTTAAAAGGAGCCAGTCGGCCAAGGCACTAAAGGAATAAACCAGTATTTTACATGTATAAAGTAAAGATAGAGTTGGTTATAGCTCCTACTCAGATATTTTTTTAATTATACACATAAAAGGACATTATGGAGAACCCGAGTGGACGCTGGGGACGAATGGTAGTGACGTGTAAGATCCACGCCCTCGCTGTGACCGGTGAACTGTGGTCCTGCAGAAAACGCCCGTGTGGGCGGTCAGTGCCCCAGTGCTCACAGCTGAAGGGGCACTCGGTCAGCAACTTACTTTCAAATGGCTCAGGGGGGAGAAGGTTTTTTTGCTGTACTTGCAACTTTTCTGTAAGTTTAAGAATGCTTAACACTTTCAAAATAATACTAATTTTAAAATTTACAAATACATACTAAACCAAATAAGGGGCAAAGAGTTCACACCCTGACGAGCTCAGATGCATGGCTCACGTAACCCGCAGTGCACAGGGCACTGTGGGACTCGCACCGTTCTAGGGGCCGAGTGTGAGCGGGCCGAGTCAGAGAAGTAGAAGCTCTCGAGCAGCCCTGGCTGAACCAGCTCTGCAGGTGAACGGACGATCTCAAGCTGCCTGATGTAAGCAATCACCAGCCCCACCTGCCGCACTGGTGGCTGTCGCCCGCACGCTCACCACCAACTGCCAGCAGAGACCACCTCTAGCACAGCTGAGAGCTGCCCCGCCAGCTGAGCTCTAGTTCCGCACATTCACCACGGGTCAGCGGGGTTCGGCCTCCAAACTGCTCACCCCGCTCTACCCGTTACTGTAAGTACAGTTTAATTACATGTTGTGCCAGCCGATAACTTTTGAGTATACAGACAGAGGTGGAAAAATCCTAAAACCTGGGACTCGGCACTCAAATCGCTTTGAGACTTTTTTACTCCACTTTAAAAGAACCGAATCTAAACTCTGCAGACAAAGCCTTTCACGTATACATGATGCAAAAATTCCAACCAGTGACTCATACTGAAAACCCGGCCTTTTCCTATATTTTAAGAATAAGTGGTATATAAACACATATTTGTAAACTGCATGTTGAAGGTGTGTGTCACTGGTCTAATTTCCCAATGCAACCAAAGACCGAGCACCACAGAAAGACCAAAACATGGACAAAGCCCTCTGCCCTCGACCTTGAACTAGCCATTTGGTTCTGTGCAGTCTTCTTTGCCTCACACACCTGCAGGCTCCTGGTAGACACTCCTCAAGTACAAAACAAGGAAAACAGTCTAGAGATCAGTAGTTGCCAAACTTCAGATCATATGTAAACCCTAACAGTTAAAAAAAATTATGGAAGCGCCCTAGTGTCAACTCATAAATTACACGTAACTATTATCTACAAGTTATATACATTATGAAACAAATATAAAATAGAAATTTTTTAAGGTTTTTTTTTTACGTTAAGTAGAAGCGTGATGTTTTCTTCCTACAGTCAGTCAGTGGACTGTCCTGTGAATCTCATCTTCAAGACAACTGAACTAAGCAGATCTTTCTGGAACTCAATTTTCCAATTCTGAGACCAACATTCCTGGTCACTGGTGGTCGGTGAGGAGACCCGGCTTATTATCACCAGTCCAGGAATAACAACGGGCCAGTTCTATCTGAGACCAAGTCAATCTTCAGCAGAAAGTACAGTGTGAAGTTCCTGAAGGCGAACCGAAGTCAGAGGAACTTGCCCACACTGCAGGAATGCGCCCTGGTCCTTTCATGTCACTGCACACGGAGAAGAGGTGTGTGCTCAGGACCCGCAGTGAGGTGACGGAGGGCAAAGTGAGTAAACATCTCACACGTGCAGAATGCAGTTACCGGACACGCTGGTGAGGACATTCTGCACACCGTAACCAGGACAGTTCTATCACCACACCCCACAGAGGGCACGGATGGGGAGAGAATATTGAGGCAAAGAAAGAAAGGGGGAGACAGGGAGGCATGAGGCAGTTGAGCAGGAGGGTCTGTCCCAGAGAGTCAACTGCAGGTGTGTAGCTCACCTGTTATAAAGCTTCTCATAAAAGCTTTTGTTCGGCAGCGTTACGTGGACATCAGGCAGCGTGAGCTCCAACACGTAGTGAGAATTGCTGATGGCTTTGTCCTGGAACTCCGTCATTTCCACAGGGTCTCCTGGCATCACCATCTAAAACATAACAGTTTAGCACACACACAAAAAAATGCATCCCGTAACCATTTTACGTTTAAAATAGTAGTTGCACCTTCTTAATCTAGGCACAGGGCTTGGTGTGTAGCAAATAAGCAAGCATGTAACTTGTAACTTTTAACCAAGGAAAAAACAGACCTATTGTTCAACCTTGGAGTTGGAAACCTAGTGCGAACAGAACACGAAGTTGTTTTCATTTAAGAAGATTTAAAGCCATAGCCACATGCTGGGGGTACTGTCCGTGGCCCGCACGCACGGGAATCGTACCTGTTCGTTCTCAAACATGACCCTTCGAGAAGAGAAGGGAGAGGGCGCAGGCCTCCGGAGGTCGCACACGTCCTTCAGGGAGTGAGCGCCTCCTTCCTCCTCATCCTGGTAGTGGCCGTCGCTCTCCTCCTCCTCCTCGGCTGCGACTCTCTCCAGAATGGAATGCATGGCTGGCGGGTTCACTTTTAGCACAATCCTGAGAGCAAGGGCAATTTTAAAGATCAAGATCTATGTGTCGACTGAGAAACTTTAACTTTCATGTAAATTAATGCAAAGACCACTGATGGTGTCATTGATGGTGGGAATTCAGCTTCTCTGCCAAGTCTGCTTACATCTGATCTACCCACTTCCGGGTGTGGTGTCAACTTAAAAGTGTGGAATTGATGAGACAAGTAAACAAAAGAAAGGCATTAGTATTTTATTGAAAATCTGATCTTTTGAAGATACAAAGATTATTATTTTTTTATTTATCTTTAGAGGGGAAGGGAACGAGAGAGGGAGAGAAATATCAATGTGTGGTTGTCTCTCGTACGTCCCCTGCTGGGAACTGGCCTGCAACCCAGGCATGTGCCCTGACTGGGAATTGAACCTCGATCCTCTGGTTCGCAGGCCCGTGCTGAATCCACTGAGTTACACCAGCCAGGGCTAATGTTAAATTTCACATTTAAAAATCACCCTTCAGCAAGCTCTACCTAAGAATTCCATTTCTGCCCTGCTGCCCAGGCCCCCTCCACACGCGGTCTGCTCCGCCGCGATGGAACACGTGCCTGGGAAACCTCATGTCACAGACGAGCACGGATGGAGAAGGAGAGACCGATCAGGGAACGTTTTCAGAGCCGCGACAGCGAACCCTTCAGGGTTCTCAACGCTAAGAGGCCGTGTCCGTCCTCTGCTGGCTCGTCGCCGGCACAGGGCTGTGTCGTCTCTCCTTCGCCACGTCAGCCCGTTGTCATGAGACAGCACGACCACCCCGAGTACGACAGACGTCTGGGCGGCAGCTACAGTGGCTCTTTTTCCTACACAGATGAACTGTCTCACCTATTTCCTAATTTAGAGATACTCTAATGTAGGTTGTGCTTCCAAATCACGTAATTGGAGTAGACCCATCTCTCACAGCGAGAACTCACGCCCCACAGTCCCGCAGCGTCCCTCATGGACGACATCTGTCTGAGGAGTGTGACGGGTCTGATGAGCGGGGGTAAAAGCGGGTGGGCAGGAAATGGTCCCCAAAAAGTCACTTTCTGAGGTTTCCAGTGCTTGGTTTCCAGGATAATACTGGATCGTTACTTCGAGTAAACTACGTCCTTCTAAACACAGCCCAAGCCCACGATGGGGCTAACGCCACCTATCGAACAGCACTGCTGCCTGGCACCCTGAGGCAGCAGTCCCCCAGTGCCCCCCGTCTGCTGCAGGCCGGAGCCACCTGCTGTGACTGTCCCGCTGCACTGACGCCCAGGCTCTCTCCGAGAGTCCTACGGTGGGGCCCAGGAGGCAGCATTTTGAAAAGGCTCCCAGATTTGAAAGACACTGTTCCAAAGCATTACTAACTATAAAATGCACTTGACAACTAACCAGATGGTGCCCTGTGCCATCTCTCCCACCACAGCCTTGAACTATTTTTACAGTGACCCACGATTCCTTGGTCCCTCTACTTTGACTAGGAAACTTGAGGCCAGAGAACACATCTTATGCTTCCATCTCTCACAATACCTAATGCACACCTTTCATAGAGCAGTTCTCAATATGTATTTTTTACTTCATCTGTCCACCTTCCTCTGGGTTCTCTCATCAGGGCTGGATATTTTTAGCTTAAATTTAATAGCCGGAATGGTGGTTCAGAAGACTACAATAATTTAATTCTGAAAGGACACTCTCACTAAGGGCATGCGTCACCCGACTGCTGACTCACCGGGGCCAGTCGAAGTCGTCTGATGAGGCTGTGTCTCCGTCCGCCCCACTGGACACGTGGGCAAACTTGACAGAGGGCTCTCCTTTCTCTTCCTGGAATGACCCTGATGAAACCAGACTGATTAGTTGAAGTGCACCTCTCCTCAAGGGCTGGAAGGTGCTTTCCTCCTTAGGGAAGCAAAGACCCTCCGGGTCAGGGACGCAATGCAGCATTAGATTCTACAGCTTTCACTCGTGTGCTCCCGTTTCCAGTGGACATGGCGGGAGACAGAATGGGCAGGTAAATTAAAGACGCCGCTTTCTGTTCACACTCAAGTGTCTCAGTGCCGGTGTGCAAGTGCATGGGCACGATCGTGACAGTAAATACATCAGGCACCGCTTACTGAGTGCCACCGGATGGCTAGTCCTCATAAAAGCTTATGCAGTTAATCTAGGAACACAGAGAAAATAACGACATGTCTTAAATGTCGACTCTGTATCAAGGACTGTCAGAACCACCTCTACTTACAATAACCTGAGTCATGTCTCTCCGTTCCATTTTACAAACACTGCCTTTCCTCCAGAATAATGAGTTTCTTACAACTGGAAGCAAGGAGACCAGATAACCCTAAATGCCCTTTCAGGAAGTCACAATTGGCAACAGTAAATTCTCAGTATCTCTAAGAACGTGTAAGCTCAGAGAGAACATGGGAAGGGAAACTTGGCCGGGACTCCCAGAGCGGGAGATGGGCAGAGTGAGGGTGTGGCAGGAAGGTGTGGTCAGGGGCGGAGTGGGGCACTGCACAGGGGAGGTGTGGGGCGAGGTGGGTTGTTAAGAAATCACACACACACACATGCACACACACATACAAGACCCACATCACAATCTTGCTGAGCTAGAATCTCCATGGACTAGATTCACTCTTAGTGTATGCTGACGAAACAAAGTAACACAGAAAAACTTAAAACAGGTTGTACAAAGCAAAGTCCCTGGAGAGCAAGCAGCATAGCGATGAACAGCTCTGGTGCTGGACTTGGGTCTGGGTCCTGGTTCTGCCTCTTATATCCACATGAGCTTGGAAGGCCCCTCCTCCTAAGACTACAGATTCCCCGTGTGCAAGTGACGGAAATGATCGGAAGGAATCAGCCTGCACAGTTGTGATGATTAAACAAGAGTGTGTGCGGTGCTTACACACAGCGGCTAACACGCAGCGGCTGACACGGAGCGGCTGACACGGAGTGGCTGACACGGAGCGGCACTGCACCGCTGGCTGCTGGCAGCCCTCCAAGTGCAGGGGAACGTGTGGCGGGGGCTAAAATGCAGGCAGCGGCACAACATTCCCCTGGAGACAAGTTTTAACGGAGCGAATAAATCATCACGCTAACTAATTTCTTTTCGAAAAGCGGCTACTCGTGTTCTCCGACACGCAGCTCCTTCATCTGACTGCATTCTGCCCTGCCGTACACTTTCTCGCGCTCTAAGCCTCAGGGGCAGCTGTGGGTCTGTGGTCTGGGGCCTTCCAGGCACCTTCGATCTTACCGGCTAGTTCTCTGAATGTGAGTTCCAGTTTCATTTGTTCTGGGGTGGACCCTCCGATGAATTCGGTCTTAAATTCTAGATCTGTAAATGCTAAATGAAGAATCTCCTTCTGAAGCGACTTCTTAAACCACGGGCCTCTTTCCTGATCTGCTCGAAGGTCCGGTATTGGGAAGCGGACGGACAGGCTCAGCGCAGGCGTGGCGACCTGGACGGACACCCGGCAGTTCGTGGGGCTGTGCGAGTCGTCGAGGAAGACCTCCGTGAAAGCCTTGTGCTGGAAACAAGGTGTCAGAACACAGGCCAAGGGTGAGGTCAGGTACATAAATGTAAATGACATTAGTATCCAACATCACAGCATGCGTACTCACTATTTCCTCAACCAGTACAATGCACTAAAATACAGCCCGAAATAACCACTACAATGTTGGCTTGGTGTAATGAACTCTGATAGTCCAACAGCTACTAACGAAAGCCAGGACTACTGGCAAAAGGCAAAACCTCATATAAAATAAATGAATGAATAAATAAAAATAAAAGCTGAACCAAAGTGAAGACTTGGGCACCAAAGATGCATATATATTTTACCAGAGACTAAAAAAAGAACAACACATAAATTAGCTTATCAACAACTTCAACAGTTACAAACCACTCTGGTACCAGCACCCAATCTGAAGGCTTTATGTACAAACACGCTACTTTAAAGGTTCGGTGAGAACGTGAAATCACACGAACCACGCCAACTGCTAGGGCCCATCCCTGACACATTTTGTGTTTCAGGGACCAGGCCCAAGGCCGGCAAATCACAGGTTCTAAACAAACTTCACTAAACGACTCACTCTGGGTCCCCATCCAGCTCAAGGGCGTGACCCCAGCACATGGCTCTCCCAAACCAAAACTGGCTTCATGCACCACTTCACTCAAAGCCACGTTATAATAAAAAGTACAAAGAAAGTGCCCTTCGATGAAAGCCCGTGTCTACTCTTTCTCTAAAATGTATTGAAACAAAAACCTCTGGTCCAGGGTTTAGCACTGGGACCTCAGCACAAGGAACCTGAGAGGTTAAACTGCCGCCCCAGTGCATCTATGGCTAACAGCAAAGAGAGACACTGGCCCCAACAGAACTTCAAACAACAAGCAGTTGGTAACAGAAAGCAAAGAATGCTGATTTAACGACGCGAATACCATCGCTAATGGAGGGAGCAGCGAATAAAGTACAAAAATATACAGAGCTCACCCCCTTTCTTTTCAAGTCATCTCTGTGGCTGGTCCTGCATCCTCCCCCGCCACTCCCCAATTCCTAACAGACAGAGTTCTGGCAAATCTGACTTACTTGATTTGCTTAGAAAAGACACCAGGCACCAGATCTAAGCAAAAGTGATATAATGTGGTACTCCATAACACAATCCAATATATTATGTTCCTATTTTCAAAAGTATATTTTCTATGGTCTACATTTTCTAGGTGGCTCAAGTACTTTGTGAAATGTGTGAACAAGCTTTTGCGAAGACATTATCATCGCAGTTTGTAAACTTCAGATAACATGGAAAAGGAAAGGGAATCCCATTCTATCGCCCTAACGTAATTACCGCGACCAATGGGCATATTTCTACCCACTGGTTTTCTATACGTCAATTCGATTCACAGCGCTGAATGGAAGCTTACTTCTTCACGAGCCTCTCACAGCACCGTCTTCATAACCATCATTTAAAACAGGTGCACAGAAGTTCACTCAGTGTATCAACAAAACTTACCCAGCTGTCTAGTGTCCAGACATAAAACATGTCTCCATTTTTTCATTATTACAAATAATGCTGTTTTCATAATATATGCGCAGAAACAATCCAAAGAAACAATCCAAATAAGCCTACTAGCTAGCAATAATTCTGATTAGTATTGGCAAGTTCTTTATACTTACCAGACTAATATGCTTGTTATATGAAGCGTACATGTGAGATGCCATCATCTCTACTGTAGTAAGTTTCTGTGGTTGCAGCAAGGAGTTTAACCTGTCCACAATACTGATGTCCAGCTCACAAAACACTGGACTTAGTTTAATTTGCAATTCCGCCTTCTGAGGAACAGAACTAAGTCTTGCCTGATTACTCTTTAAGACAAGAAAAGGGAGAGCATTATATGATCACTAACAAAACTACAAAATCAAGCCCATACCTTCCAATCATGACAAAACACACACCCAGCAAGAATTCACATGCCAGGGGACCACAGGAAAAGGCCGCTCACCTGGGGCCCTCTGCTCTCAGAATGCTTGTAGTGCAGCTGAAGACACACGGGGGAGTGGGAGTCAGAGTGTTCTTCGGAATGGAACATCAAAAGCTTAAAAACAAAGACAAAGATCAAGGTAAACATTAAGTTATCATTTTAATCACAAGGATTAATAGAGGTGCTAACGTAACGTTGGGAAGAATTTTTGGGAGCCAGAAAACTTTGCTTTACCATGTGAATCTTAGAAAAGTTAATGAATGTCTGTGATACTTAGTGTCTCATCTATGAAACGTAGGGGAGGATTCAAATAAAAAACCATGCCCAAGGGAGTGCTTCGAAATAAAACCATGTATAAGGGTAAAGCGAAAGCAACAAATGTCACTTTGGTGGCTTTGAAGTTTCTCTAGGACACACTGTTAAGACAGGAACAAAAACATCAATAATAAAGGAACACGAGGCATGTCACTGTCTTCCACGGTGAACAGTTCTTAGCATGCAGAAGTGTCTGTGTGTGAATTCTTGCTGGGTGTGTGGAATAATGGACTTCTTTTGAAAGTAAGGATGCTTGAAAACTGAGTGATGTCATTTGTCCCATAACCTGTCTGCCACTCTAAAAAGCCACCTCTAAACTAAAAATTTTAACCGACTATTATGGCCTTGAATGCCACCCTTAAAACTCTACTTCAACAAAACACAAATGCTCAGGCACATGCCGACACACCTCTTCCTATGTGACTTCCTATCCCTTCTTTAAAGAAAACCATGGCTGTTCACACAGTTCTCTAAAAAGCAAGGCAGACTGGAAGAAGGGCCACAAGGGAAAGGTCTTCGGCGCTCACCTCCGTGTAGTGAGGAGGAGAGTGGCAGTCCGTGGGGAATAGGCACTCCAACAGCTCCATGCGCCCGATGGACATGTCGGTGCTAAAGTGCCTGGACGCTGACCTTTGTCTTTGTTCATAGGACACTTTGATGCCAGTACCTATAAATCTATCACAAGAAATGCAGCCTTTAAGAGTGTCCACTTATTTCTAGATTGAACAGTGTATAAACAGTGCGCGAGTGTTCATAAAGTTTAACAATTACCTACCTATTCTGACACATTCAAGTTGTAAATAATATTCCTAAGGATACTAACCAGAAAGATTACTTCAAATTTACCCGGCACAAGATTTTAAAAAAACAGTTCTGTTGACAGGAAATTATCCAAGGCATATTTATTTCCCAAAACTGCCCTTCTTCCTTCCTTTATCCCCTGCAATTTACACTGCAGGGGCTAGAGTCTTTAACATCTGTAATGTATACACATGTAATAGTTTCTTAAAATTATCTAAAAGCATCATGCAATATTTTTAAAACTTCAGTGGAGTTCAAATGAAGGTAGTTCTCTAGTTTTTATTGTTTCTGTTATATTTCTACTGACAGATACTTGAAACCTTGTCAAAACCCAGAAGAAAATAATGTTTTTTGAAGTTTGATTATAAATAAATACTCTGGTTCTAACCTGCAAAATTTATTTTGCTAGGTATAAAAACTAATTTATGTATTAATTTTAACACTCAAAAAAGTTAAAGTTAAAACAAAAGCCCAAGCTATTTTCTAAAAATGTTAATACATGGTATAAGTCATTGTATTCATACAATAACATGACAATTCATAGGTCACTTTCATGTTAAAATCCATAGCATGTGCACGTTAACAATATTATACTTACAAGTTTGTCTCATCTATTAGAACTCAACTCATGAAGAGATCACTGGCTACTTGGACAGCTCTGATTTTTTAAGTAGAAGGTGAAACATGGAGCACCCAAGCTCGATCGGCCTTGGTGGGCCATTTCCTCGGGGCCAGGGGCACACAGGTCACTTCCAAGTCCTCCTGGTAGCGATAAGTCATTCTACTCTGACCACCACCGCCATCTCTGCTAAGCCAGGAGCAGTAACGACTTTTTATGACTATAATTGTGTCAGTGACTATGATGGCAAAATGTGGTCAAAGAAGTGTGACAGGAGCAGGGCAGGGAGCTAAATAAAGGGGGACCCCCACCCTCCAGAGCAGCTAGAACTTGTATCTGGATGTCGGACAAGTCGAGCACCTGACCCAGAAGGCTCCACGGCGACCATCGCTGCAGCACGGGAAGGAAACCCCATTCGTTCCACTCGTTCACAGATAAAATGTGAATTATACAAACAAATGGAGTCAGGCAGACAGGGAACAGCAAAGTCTACTTTCAGTTCTTTTTCGAGGATCGCTCATAAATACGAGAGTTTACCTAAGGTGATCGTGTGAGCAAGCTTCTGCAAACACTGTTCGGAAAGACGTGAAATCCTCCGTTGAAAACCTCGCTGGATCGAGCTTCTCTATACAGGAAAAGAACGCCACTGCCAGGGGCGCCAGCGGGTTCAGGTTCGGAGACGTTTCAGGCGGAGACAAGGGGTCGATGTGCAGCACGGAGGCTGAGAGCGTCCCCACAGCTAGTCTGAAAATAAGCTCCGGCCTGGACTCGTCCACGGAGACAGATCTGGACGGGAGCGCTGGAATACAGGTGTCAAAGATCCACGTGGAGAATTTAACACTGAGAAATAACCCACCGTGTCAAAATGATCAAACCTTTCCTTACGTGCTCGTTATCAAAGACAGGCGATTGCACAGCAATCTGAATCTTGTTAAACAAATAAGATAAACTAACCGGTATCCTTGCGCATTTTACACCAAGGACCCTCGGTGCCTGGAGCGCGAGAATGCGTGGCAGGGGGCGTGGTCAGAGCTTTGCATCAGTGAGATGGGTCGGGCACAGTCAGAGGTCAGCCCAAGCTGCTCACCAGACTGTCTATCCCAATTAGGTTTTCCAGGGAAGAAACCTGAGGTTCACTTTCAAGTCAAGTATAAACAGCCAAACAAAAATCAGATGGTTGACTGACACTCCTAAACTGCAGTAATAATATGAACCGTATGATGTTCTTTTGACTAAAAATACTTAAGTATTTAAATATACAAAAAAATACAGTGAATGGGCAACTATATTAAAACACTTCACAGTGAATCTCGTTCAACAATGCTTCATTTTCTTTCTAAACTTTGTTAAATGGTCTAGACCAGAAAAATAGAATTAGGAAGGAAAAGGAAAGAAGCAGTAGAATGGCATTTTTTTAAAATTTCAAGTGTGTAAAAATCCAGCAGAAACCACCACCAAGTGTCTTATTTGCACTCACGAGCCTGCTGCAGGGACGACGGGTGCGCTGCATTGGCCGGCAACGCCGGGCCTCTCGCCGGCGCCTCCTTGTGGCGGTCCAGGAAGTCTCCCCAGGTTGGCTGCAGCTGCAAAGGAATCATTTTCAAGCAGATGGATAAAGTCATGAATTCTAGGAGCAAGTTTTCAAGAACGGAACAAGATTAAATAGTACTTTACCACAGTAGCACTTAATGGCGATCCTGCAGGGGTATTTGTGTATGTGCTGGTTAGTGACAACTCCAGGTCCATGTTCGGGGGCTCCCCCAGGGGCGGCAGAGAAGAGAGGCTGTGGGACATGTCCATCTCGGCCATGGAGAAGAAGACTTCTTCTTCTGGAGAGAACCGCACTTCGTCAGCTGCATTGTAACTGCACGGCTCTACATCTTTCCATTAAGCAAACTAACGTAATACTCTTCCTTCAGATTATCTGAGATACAGTGATACCCTAAAACTTCCAATGGAGTAATCTATTTGGATCGAAGATATAAATGGCACAGTAAAAACTCAACTGCACACAGGTTGACAAAATTTATCCTGTCTTGCCGGTGAACTTTGATATATGCTATGCAGTATTACCTGGTATATTTTTAAGTGTCGCTACAATTCAGAAGTTAAAATTCAGGTTAAAATGGTACACGCACAACACACACATATCTTGTAACTTCTGGTTTCACATGAATACAGCTATTTCTTTTTAAAAAAGAATAAAATTTTACAAAGGAAAAATAAGAGCTGCATGTATTACTCTGAGTTCTATTTACACTTGACTTCTTTCCTTCTGGAGATTATTTGACCCTCATGCAAACAAACTCTGTTAAGGCCAGAAGTTTTTAAACTGACTTTAATTTTCCCTGTAGTTCAACAGTCCATACTTAAATTGACTCTTATTATTTAGGGTATAAGCACTCATACATTCTGAAACACTTCTAAATGTGAAGTAAACTACATAAAGATCATATTTACATGTAATTGGTAATCAAGAAAGGTTCATATTTAAAGGACTCTATAAATCATTATGCGAGCTCATAAGAATTTGACAAAATGAAGAATCACGCCCATTTATCTCTGGTGTAAATCCACATTTATGTAAATTGAGTTTCCTTAGAATAAATCATGATTTATGTAAACTACACAATCCAAAAAGAACACTGTAGCAGGTCACCGTGATGCTGGGTTAGAAACTTAAACTCAGCAATTTAACCCTTCTTCCGGGACGGATTTCTGTTCCTTCATTACTAACCCATTTCACAGCGGCCAAAATCGAGTTAACTTTGCTCTAGGATGATGACGTCTGACTCTGGCATCAACTTCTCCTGAGCTTACCACGGCTAGAAGGTGTGCGAGCTGTTTCTGCCTCGTAAAAGCTTTGCTCTGAAGACACGCCCACAGACAGGGAACCTCTCCGCAAATAGTAGCGGTTTAACTCCATCTGAATGCGACACTCCTCTTCCTGCTGCATGGGTCGGTTTCTTCTGTCTTTATTAGCTAAACCTATTTTGCTAGAGTTTTCTACAAGTGTACAAAAGGGGAAAAAACAGCATTTAAATTTGGAGTTATTTAATCAGTTCTCTCTCAAAACCCACTTACCCAATACCAAATGGCAACATTTTCGTAAAGCGACCTTCCTAAGAATAAATTGTGATTTCTGAAATGACACTATCCAATCAAAAAGAGACACCGCAGCACGCATGCTGGTGCTGCGGTTATCACTGTGAAGCCGTGGTGAGAGCAACGTGGAAATGTAACCCTCACCGTGGCTGGTGTGGCTGAGTGGACTAAGTGCCGGCCGGTGAACCTAAAAGACACCGGTTCAGTTCCCAGTCAGGACACTTGGCTGAGCTGACCAATAAATGTTTCTCTCCCTTTCGTTTTTCCTCCCTTTCCCACTCTCTAAAAATAAATAAATAAATAAAACATTTAAGGGGAAAAAAAAGAAATTTAACCCTTCTTACAGGATGGCTCTTTTATTCTTTCACTGCTGACCCCATTTCACAATGGCCTTAACACCACGGCAGCACAAAGCCACCACCGCTCCATACTAATCAGCAATCTATGCACTAACGTCACGGGGAAAGCTAGAAATCATAGAAATCTTATCTTTGATAAGTCAATTAAAACTGTGTGCTCTTAACTGTGTTAAAGAATTCAAGTTTCTCAGGTGTACCAAGTACTATCCCCCACCAAGGAAGCAAGCCAGACAATTTGGAAACAGTTAAGAAGGTGACATAAATAATCTGAATGCTAATTCGTGCCATGGGGAGACGATTTAAAAGGTGATCAAATTTAAGTATTAGGATTCTAGTTTACAATACATCTCTAATTTCCCACGTTCCTCTATAAGACAGTGTCCTGTATGTATGTTATACATTTTAACTAAGAAGTTGTAGAGAATTGAAAACAGTAGTAACACAGTGACACTTGCCCGGCCCAGCAATGGCTGCTAACAGATCCAGAAGCAGGTGCACCTGCCTCGGAGACAGGAACAGGTGAACGGAGTCTATCTGTCCGTCGATGTCCAACTTCAAAGAAACAGAAGAGGACCTTCAGGATGAACGCCTTCATCACCTTGCACCGCGAACCCCAGCACATTTTAATACACCGAGATGATGCCAAGTACTTGGTCTCGAATTCCTTCAGCTAAGATTCTCTCTACCAATTCACAGATGGAAAACCTTCCCGAGAAAGTCCACATTGGCAAGTCCAATGTCATCCTTTGTCTAAGTTTTCTGAGTATTTAAGGTACTTGAGGAGGTCTTATGACATAGTCTCCAGGAAAGAACATTACAATAGCAGTAGTAGGATATTCATCCCCACCATGATTTCAAAAGACTCAAAGCATAATCCTTAAAGTTTGATTTAAACCAACAGCAAATAAAGTTGGCTCTCCTCCTAAGTGTGCCCACAGATACTACTCCTTGGCAGAGCACATAAGGACCTCGTTCCAGTGATGGTGTGCCTCTCAGTGCACGCTGTGTGCACAAAGCCTTCCCTGAGCTGGACGTGGGCGTGTGAGCCGCAGCAAAAGAGCCGAGGGAAGGGGGGCGCTCGCGTGCACGGCCTTTCTCTGTTCCAGCTGTTCATCCGCTTTCTCTTGTACAAATAAAAACCCCACCCCCACCCCGATTTCTATGGGGTATGGCCTGGGAAAAAATTACTCTGTTCTGTACGTCAGACTCTAAAGAACTGAAGAGGCCTACCTACTTTTCATTCAAGGCCTCAGTTCTAATGCTCACACTGACCCCGACTGCAACTGTAAGAGAGCTCCATTAATAAGACATTTATATTTAAAAACTGGCATCTTCCCCAAGAGAAAAACAAATTTCCTCTGATTCTAGAAACACAAATAAAATAAATTACATAGTGGTTTTGAGGTTGCCATGATCTAACCAAAACTTCTCCATCATCATCATCATCATCTCCTTTTTGGAGTATCGGGCACTATGCAGGGTGTTTATGTTCTGTTTCCTCTCATTCCTCGCACTGTTGCTGCTTTGCAGATGTGGAGTGGGACTCCCAGAGATGCAGGGATCAGCACGAGGCTCTCTAGCAGACCCAGAGCCGGGGTCCTGCCTGTGTGAACCTGGATGGCGAGCCCCCACCGCTCCCATGGCTGGCCCATCCGGCCACAGAGGTGTGGACGAGAGGGGGCCCTGCGGAGAGTAGGCCCAGATGAAAACTAGAGCTGAACTGCAGGACAGCCCTCGCTGAGAACCGTCAGAGGGCAGACGCGCCGGCTGAGCCGATCCTCAGCCCCTCCCGAGGCAGGTCGTGGTGGGGAGTCACTCCGCAGCCGCAGCCCCATGCTTCCCTCACTGACAGCACACGGCCGCGTGTGCTCGCCTGCAATCCGGCCCTGCCTGGCTGTCTCCCACCTCATGTTCCCTCCATAAAGGAAACAGCAGAAGTGCCATTCTCAGAAGCAGGGGACACCTTCCTTCCTGGCAGCTGTCATCCGTTCTGGCTCAAATAAACTCATGAAAATTCTGTACAGGTCGGATGTTTCTTACCTCAACAGGGACTCGTTTTATGGAGCTCCTTGCTGACTGCTAACACCGCAGGCCATAAATCAGCAAGGAGTTAGGGCTGGGGACATTAGGAAAACATCTGACTATATGCCAAATTTAAAAGTTGGGTTTTTTTTATTTCTTAGTATTGAAAGCACATTACAACTATAGAATATAACACTAAAATAAATTTCAAAATCCGTGTAACATAGTAATTGAAACAAAAATGTCTGTAAATTCAGTACAGGCAGTCCACTATTTCATATGCACTGCATTCCTGTAAACAGCTCCGGCTGGTGCAGCTCATGGACTGAGCACCGGCCTGTGAACCAAAGGGTCACTGTTTCCATCCTAGTCGGAGCACATGCCTGGGTTGCAGGCCAGGTCCCCAGTAGGGGGCATTCGAGGGGCAACCAATCAATCTTTCTCTCCCTCTCTCCCCGCTTCCCCTCTCTCTGAAAAATAAATAAAATCTTTTTCTAAAAAGTTACTGTATGGCTCTTCCTTCCTGGAGAAGAGCAAATACATGCCCCAGAGGTGTGGGTGTCTTCATTTCCCAGGCAGGGGGTCCCCACAGAGCTCTGGCTTTCTACTGCAGTGACGCTCCCCTCCAACTACTTAATAGAAAGGGGCTTAAGACCTGCTGAAGGCAGGACGTCCCCAGAAGACCCCCCCAGGCAGGACGGAGGAGGAAACAGTGGCCCGGGGAACAATCGGTAATGGGAATGCTGTCATTCTTATCACCTCCCCCCTCCTCCTCCAACTCCGATGGGTGTTAGGGCCCAAGGGAGGACTCCTAGGAGCCTTCAACCCCCTGAAGAGCTTTCTGTGCACGTTCACGGGTACCCAGGGGCTCCCTTGCCACAGCGGCTGCTACCCACATCGCGTATCTTTCATTAAAAGGCCACGACCGGATCCGTTCATCTCTGCCTCTCTCCAGAGCCCACGGGGGCCTGGCGCACAGCAGCCACTCAAACACTTCGAGCCGGGAAGACCAGTGCACATACGTGTGAATAGGTCCTGCATCTTCTCCACAGAGACCACATTTTACAGATCGTATAGAAAATTCACTCCCAAGTCTGAAAACACCTCCTGACAAACACATGTTTAACTGACTGAATAAACGCACGTTTCCCAATTCACCAGGCTGTTCCATATGGTTCCCTAAGAAACAAGTACAGTCGCTTTACAGAGTCTTCAAAAAGCTATGAGACATCATGAAAAAAATCAATCTCTTTTCATAAATATTATACAACCATAAAAATGGCCATTCAGTTAAAAATACACATGAGGTGGATACTCTTACACATAACTGAACACCTTCAGTCAGCTGGCTTTCCGAATCTCTCCCCCTTTAACCTTTACTGTGTGATGCTAGAACGATGTGCTTTAATGGCACTTTCCTCAGTAGCAGAGCCAATGACGCCTTGGAGCTGCGAGGGTGGGAAAGTGAGTACAGGAGGGGACTATCGTGACCCGAGCTGCAGCCGCAGGGCACAAACATCCCGAGACCTCCCGCACCCACCGGGCTGGGAGCCCCTGTTCCAGGGCCATCTATGGTAACCACCAGGGGTCATGGCACAGATTAAAGAACACTTGTAGGGTTTTTTTTTTTCATTTTTCACTACAGAGAATAAAACAAATCTTTACCTTAGCTCCCGGAAGTACTTCGTTCTGTTTCAGCATGAGAGTCAACTCCAGCCTACCCATTAGCCCTCCGATCTGCACGGGGTCAGAGGGCGCTACCTCCGGCAAACTTCTGGTCAGCTGTGGGTGTGGCTCATAGACAATTTTAGGGTTCCAGCTGGGGGACAGCTTTGGCTCAGTTTCCTACAATAATGCAATAAGAATAAAGTACATTACTGTAAGTAAATCAAAATGCAAAATACAAATGTCAACTTATGAAGAAAGACATATTTGACACGTGGAAGTGGTTTATGTTACAGCAGGCACACTGGCCTCTCGCAGCAGCGTGAAACACAGTTATGTGTTACCACAGCACCGTGGCAAAGAAGACAAATAATGGGAAAGGCCTTTATGGGAAAAGAGCACAACTGTTCAAATTCCAGTCATAAGAAAACTTAACAGATGGTCTATAATTAATGAAATCTGATTTTTGAAAAGATCTATGATAAATGATAGAATAACTGATTTTGATACATAAAAGGACTCTCTACTCACAGAAGAAATTAATATAAAGCTTCCTAAGTACAAACTTTTTTAAAGATACAACTTGTCAGATAAGTGTTCAGAACAGAATCACTACCATGTAGGTAAATGGGAACCTGCCTGATGTCCTGTGTTCACTGTATAAGGACATCAGATGTGAATACACCGTTTCTCCCCAAGGGACAGAAGGCAATGGCTCTCTATCAAATTAGTACACAGCAAAGAGGAAAGACATTAACTATAAATATGTCTTAAAGTCTCTGAAATATGTCCCCGTGACCAAGTATTTGTGTTAACTTCCAGATCAGATGGAAATTTATTAACATATATCCTTGCAAAATTGAATACCTCTCATTCAACCCATTAAAAGCCTGTGGCTTAGTACTGGTCTTTCTGTTTTGTTTTTCCTACCACTGGTGCAGTTGAACACACTGGGGAAGACTTTGCAGAGGCAGAAAACTCATCCCAGAAGAGAGAGACTCCAGAGAGCTGAAGCAGCTTGTGAGCGAAAGCCGTGGGCTGGTGCACGTTGATTCCTGAAGACTCGTCTGCGGTTTCGTCACAGTACACAGTTCTGCAAGTTAACGGCAAAAAGGGCGTGCGCGTCAAACTCCCGGGAAAGCCTCTCGGGTGATAAGAAATGCATGCAGCTTTTTCAGTTGAAGGGATCTTTCAAGTGTCAGCACCTTCAAATATGCCTAGAATATGGGTCAGCATTTCCGAACTTTACTCCAGTAAATACCTCCCCAGACCTTTCCCCCCAGAGAGAGAACTTTACGGGGCTCCTAAATGTGGGGGGGAAGTCAGTCACTTCCTACAGTTAGCTTTGAGGAAAACAATTGCCACCCTGCCCCCCTCCCTCCCTCCCAAACAGCTCTGGGTAACAGTGACACAGCATTTGTCTCCAAGTCCGAAGCCTGGCGTGTGACATTTCTTGAATTCTTACGACTGTGCTATAAATTCTTGACTAATCTTCAGTTTAATCAAAATAAAGTAGTTCTATATGCATGAGATTTTAGATATTTTTAACATACCATTTAAGGTAATATACCAAAATTTCAAAGACCTGTCAGTAATAACTGTTTCACTAACAGGCATGTTTTGGGAAAGGACAGGAACCACAACACATCTGCTTCACAATCGGGCAAAGGTCCCCCACAGATCCCTGCACAAGCAACCCCGGTGCTGCTCAGGGCACGGACTTCATCCCGCTCACCGCTGCTGGCAGGGAGCGTGGCATTGAGACCCCGGTGAGCAATCACCGACTCCGACCAACAGCCGGGAATGAGCGTGTGAGTCAGTCCCTGGCTGAGAGCCCTTTACAGGGGCTCCAAGTGGGCAAACACAGAAAAGTTTGTACCTTTTTTATGGAAATCACTACTGTAAATTTTGGTCTGATGATGCCCTCACAGAACCCTCAAAGAACACAGTAGTCTCAGCCTTTCTCATCAAAAATGCTGCTTGCGTGAAGGAGACACGTGTCAATAGTGCATTGCTTATGTGAAAAACACGGACACCCTCCAACAGGAGTGCCTCGCGTGTAGCAGCAGTGGGACGCTCACTGTTTTGATTCGGAATAAACCAAAGAGAACTGCCTGCTCTGAATTCAACATAGTTTTATGATATGTCGCGCCACCCCGCCCGATACTTTTCAGTTTTCACTAACAGGGTTAGAACATAACTGGGAGAACAGCACTTTACTCTGAAATTATATGCTATACTAGTTTAATATCATTACTTCTCGTCTCCAAAAGCATTCTGAAATCTAATGTAAGAGTTAGGTTTTTGTTATTCAAAAATGAATAGAATTGGGTCATTTTTTTTCAGCTATAAAAAGTCTTACCTTTCTATTCGTATTTCAAGTGCAGTTCCAGTTTTGGAATTTTCTGGCACGTGTTCAATTCTCAAGACGGTGTCTAAAAAAGTGACTTTTACTCTTCTTAGCACTAGAGTAAACAGGTAACCATCAACATAAGAGACATAAATAAAAACTTCAAGTGAAAGAATACTCAATTAGTTTCCTATAAACTTATAAAATAAAATGGAACTGAATTCCTTAGTAATCCTGACATTTTGAGTTCTGTACTAAACACCCTGCTTTACTGAGCCCTTCCCCCTTGTAACATCTCAGTAGACAGCTGGGCAGCGACCAGCCCTTTGTGCTTAATTCGATCCCAAGTCTAAGCAGAATAACGTAAACCAAGCAGAAACTCGGGTACAAAAGACCATGCAACTAAATTGGACACAATGTTTAATTCCCCTCAACTCTAAAGTTCTACAGTGAGAACAGTTCATTTAAAAACCACTCCAATGGCTTTTCCTCATACGAGCCCTACTAAATAAAGGGTCTAAATACCATATCAATTTTTTCTGAATACTCAGTAACACCAAACCTGTTTCAATGGTTTCGGCAAACTTTTCAAGTCCTTCGAAAGGCTGGGATCCTTCTCCTTGTTCATCTGTGAGTTTCTGGCTTAGACACTCTTTCGCCAACTGCATACTGCTGGTCATGAAGCTCGACCAATACATAGGCTCAGAACCAGTTGCTGTAGAAAATACGGAGCAACCCAAAATGATTTCTCATGATTACCACAAAGCCACTTCTTAAAATAACACATTTCAAATACATAAATTCTTAATCCTCCACAAGATACTTAGCATCAGGGTGTTACCCAGGAATACAATATTCTAAAGTGCCCTTGAAATTTAAAATCACCTTACGATAGCCAAGAAGGGAAAATAAAAATAACAGATCACAAAAAAATCCAGAGACATGCTCTCATTACATGATGTTTATCTGCCAAATATTAATTCACGTATTCATTCGACAAGTACTTAATGGGTGTTTTATACACACAAGTGCTGTTCAAAATACTACAGAACTGGGTGGACACATATCCTGTAAAGAGTCCGCAAACACTTCAGGCTTTTGGGGCTGCACGGTCTCTCTCATGGCTACTCAACACTTACTCCACTACAAAAAGCAGCCCGAGAGAATAAGTCAAGGAAGAAGCATGTTGGTGTTCCAATAAAAATGTATTTATAAAAACAGGTGACAGACCAGATGTGGCCAGCTGGCCGCAGTTAGCTGACCCTCCAACGGGGAGAAAAAGAAAATGACTGTCAACTCTGTCCTCAGGGGGCCTACAACACAGTGGGAGAAATGAGATGAGGTGAAGAAGAATTAGCAGGCAATGACTGAGCATCAGCAGATAATAATATTATGACAGCTAAGAGCAGAGGAGAATTCTTCTGGCTGAGGGGATTAACGGGACAATGGGCAGAGGCAGCTGACCTGGGCTCTGGGAGGTTGGCATAAAAGCAGTTAAAGTGACAGGGCGTCTTTGGAGGAAGAGCTGCAGGAGCAGAGCGGCCCTTCCCAGACCTTCCCCTCCCGAGAGCTTCTGCCAAGCCTCCTGTGTCCTCCCAAGCAAACTGATGGGGCTACTACAATTACTGCCTTCCCAGTGGACTGGAAAAGCCCCCCAGGGTATTTCCAAAGTAAGGAGAAACTATTTGACTTCCTTTAAGAAAGTGTTGTTATGTCTACTCTTCATAGTTAAAAGATGAAATATTCCTGTGAAGTAAATACCAGATTATTAAGGAGGATTTCCATGCACAGATCAAGAATTTTCAAAATATAGCTACTATAATTCCACTAAGCATAATTTACACTTTGGTGATTCAGACAGCACTTGAAATTATAACTATTCTAATATATATTTATAAACATTACTTGTCACTGAAAAAAATTTAGTTCATCATTTAAGATGACCTACCATCATAATTCAACTGGTTTATAAAATATGCCCCCCATACACACACACAAATACACACTCTGCAGTAGAAAACCTGAGATACAATATAGCACAGTGGTTAAGAACAAGGACTACAGTACTAGGTGCCTGGGTTCAGATCCCATTTTTTCCACTTAACTAGCTATGACCTTGCACAAATTACTAAAGCTGTCTATGCCTCAATTTCCTGTTCTGCAAAACAGAGATAATAAAAAATATCTATTTCAAAGAGTTATTGTGAGGATAATATCTGAGAAGCACTAAGAATAGCATCTGGCATGCAAGTATACATGCTTATGTGTGTTTGATAAATCAAAAAACATCATCCGTGTAATTAAAGCTATCACACACAGACTTGTAAACAACTACTGTAACTTTAAAGCTTTTCCCTCTCAAAGTTTCCCCCACCTAGCCAATCCTAAGAGAGAGGTGAAAGAACTGTATGATGAACGCCTGCATACTTCCACCTACATCCACCAGGGTTCTGCACGCATGCTCTCATACTTGCGCTGAACCACGTGAAGGTGAAGTGCAGACATGGTAACACTCACTCCTAAACAGCTCAGCTTGTAACTTGTAAGAACAAGAACATTCTCTGGCTAAATACTCCCAAGAGATGTCACACTGACACAGTAATATCTTGCAAACACTGACACCCAAATGACCCCAGCTACCCCTGTAACACCCTTCACAACAGTAAAGAAACAAACAAAACAGGAGTATACATCACAATTAGTTGTGCACGTCTTCAGCCTCCTTTAATCTGGAACGGTTCCCCCATTCTTCTTGTCTGTCATGACGGTGACATTCTTTACAGTACCCCCCATTTGGTTTATAAAATTCCCCTCATTTGGGGTTTGTCGGACTGACACTCTGTGATGGGCCTCAGGCTACGCACTTTTAGCAGGAAGAGCAAGTACGTAACTAATGTATAACCTTCTCGGGCGATCACATCGGGACATGCATGGAGTCAGTCTGTCTTGTAAATAGTATGTAATCACTGGGAGATAATGTGATTCCATCTAAATGTTAAGCTCCTCACATCCCTTCACCAAATGGTGTTAGAAGCATTCAGGGATGATGCCGTTCTGTACCAATTTTTATCACCCCCAAATTCTACCTTTTCCTTGGGTTTATAAGTAGGCATTCTACTGCAGTGAAGGGCTTTCCCTCTCCCTGTCCCCTTTACATACTTATTTATTTATTTGATTTAAATTTGTGTTATAATCCATTATTGTCATTATTCTTTGTGATACTCAGGCTTTCCCGGATCTGGCCGATGGGAGCCCCATCAAGCCCAATCCTGTATCCTTTGAACATTTCTCCATCAGCTTTTGAGCACATCCTTGCTTTCTGGCAAACACTTTGAATCTTTAAAAAAACAACAGATCATTGGTAACAAATAGTTAAACCACCATCTGTGCGTGAATAGTATAAATAGGGAGGGAAATAATGCTAAAGGTACAATCACTCACCCTACCCAGACCCAAATCCTAACATTTTCTCTGTCTCACAAATACAATTCAAAGTGATAAATTAAACACTGAATTTAATGCAAGCAGGCTACTTCCCCAATCTGTAAAGAATCAAACCGCACGCTGGAGCACGTGGTGCACCTACCTAGGCGAGGTCTGGGCCGGAAGACCATCTCCAGCCCTTTCACCTCCAGCGCACAGTTATCCTGTAGCAAGGAGCCCCACGGGACCGACAGAGAAATCGACTGTATGAATCCTTCCGTGACTTCCAAAGGCGCATCTGCTGACTCCAGGATCTCATTGAGACACTAAAGAGAAAAACCAAATGCAATCTAAAATCACAAGAACGTAACACTGTTAACTTATTCAGAGATGCTAAACATGCTCACATACGTGTCAGACACGGAGGATGAAGGAAGCAGACCTGGCCAAACAGGATTCCTCACTGAGCTCACACACACAGCTTACCTTTCCAATCACGTGACAGAGGAAATGCTCTGTGCTATCTGGGCGTGTGAAAGAACCTGACCTGGAGACTCGGGGCAGGCCAGTGGAGGAAGTGCCCTTTAAGGCTGAGACCAGAAGGCTGAGGAGTCAACCAGGCAAAGGGTCCCAGGCAGAGATAAAGGCATGTGGAAGGATTGAAACAAACAGGCAGAGTGCAAGCACACAGATCTGAGATGCAAGAGTATCTGCAGAGAAACGGCGCTTCAGCTGGAGTGCGCTGGGCCAGGGCAACGCCCAGAAATGAGGGTACACAGATAGGGGAGAGTGGAATCCAAAGAGCTCGTAATTCATGCTAAAGAGTCTGAAATCTATCTCAAGGGCAAGGTGAAGCCACTGAAAGATTTTAAACCAGGATGCCACTGGCTTGCCACGATGCCACGATGGGGTCCAAACTTTTAGCGGGCCCTCCTGCCGCCAGGTAGGGCAGGTACTGGAAGAAAGCAAACGTAAGGCAGACGGTTGTTATCAGTAAGAGAAGCCAGAGAAGTTGGTTTGGCAATAAGGAGAGAGTAGATATCTGTAATACATGAGGAAGCAAAGTTAATTGGCACCATGAGGGGTAAGGAGGAGGAGAAATGAAGAATGACTCCCAGGTGCTGGCTGCGGCAGCTGCTCAGGCAGTGGTACCAGGCACTGAGACGGAGAAACCTGGAAAAGCTGGTCAGGGCAAGACGGGGCGCTCAGTTCCAAAGAAGACACACATCTGAGCCAACACTCAGGTGGAGGCTGCTAGGAAACAGCTGGAAATTCCGGTCTAGGGCTCAGGAGAGTTATCGGGGCTGGAGCTAAACAAGGGCATTATGAACACAGAGGGTAAATGAAGCCACGGGGCCAGGAGAGACCAGCTTTGGGAACTTCCGTAAAGTAACAAGAGGCCTAGCACAGAACCCTGATAAACACCAATATGTAAGAAATGGGTTAAGAAAAAGGAACTTGCGAAAAAGCAGAGAGAAGTCAAGAAAGCTTCCCGTCCCAGAAAATCATGGAGAGACAATATGGAAGAAAGGAATGGTCAAGTGCAGCAACAGCTAACTGGACGGCAAAGACTTTCAGTGCCCACTGGCTCGGGTGCTCTTCAGCGGCCTAGTAATGTCACTGAGAGAAGAGATTCAGTGGAGGGTGAGGCAGACCAGACCGAAGCAGAAGGAAGACAGAACGGATGTAAATACAGCTCGCAGAATAATTAAGTGCACTTTTGACAAACAGTGTACTTTTCAAATTGGTAAAGTAATACTTATGAAGGAGTAGTTCACAGGTAGGGTCGCTCCAGAACGCCACGTTGCGTGAGGGCGGAGTCATTGATTCTCTGCGGACAAGCCTAACACTGAACCTTGTGTGAGACTGGGACCACCTCCTGTTCGATCAGAGGTCACTGCTGAACGGGGTTCTTCACGCTGCTGTTGGTGTGGCCCTACAGACTCCCCAAAAAAGTACACGGACGTGGGTGGCCTTAAGGTCCCAACACCCAGACCCTCAATCTCTAAGTATGTATCCTTTCCCACAACGGACCTTCCTGCAGAGAGAACTTACAAAGGTGGCAGCAAGTTGGGTCTCCTCTCCCACAAGCCCGTGTTCCTTTGTATAATCTCCCTTCTCCCCCTTTGCCAAAAAAACCCTGTCTTTTAACCTTCCCGAATCCTCCCCTATACACTACCCAGGGTACAAACATCTCCAGCAATAAGTTTTCCAGTCTTTTCCTATATTATACACATTTTTTAAAAGATTTTATTTAGTTATCTTTAGAGAGGAAGGGAAGGAGAGGAGAGAAATATCAATGTATGGTTGCCTCTCGTGAGTCCCCTGCTGGGAACTGGCCTGCAACCTAGGCGTGTGGGCCCCGACTGGGAATCGAACCGCAATCGTGTGGTTCGCAGACCCGTGCTCAATCCACTGAGCTACACCAGCCAGGGCTTATTATATACATTTTTAATATAACACTCAAAGAAATTCAAAGAACTAAGTGATATTGCTACTGCAAAATCCCTTCAATTCTCATCTACTGATGACATCAGCATATCTCAAGCTTGTAACTGTTTTAAAAATTTAGAATAAGATTTATGCTGAGCCCAGTCAAAGTGTAGTTGTACACATATTTACCTAAAGATGTATGAACTAATCAGGAAAGAGGAGAAACAACCTATTCATATCAGTAAGAAATGCATTCCAATAGAAGTTTCTATGTTTAACTACTCAAATGTATAATGTATTTTTATTGTTTTGATCAACTGCACACTCGTAATACTATAATAACACAATCCAAAGGAAAAATGTTAACACTTGAAATTTAACAATTATCTGAAGGAGATACTGATCAGTAAAGATCAATACCATGAGATCTAGAACAACCTGTAAGGAAGCCACTAAAAAACAAACAAAAAAGTGAAGAAATTATTAATTAAAATGTTGCACTAGAAAATATTTACTAATGGCTCTGGCTGGTGTAGCTCAGTGGATTGAGCGCGGGCCTGCAAATCGAAGGGTCACTGGTTCAATTCCCAACCAGGGCACATGCCTGGGTTGCCAGGCCAGGTCCCAGTAGAGGATGCATGAGAGACAACCACACATTGATGTTCCTCTCAATCTTCCTCCCTCCCTTCCCCTCTCTCTAAAAATAAGTAAATAAAATCTTTTTTTAAAAAAAGAAAATACTAATGTAAAGGAAAGCTTAATAGTAAAAAGAAAGTTTTAAATATAATCAACTTCAATTTAGTCACATGTTTTTATTGTCAAAAATGATGGCATGATCAATAAAAAAATTAGGTATGAGATCAATAAAGAATGATAGAATCGTGCAGAAATAGGGAACGGGACAGACATACGAATTCAATGGAGAAAAGATACAGTGTTAAATTTCCGACTATTAGCGATGAGCACGTTCAAGCATTTTTCAATGTGTGACGGGAGTGTAATCCTACTGGGTGAAAACAACTGTATTTTTGATCCATATTTACAGCACAACAAAAGTTATTCTCCACATCTATTTAAACTTACAACGAAAACAATTTTAAGGCAGCTTTTAAATGTACAAGGAATACAGTAGTTTTCCAAAAGGTTTTAAGAGAAAATTGGGCAAACGTGTTTGGAAAACATTCCCCTAAAATACAGCATGTGTGCAGGTCCTAGGTCAGGCTCTTGCTTGCAGCACAGCTCTGGACACGTTCTTGACGTCTGAGTCCCGATGTCCTCAACTCAAAATAAGGGCAGTCCCTGTTCCATGGGGTGGCCATGAATGTCTAGGAGATAAAAGTCAAGCTACCAGATAGTTCCCTCACTAAGTACGCACAGCACCGATGCTGACTATCGTTCTTCACCTTCCACAGTGTCTTCCTAGCACAATGACAAGCGCTATCGGGAATGCAGGGTATGCTCGGTAGTGCGAAGGAACGCAGAGGTTAAGTTCCATGTTTCTCTTTAACGAGTACTGTAAGGCTAAGAATACATCCTTATTAGTCCAAACCAAGGCATCAGAACTCAAACAGAGATCAAATTGAGCATAAAAATATGCAAGAACTGATTTAAACCAATTACCATACAATTAGTACTTACTACACAGAGGACACCATGCCGTACTATTTTATACGCACGTTATTGCATTAAATCTTCAAAATAGCCCTTGAATCAGGTATTTTTGTACCCATTTTACAGGTCTAGCAAACATAATCAGAAAAATTAGGGAACTTTTAAAGGTCTTCAATTAATCACTGCAGAACCAAAACTATAAAAGAGAGAAATATATTTTCACAATGGAAGATTCTGCAGGAGACTAAGCAAAACCATGTGCTAGACTCATAATCCTCAAACCTGTAGTTCTTGGGCTTAGGGGCTGACTTCTAGGACAAGCTTTTAAAATTAAATGGAAAGGTGCTCAATCCCTTTAGTAATGATGTTTCTGAAAAGGCAATCGAGGCCCACATGCACCACCAGAATTCCTTAAGATACTTCTTAAAAAAAATGTAGATTCTCCCCTGGTTGGTGTGGCTCAGTGGATTGAGTATAAGCCTGGGACCAAAGGGTCACTGGTTCAATTCCCAGTCAGGGCACATGCCTGGGTCGCAGGCCAGGTCCCCCATAGGTGGAGCTGGAGAGGCAACCACACATTGATGTTTCTCTCCCCCTCTTTCTCCCTCCCTTCCCCTCTCTAAAAATAAATAAATAAATAGATTTTAAAAATATAGATTCTTAGGTCTTTGGAGCCAGAATCCATAGAGAAGGATCCAGAAGTCTGGAAGTTATCAAATTTCCCAGGTGAACCCCATGCAGCTAAAGTTTGAGAAACTCAGGCTTCTTGAATCTTTGGAGGCACTGTGGGGTCCAAAAAGAATACTGCGGTCAGAAAGACCTGGGTTTGAAATCTTGCTGCCCAGCTAATACGAAGCCCAAGTGATGTAACCCTGTGGTAAAATGGAAATGGTAGCACCCAACTCAGAGCAAGAAAACATCTATAAAAGCACCGTGCACAATATGTAGAAATACAAGGTGCTTAACTAATGGCCACAATTATCTTCAAACGCGAACTAAAATCCCGTTGTGACACCATGTCCTCTCTGGTCATCAGCCTCATTTCTTTTTCTTCAGTCAAGCCAGCCATTCGCTCAAACCACCAACTATTGGGTTGGCCAAAGAGTCCATATGGCTTTTCCACAAAATAACACACACATTGTCCCTTTTCACCAATCATTCGATTTGGATATTATAAGCATGTCGGCTATCTCCTGCTATTGGCTTCTAGTGGGTAGAAGCCAGGGTGCTGCTGAACAGCGGGCAAAGACAGCCCAGAGCAAAGAATTTTTTGGCTAAAATGTCCGTAGTACTAAGAAACTTCACAAACCACTTCTGACACATTCGATCAGTCACAAATCTTTTTTGTGTGTTTCAGTTGCATTTTTACCTTTCTTGAAACAATAAAAGATAATATGCTGAAAATGTTGTGCAGTTCCTTCTATTTTTAATATTAAAATGGCTGCACAAAAATTCACCAATTTTGATAAGTTTCTTAAATGCATGCTGATATGACAGCTGTCACAATACAAGCTAACAAAATTGTTTCGAACCAAGTTGAGAGCAACTAAGCATCACTAGAGCTATGGTATGGAAAAAACTTAACGGACTTTTTGGTCAACCCAATACTGTCTGCCTTCTAACTCTCAGCTCTTCTGAAACTGTCCTCAACTGCCAAGAAGCCAACGCGTAGAATGGACAATGTTCAGTCCTCACTGTCCTTGAATTCTCACCTTGGTCTAACTCTTATTTTGAAATTCTAACTTCCCTTGGTTTCCCTAACACCCTTCTCATGCTCAGTATCTTTCCAGTTCTTTCCCGCTTTAAAATGGTGGTATTCAGCTAAGTTTCATCTTCAACCTCTTTTGTTTCTCAACTCCATCTTCAACTGCCCGTGCAGCTCACGCCACTCGGTCACCACTGACACCCTGATGACTCCGCATCTTGGTCTCTGACTCTTCCAATACTACCCAGCATTTTTTGACTACTTCGGTGGGAAAGGAACTCATGACCTGATAAGACAGCCCACTCCAACGGTGGACGAGTTCCAAACTCCTTGCCTCTATTCCTCCCTCCCACTTGAGGTCCCTTTTAAGTTAGTTAGTAGTCTCCAAAATGTATCTATCCCAGAGTGTAACAGATGATCCACTAAGGATATGAGTAAAAGATGAGACATTCCATATTACATTTTTCACACTTTCAGATTTAAAAGTTGTACTACAATTTACTACGCAAAGGGCATCGGCACCCTCACTCCGGCCACATATCCAACTGTCCCAGAGAGAAGACCGGTGGCTCTGAATTAAGGGAGGTGCCCTCGGTGGGTGCCCCGTTTCAGCGCACTGGAGCATCATTCTACATGACAAAGACAGGCCTTTAAGCAACAGAATCTTCGTGAAAGGATAGAAAGTGACAGTAACTTTCTGATTTCCTGGCTTTTCTTATGGCTAAATATTTGTGTTGGATTTAAAGACAAAAAGCAATTTTCTTCTGCACAAACAGAAGAATTCTAAGTGTACTGACCAGCTTACATGATGACAGGTGGCTATCAGTAGTATATGCTACCTGGTAGGCTTATTCCAAAAAAAACAAAACATACTTTATCTTTTCAAAGTAAAGTATCATTTTAGTAGTGAGTAAGAAAGTAACAGCTTTTCAAAGGCTACTTGTACAAAGGGGAGAATGTTTCAAAAATTTATCTTTGAAAATGTTTCCATTGTTACATGATTTTGTTGCTAAAATAATGTCTATTAAAAACATTGTCTTTTTTAAGTCATAATCTATATAGGTTATAAAAGGTTTGAAAGCATGGAAAATTATATCAATGAATCTAAAAGTCTACTAAACAGAGGTTTTAGAAATGGGTTTTTGATGTTTGTTTCTCATATATATATAGATAGATAGATAGATAGATATAAAACCTTCCAATTAATTAGCAGAAACTGACTGAGATCAAGGAAGAAGAGAATGTCACTGCCAAACTCCACATGACCCCGGGCATAAATGTCAGGACCAGAGCATCAGAGATGTCGTCAATGGTGCAATTCTTCCCTTTGGACCTAGGACTCTGTGAGTCATCTCTTTCAGTTATGAAAGTCACTCAAGTTAGTCAAAGTGACAATTCAGCATCAGAAGTTTGTGCAGCTATATCTAAGTGCCATATCAAGATTTACCTTGGTCATCAACAGAAAACACTGTAATAAATAAACAAACAGCAACGGCAAATGTTTATTGGAGGCTTTATTTGACATGATCGTTTTGGTTGGGCACATCCCTCGCCTTCAAGGAAAAGAACAAAACAATCTTCAGAGTTGGTCTAGCCATAAGTCACTGTCAAGGAACTTAAAGTATAAAATTCAAATATCACCGCCTCTACCCAGCATTTCCCATGAGGATTAAATAAAACCATACAAATTAGAGTGCCTCGCACAATGCCTTAAATAAATAGATGCTCAATAAACATTTACTGCCCTTTCCTTGTCTTGAAGCCATAAGCTTAATTTATAAAATAAGAATAATGGCCTTAAGAATTACACAGGTTTGAATTCTAACTGTACCACTTGTTGGCCATGCCACTTGAGAAAAATATTTAACTCCATATATAAAATCAAAATAATAATTCCTACCCTATAAGGGTAATATGAAAAGTCATTAAAGGCATACAAAATTATTCAAACCACAAAAAAAACCTCCTTTATAAGTTTATAAATGTCCAACTCTCCTCCTTCCAGATGGCCTATTCATAACTATGCCAGAAGTATAGACTCATGGGTCAAAGAATTTAAAAATATCCACCATAACCCCTAGCTTCAGATAATAATGATAGCACTAGAGTACTCTGACACAGTACTCCATTGTTACCACAGTAGAAGTACAGCACTAGAGTACTCTGGCATAGACTGGATACCCCACCCAGGTGTCCTGAACTCAGGTAAATTACTACGCGGATGTCAATGTCAGTAGGCAAACTCTGGCAGCCCCAGCTGGCCTGGTGTGGGACTGGCTCTTCCTGCTGCTCAGACAGTGCTCGTTCCACCATCCTATGTATCCTCCCTAGCTGAAGTCACCTACTTACAGCTAGTGCAAATTAACTTAATGGTCATAATACAGTACTAGCATAACTTGAGCTTTTCAGGTTTCTATGGCTAAGGAAATCATTACTTTGTTAAAATACTTTTACATAAGAGAAAAAAGCACAGCTTTTTGACACAGCTTAAATTAGGAGAAAAAGTTTCCTTTTGTTTTGCACAATTATCATAGGAGACTCACCTATAGCTAAGGTGTCCTAAATTTCAGCTGCACAGGAGTGCTCTTAGAAAAGAAAATGGAGCGCTCTAGAATGGTACAACCAATTCAAACTGTAAACAGCGGACTCTAGTGCAATAAATAAAAGCTTGGGGAGCCCTAACTGGTGTAGGTCAGTGGATTGCGCACAGGCTGTGAACCAAATGGTGGCCGGTTCAGTTCCCAATCACCGCACAGGCCTGGGTTGCACGTGGTTCCCGGTGGGGGCCGCATGAGAGGCAACCACACATTGATGTTTCTCTCCCTCTCTTTCTCCCTCCTTTCCCCTCTCTCTAAAAATAAATAAATAAGATCTTTTTTTAAAAAAGCTGGAAGAAGCGGAAAAGCCACTTTATTCTCGTCAAACCCAAGGCGAAGGAAAACACTATGCAGTGACTGTACAAATGCAGGTGCAACTGTACGTGGTGAGTTGAAACACATCTACAAGAAGCACCTGTAAGACACAATGAGTCAAGTCACAGCCTCTGGATGACAAGTAGAAAACAGGATTTTAAATGTCTGAAAACTGCGGCTTCAGCGCTTTTGCAACACCTGCGTTTACGCTGTCACGTGAAGCACACGGCACCGCCAGGGCCACACCATCACTCACAGGCTGGCCCTGTAAATGTCATCGAGCAAAAGCAGACGAACCGGCAGCGGAGGCCTGCCCCGACCGAGCTCCCTCCCAGAAGGCAAACGCCGCAGGAGACCGCGGCGTGCGCGGGGCCAACCCAAAATAAACAAGCGAATAATGAAGACCGACGGCGTCCCCACAGATCCTCCTCCTCATCCTGAATCCTTCCGAAGTGTCATCCCAGGAAATAGGGCTGGTTTTCCACAGAGCCCCGCGACCCCTTTTTCGCGGAGGGGCAGCACCGGTCACCTCCCTCCGTGGACCCCTGCACATCCCCCTAAGCCACGGACTCATCTGATTCCCACGGCGGAGACTCGAACACCTCTGTTAAGTTTCCGGAACACGTGATTCTGGGCCGCCAACTTGCTAGAAACAGATTCAACAACACTTGTACACGTGTGTCTGAGCCCTGCCACACTTCCCAGGGGGGTACTGAATGTCACCAATTTTGGATGACACTCCCCGCGCCTCGCCCTAAAAGAGGGGAGCGAGTCCCGGCCGGCTGGCCGCCGGCGGCTCTTACCCATTTGTCCAAGGGGACCTGGGCGAGGGACCCGGTGCCCTGGTACAGGTCCAGGCTGAGCTGCTCCAGGCTCAGCTTCTCCTGCAGGAAGTGGCCCAGGTACCTCTGCAGGAGGTAACGACAGGCCCTCTTCTTGATGGACTCTGAAAACGGCCAAGGCATGATGACGGTTGGCAGGTGGGCCGGCGGCGGCTGCGGGTGGCGCGGCTCTGGCCTCGGATCCCGGCCGGCGTCCCCCGGCGGTGGCGGGGCCTAAGCCCGGGGCGGCCCCTCCATGCCCGCTCGGCACCAGCCGTCCCTCAGGGCGACCCCATCTCCTAGATCGCGCCGCTGGCTCTAGGCCCGGCGGAGACGAGGGGCGGAGGAGTCCCTGTCGTCCCAGGCCCGGGTGATTACGGGGGGGATCCTAGTCCGCACAGAGGCGGGGTGCGAGACAGTGCGAGGGGCCGAGGCGGGGCCCGAGAGAGGGGCGCAGGCAGACACCTCCACCGCCGCCGCGCGACGAATTTGTTGTCATCCGCGGGCGCGCTCCCGACTCTGGCGATGCTCCCGGCGCGTTCGAGAGACCCGAACTCCCAGCGCGCCACCGGGCGCTGGCGGAAGTGACGCAACACTGGAGCTGCGGGAGGCGGGACGAAGGGCCCGGAAGCGAGCGGTTCCGGCTTCCGAAGAGGCGAGGGCTCTGAAGGAGGGGGAGAAGGGGTGGTGCTGCCGAGGGCCGGCTCCTTACGCCCAGGGTGGGCAGATCGGGAGGGCGGACCAGGAGGCCCCGGGCGCGCGCAGGTGAGCTGCGGCCGGGCTGGCTACCGCGGGGGCGGGCCGGGGGCCCTCCGAGCGGGACCCGGCGCAGCAGGCCGGGCCGCACGGGGCGGAGGCCGAAGGGGCCCGCCGCTGGGAGGAGAGGGCTCCAGAGGCGGGCCCGGCCTGGGCCGTCCCCCTCCTCTCACACCCGGACGCGGGAAACGGACGCCAAGGGGAGGGCTGCGGCCGCTACCGCTTATCCCCGCCGCCTCCGCGTATTGACCGGTGTTGCGCATTGCCAGCAAGTTGTTCGTAGCCCGGCTCGTGCAGGTATCGTTTCCAAGCCTTCCTATTCGTGACTGTGTGGCGGCCGGCGGCTTAAGAAGCGCCTTCTGGGTTCTGGGTGTGCTGCGCCCTGGGTGTGCTACGCCCGGCACCGAGAAACTTGAGTTGTCGAGGATTTGAGTGCAGACCTGCTTTCCGTGGGCCGTGCCCAGGCCTCCCGTCCCCGCGGAAACGTGGGCGATGGGCATCTGCGCCCGGGTGTTGCCGCCTTAGAGGCAACTCCTGCAGAGGCCGAGCTGGCTGTTAACTTAGGCAACCCCGAAAGGCCTGCGGGGCGGGGTGGGGGGGCGGTGGCCAGCGAGCCAGACGTCCGCTTTCGCTAAGAGCCCGACACTGCCGTTTAGCTGAGCCGCTCCGACCAGGGCTCGGCCGTTGGAGCCTTTGCCAACGGTGAGCGGGTTACTGTCGAACCTCCAACTATTGTTAGGAAAATTGAGCGATAGGAGTGAGGAACGAACCTCAACAGAGTCCGATTCACGTAGTTTCATTAAGCATAGTAAATTAAGATGACCTGTGTAAGGAGATTTTATTTGTTTGGTAACTCATGAATGCGATAGAAATGTGTACTGACGGCCCCAAAATGTCGTCAGATAGGGAAAGCTCCGGGTCCCTTCCCTCGACCACCTTTCCGTCTCCGATCCACAGTGCTCTCTGGAGTGTGCATTGCTGGGGTCGCCCCAAGCATTCTCAGCAACCTCGGCTCCCTTGCTCTTCGTGCATTCAAAACCACTCGTTCAAGGTTCATTAAATGAAAGTCTTCGCAACTGCTAAGGTGAACAGGGTGAAGAATCAGGCAGAACCTTCCAGGAGTATGTGGTCTGTAGTGGAAGATCTGCTCCTGTATTCGGTGTAGATGTACTGATTTCCTGCATGAGTCAGGGACTGTTCTAGGTGCCGGGGATACAGCGCTGAACCAGTCAAGGTCCTGGAGTTCACGTTTTATTGAAGGCAGGGGCAGCAAATGAAAATCAAATCGTATTATGTGTGGTGATAAGTGCCATGGGGGCGGGGGGGCGCAATATAAAGGGAGATTTGTCACTCTTATATAGAGGGGTAAGGGAAGGCCTCTCTTTAATAATGTGACATTTTAGAAATTTGGAGAAAACTAGGTAGCAAGGCACTTGAGTACCTGGAAGAGTTGTTTTCCAGGCAGAGGGAACAGCAAGTTTAAGGCCCTAGGACCAGAGCATGCGTGGTGAGTTCAAGGAATATCAGGAAGCAGTGAAGCGGAGGGTGGGTCACATACAAACACAGAGTAATTGTGAGTCAAAATATGTTTAACTCACTAATGAAGGAACCCAGGAAATATTAAAGTTGATGTAAAGTAGTGAAATCAGTGAGAGAAAAACTGATACAATAAAATGGCAAAGTTAGCTCAAAGCTGGCTAGTGGGGTTTTCACTTCCAGCTAAGATTGACTAAGAGAAACCAGATTTATTCTTTCACCTGCGGTTAAAAGAAAAAGTGAGCAAAAATATATGAAACAGTTGTTGTTAAGACTTTGCATCATGCCGTGAAGGACAGTGATCCCTGAGAGGCAGGCTGCAAACGAGGTGGCTCTGTGTCCCAGTTTATTGCCTGTAGAGAATCCCCATCCTGAGGGGAGAAGCCCAGGTCGAGCCCAGGCAGCCTCCCTGAGTTGAGGCTGTGGAGCTAGGGGTCCGTGGGCCGCTGGGACAGAGCCCTGGACGGTAGAGAGCTGGAGGGGGAGCTGTGGAGATGCATGGAAGGTCCCCCTCCATCCTGCAACTCAGCAGCATCAGCACTTGGTTGTGAAGAAACAGCCCTGGGCTGGGGAAGAAAGGACTTTGGGGGAATCAGGAAAGACCAAGGACAGTCCTGTTTCTGTCACCCAGAGCGGAAAACCTCATAATCCATACATCATTGGGTAGACCTCTCAGAAAGGGTTTGCCCCTACATCGGAGCAGAAGTAATCAGAGACTAAATGCAGCTTTGGTACCACTTTAAAAAGTTAGGAGCAAGGCTCAAAAGAACAGGCTGTTTTCAGATAACTTAACTACATTCCAGGACAATGCTCAGTAAAGTTAATAAGAATATAAAAATACCTAGCACCATACAAGGTAAAATTCACAATGTCTGGAATCCAGTCAAAAATTACCAGGCATGCAAAGCAGCAGTATACAACCCATAATGAGGAGAAAAGTCTATCAATTAAAACTGACGTAGAAGTAACAATGAAATTAGTACACATTAAAACACATTGTAGCTATTCATATGTTAAAAAAAAAAACTAGAGAAAAGATTGGACAAATTAAGAAGAGACAGTGCAAAAAGAAAACCATTTTTTTAGACCCAAGTAGAAGAAACTAAGTAGGTTTTACAGAAGAAACCATTAGTGAACCCGAGTGCCACGGTCCAGCCGCAGCTGGGCCCAGGGGCGCCTGAAAGGTGGGTAAGGCATCGGCGATGGGAGACCAGTGCCAACTCGACTCGGAGGACGGTGGAGCTCTGTTCCATTTATTGCAAGTACAAGCGGGTTTTTATATTTTTGGTAGCAATTAATGTTTGCAGTTAGGCGAAGAAGGAAATTTTCTACCCAGGTATTTTAAATCAGACAATTAGAAATAGCTGTATGTACAGAGTTTGAATATCTTATTGTTTATTAAAGTTCTCAGAATTTGTCATGGGGCAAAAGGATACGCTAGACTGAGTAGAGGTTATCGGAAATTATTATAAGGCCTTTGTGATGTCTAACTTAGCTATCTATCTTTTCTGTCTAAAATGTTTCTCCATGTACTATGGACTCTGACTCCCTGGTAATGGTTTCTACATACTTAGTTTGTAATAGCTAACCAGCTTCTCTTATTTCTTTGCCTAATTCTAATTGATATATATTCCTATTCAAGGTAAGGGAGGGGCTGTTACTCCAACAACTTTTGGACATTCAGGGGATATTTCATTAGAGGGGATTTTATTCTCTGGTCAAGAAATTATTTTGTACAACTTCATTGGAATTATGCAAATCAATGAACCTGAAATACAGGTGTCTTAACAATCCCACCACCTTTTGATCACATGAGTTCTTATATGGGAACAGTCGGGGATAATTTCGTACTCAGGTTTATAAACACCTTGTTTATACAGTTTTGGGGGCATGACTCAGTAGTCTGGGGAGAACTAGTTGTCCCTTCAGAATTTTCCTCAAAGTTAATCATTGACTCACTTCGAGCTCTTTCTCCTCATGGCCTGTTCTTATGGGAATCAGGGTACAATGTAAGACCATGAATAACATCAGCAAGGAAGTTACTAAGAGCAATCCTCCAAAAATTGCCGCCCCCCCCCCTTTGTATGCCATGTTCTCTTCCATACAGATGGATTCCTTGAATTCCTTCTTTCCACGTCCAGACCTTGTCGGACAACATGGTTGGAAGAGGACGTGGCACCTGAATGCACAGCGGCAGAAACTGTTCAGAGTGAAACACAAAGAGAAGAGAAACTGAAAAACGTTAATGAAGCAGTGAGGAGCAGGACAGCTTCACTTGGACCGATGTTCTTGAAATTGAAGTCTTCAGAGAGAAAAGGAACAGATAAATAAAGAAATGATGGCCAGATTTTTTTGAAGTTTATTGAAACTATAAACCCAAGGGAAATGGCTCAGTGAACCCCAAAGCAACAGAAACATGAAGAAAATTATAGCAACAGGAACCAAGATAACAATGGCATCAGATTTCTCATAGGAAACAATGCAAGATACTAATAAGAAATATCTTTATTACCCAATCTTGAAAGGGGGGGGGTGGTACTTGTCAGCCCAGGATTCTGTTCCCAACAAAAACACCTTTCAAAAAGGAAGACAAACGAAGACTTGCTGGGGTGTGCAAAAGCTGGAAGAATTTAACAGCATCAGACGTGTGCTGCAGGCAGTGTTGAAGGAAACCCGTCGGCACAGGGAAAATGACGCAGGTGTAGATCAACGTGAAGGGATGAGGGCACCGGAAATAGTGTCTGTGTGGTTACACGAAACATGCTTTTTTATCCCCTAAGCTTTTATCCCCCATCACTTTAAAATAATTGACTGTTTAAAGCAAAAATAGCACGTATTGTGAGGTTTCTAACATATGATGAAGTAAAATGCATGACAAAAATAGCACGAAGATTATATTATAAGGTTCTTATTGTACGTGTAGAAAAGTAGAACATCACTTGAAGATACATTGTCCTAAGTTAAAGCTGTATACTGTAAACTCTAAAACCACCATAAACACACAACAAAGAATTATAGTTAATACCCTGGCTGGTGTGGCTCAGTGGATTGAGCACCAGCCTGAGAACCAAAGGGTCGCTGGTTCGGTTCCCAATCAGGGCACATGTCTGGGTTGTGGGCCAGGTCCCCAGTGTGGGGCATGCAAGATGCAACCGCACATTGATGTTTCTCTCTCTTCCCCTCTGTCTAAAAATAAACAAATATTCTTTTAAAAAAGCAAAGAATTATAGTTAATAAGCCACCAAAGGATATAAACTAGACCAAAAGAGTGGTTAGTCCAAAAGTGAGCAAAAAAAAAGAAAGAAAGAAAAGGAAATAAAGTACAGATGGGACAAATAGAAAACAAACAACATGATAGATAGTAATCAGTCAGTTATAACAATCATATCAATAAGCACAGTGATGTTATGAAATGCAGATGGTCCTAACACCCCAATTAAGTGACAGAGATTACGAGATTGGACAAAAAAGCAGTACCAAACTATATTCTGCCTACAGGAAACCCAGTTTAAATATAAAACCATTTTTATTCCCATTTTCAAGAGCCTAAAATAGCCTATTGTGTCAAAAATAAATCCCCCAGTCCTACGTATCAGCACCATGTCAAATTACTTACCTATGACTCCCTTAACATCTTCCTCCAGTACACTGGCCAGCCTAGTCTCTTTCCAGCTCCTGCCACAGGAATGGTAAGGAGTCCCGTACAGACTCGCTTATACATCATTCCCTTTGAAGAAGTCTTCAGAATTCTCCAGTCCTTTCAGCTCAACTATAACTTTTCATCTGTGTTCCTTCAAAATCAATTTTGATTGACCTGTTTCTTGAGTCAGACCCTATTATAATCATGATTATGTCATAAGTCATAGAATATCAGAGCTCTTAAGAACTGTAAAAATTTCCTACAAGTACCCCTTGTTTTACAGATTAAAAAAACTGTGAGTCCAGTGAGGTTACGTGGTTACGTGAGGTTACGTGACCAACCTAGGTTCACACAAGTTTAGTGGTAATTTTTCAGTAGGGCCAAGACATACTGTTTTCTCTAATTATCTGCATTCCCAATTAAGTACATTTCTTAGGTTATAATTATAATGTGTGTGCATGGCATTAATATTTGTGTACATATTTAATGTACCTGTCCTGTCTGCCCGGTGAGGCTGAAAGCTACCAGTAGACAACGTTAATTAGTGTCCCAGTGCCTAGAAAAATGCTGGATACATAGGTACACAGTGGATTATGATAAATGACTAAGAAATCCAGAGTCTTACTTGACAAGACTACAAAATACAAGAAGTAATTCTCTAGTTTTTACCATTTGAAACAATGATAGTTTCCCTTAATAGGTTAGCTATGCTTCAAAACAGATTTTGTAAAAATATCTGTAAATATGGCTCCTCATTTATATAGTGAGTTTAGTTCATTACCTTTAAATGTCAACCATGATATAAACTCAGTACACTCCACAAATGTTCACACCGGTCTAGCCCTGCACTAACAGTAGCCACCTACCTATTTAAATCTACATGAATGAAAATGAAATAAAATTTGAAATTTAGTTCCTCAGTCACTTGAGCCAAACTTTGCATGCCAGGTGTGGCCGGTAGCTGCTATACTGGACAGCACAAATAAATGCCATTTCCGTCATCACAAAGTTCTGCTGGTCTAGGATTTCTTACGTGATAGTTGTTTTGGCTGCAGAAGGAAAACCAAAGAGTTTACAGGGTCACATGGCCGAGCCGGCCAGTCCGCCAGCCTGACTGGAGGCGTCACTGGGGATTGCGGTGCTCGCTTTGGCAGCGGGTGCCCTGGGGTTGGAACAATGCAGTGGTTAGCAGGGCCCCGCAAGGGCGACATGCAAATTCATAAAATGTCCCGTACTTTTAAAACCAAAGAGTAATTGTAGTAGGTAAGCCTTTGCCAAAATGGGCATGTATTTCCTCTTCCTCAGTTTACAGAAGCAAGAAGATAGTAAGTTCCCATTTCATATTTTACCTTCTGTTTAAATTCATCTTTATCTTTTAATAATTTAATTGTGGTTGTATGTCTGTGTAAATGTATATATAATGAGGTGTCTACTCAAAAAGTTTTGGTTACTGGGATGCGTAGTCGAAAAAGTGGAAGCCACTTCTCTGGGCCCTGTGACTAAGGCCACCCTGTGCTCTGCTCTGGTTCTGTAACTCCTGTTACCACCAGCTGCCTGCATGGTTTGAGGCTCCATGCTCAAACTGCTCAAGAGAAAATTTGATTGGCTAGGCTAATTACCACCCAGAGTCAGGTAGTTGGACAGAGCTCTTGATTCCGGACAACCTGTAGCACCTTGCCCACTCTGAGATGGTCACTCGGTTGAGACGCCCATCCCCAGGGCCTGTGCCGCAATGGCAGGGCTGGAATTGCAGAGTGCAGAGCATGAAACCTGTAACTAAGGCAGCTCTCCAAAGAAGCCGTGAACTTGACGAGTGCTCTGGGCCTCCTTTGGATCGAGCCATCTGAACTGCCTGTTTAAATTGCCCATCCAGTGTGTAAAGTAAATTGTGGCCCTGGCTGGTGTGGCTCAGTGGATTGAGTGCCTGGAACTGCAGGTCTCAGTTCAATTCCCAGTCGGGGCTCGGGCCTGGGTTGCGGACTGGGTCCCCAGTTGGGGGGCGTGCGAGAGGCAACCAGTTGATGTAGCTCCCTTACATGGGTTCCTCGCCTCTTTTTCTCTCTTCCTCCCCCTCTCTCTAGATAAATAAATAAAATCTCTTTTAAAAAGAAAAGTAAATTATGGCTGTTCAGAAAGAAAGGGCAGACAGTGGAGTCTCTTCAGCTGCCCTCACACGCTTATCTGCTGGTAGGGTATGGACACCGGTAGACAGTAATCCCCCCAGGAGTTACCCACATCCGAATCCCAGAGCTGTGAACGTGGTACCTTACATGGCAAAGCGGACTTTAGATTTCTCACTTCCAGAATTAGAAATTCGTACTGTTCTAAGCCCGCCAAGATCATGATTATTTGTGACAGCAGCAATGCAGAACTAATGCATATTGCTATTCAAATTCTGTAAAGACTTTAAAAGTACTTTTTATATCACAGGCACAAAAATATGGGGGTTCCTTTTTTTTTTACCTCTTCCATAAAGCTGCTGAAGCACTAAATCGCTGCTTTTCATCGGTGATACCCACCATCACTGGAGATACTTTGGGTTGCCAGTAAAGTGAGGGAATTTACCGGCCGCTAACTGGGAAGTGCGGGTGAGACCGCCGCCGCCGGGCCGGCAGCCTTTCCCGGTGCCTCTCTTGGCCCTGCTCTTTCCCCTGGTCAGCACGGACTCGGGCTGGTTTCCTGTTGCAGGATGCCTGCCGGGAACAGCTGGAACTCTGCTCTGGGGTTGAGTGACTGGAAAGAGTTTCGTGTGTTGATTAGTTTAGGGCGCTCAGTAACTGGGGTTGGGGCCCGTCTCACCCAGATTGCTCACTCGGTCAGAGAAGGGGGCATTATGATGCTTCTTGGAAAATCTGGGTGCTTTTAGGAAGGGGAAAGGCTATTGATAAATAAGGCCCTGTTATAACCAACAAAGAAGGAATGATAATATTACCTTAAGTAATTAGCTTAAAATGTTATCAACTTCTGTAATGCTTCAGTAATCTATCTTTTTTATTTATATTAGCATCATCAGAAGTTCTGAAAGTCTGCTTTTTTTGTCTGTCACGCAAAGACATTTTAGAAACAAAGTCTCCAGTCTAAGGAAATGCGTCTTCCCCTGCGTTGCCCTTTGGTGCTGATGTCACACCACGACCTCGATGCCCCACTTCCTGACCGTGCGGGGTTCTTCCCTCCTGCTAGCGCTGCATCCCTCACCTTTCTCCTCCATCACTGAGGTCCTGGTTGCAGGGGACTGGATTCTTGTTTTAAAGACTTACTGTTAAGCTGTCTTTTTCATGTAAGGATGATTATTATTTCTGACATCCCTAATTGAGATACTTGATTACTTAAGCCAAATTACAATGTGTGGTATTCATGATATTAAGAGATTTATAATGGACAGTCACATTTTGAAGTCTTCAAACTGACTTTTGGGGGTGCTCTTATACGTAAAACCAAGTATGAAGGAATATGATGATTATTTTTAAAGTAGAAATTTTTAGAAAACAAATGTTTTCACTATCTTATACAGTAAATCAATGTTATACTTCAGTTTTCTGACAAATTGTCCCCAGCAGTAATTGGTAAATTTATAATTAACTTGTATTGTTAGGAGTGACCAATTCTGGAGAGTGCTGTTGAGTGCTTGATCTAAAGGGTCTTTAAAACATATCCTTAGTTGAAATAGGACTGGAAGACTATCTTATTTGTACATTTGCTGTGTAATTTTAAAATAGATTTACATAGTGTATTACTAATTGTCTTTAGCAGATAGTTTTCACTTGTGTGAATGACATGCAGCTATAGGAACTCTAGCTCCTTGATATTTTTGCTGATAATTTAACAAGACTATACAGTAGAGTCACCCGGAAGCTCTGAAAAATATTCATAGAGATTTTGATTCAGTTTCTCTGAGGGTCAGTGGCTGGGGGCATCATTCTTTGCCTCTCAAGTTGGTAAATATTTAAAAATATTGGAAAGAATGTGGTTTTATAAAGAGAGAGAGCAGTCCTTCAGATTCTCTTGGTGGAATTTAAATCAGCACAGCCTTTTGTTGTTGAAGGTGAGTCAGCATTATCTCCTGAAGGTTAAACTGAGCATGTGCTTTGACTCAGCAGTTCCAGTTCTGAGTATCCTAGAAAAATAACGACACATTTAAGAGGAAGTACGTGTTAAGGTTTTTACTGAGGCATTGTTTGAAATAGCTGGAAACTAGTATTTTCAATTGTTATCAATATGGGAACTAGCCCTTTGGGGAGAAATGGAGAACAGAGACTTTTTTCTGAACATCTGTAAGTGTCTGATATTTTGCTGTGAAAAACTATTACAAATGGTTTTAAACAGTATTTTAGAGAAAAGTTGTCAACTAGTTAATGTTCTCTATTAAGCAGCAGTTGTAAGGTACAGGTACTTGTACTCAAACAGTACAAGACATCTTTCTGTGAAGAAGTATTTGGACCATCTTTCTGTAAAGAAGTTTTCTGCCTCCTTTTTTGCAGAATGGAAACCGACTGCAATCCCATGGAGCTAAGCAGTATGTCAGGATTTGAGGAAAATGCAGAGATGAACGGTTTTGAAGGGACCGATATGAAAGACATGAGGCTGGAAGCCGACGCTGTAGTCAACGACGTGCTCTTCGCCGTGAACAGCATGTTCGTCTCGAAGACCCTGCGCTGTGCCGACGACGTGGCCTACATCAACGTGGAGACGAGGGAGAGGGAGCGGTACTGCCTGGAGCTCACGGAAGCGGGGCTCAGGGTGAGTGCCTGTCCCTCTGCGAACAGGGACGTTATTTATGTCTGTACCGCCAGGTCAGAGAGGGGGCAGCGGGTGGGAAAGAGTGTCAAATGAGAACTCAACACTCAGTAGCTTCCAAGATCATTTCAAGGGAAACTTTTGCTAGGAGTTTTTAATAATCCTGGTCTTTTGTCAGCATGGGAAAATGGAATTTATTTTAAATTTGATTGGCAGTGTTACTTTAATTACCACCCCCAAGTTAATTCATTTGTTTCCTATAGCTAAACATGTTGGTACACCAAAAGTATGCACCCCTGCACTGGCTGAGTCTCGGCCGCTGTATTGAGAGCGCCTTCCCACCTCCTAGAAATGTCTCTTCCATTCAGACAGCGCACTTGACTCCGCTGTTGGACCACAGTCAGTCTCAGCAGACGGTTGTCCCTCACGTTTCTAGGAGTGTCGTCTTGGCTCCTCGTTGCATGGCGCTCTAGATTGTGTGTGCAGTTTGCTAGGCGGAGTGATCTCCCTGTGGCCTTGAACCAGAACCCTGAGTGTAGAAGAGTAGAAAGTACCACCTGAAACCAACTTTTTATTTAAAAAAAAAAAAACAACACTGTAAAAGTTTTGACCTCCTGAACAAAGTAATAGGTCATTAGAAACTCCAAAATTTAGTTTTAACTTTACTGATTAATTCATAGTCCATTGCCACCAAAGTTCTCTAACATTTCTGTTTTTCCGTACGTAAGAAGTAATCCCCCAAACTTGCCCAGAGTTATAAGGCCTGAGCAAGTAAGAATGTCGTGTAATAGTATGTTCAATGGCTACATGGATGTTTATTTCACTAGATTCGGTTCCCTTGAGATGTATGTGAATCACGTGTTGTGTATGTTCCCTGGCGGAGGTCGCGTGCATTGATGCAAACGCTAAGCCTGCAGCAGCACCGTAGGCTGCTGCCTAGCTTAGGGAGTGGCGCCTGCATGAACTAGCTTTGTACACTCCTGTCTGAATCCCCAAATCTGAACTAGAAGCCTGTAGTCTTTAGAAATGGATCTTAAATAGAAATAGGCAGATCGAAAGTGGAGGTGAACGACCCCGGATAAATTCATCCTGTTTTCTGTCGGTGAAGGCTGCGGCCGCTGCGGTGAGGTGGGCAGGCCCTGATGGGGTCCTCCGACGTCTTACACGAGAGTCAGAGTGCACCTGGGTCAGCTAGGCAGCCTGTCCGAGTCCGAGTCTTCACCTGTAACCTGGAGAGTGAATGTAAAAGCTGAAGAGGACCAGAGGATGATTGGAGAGTGCACAGTAAGGTCGGATCACTTGGTGTAAAGCCTGGCGTGCTCGGTGTGAGATAACTTTTCAACCCGATTCAGCTAACAGTCGTGGAGCGCTTACCCCGGGTCAGGAATTGGACAGGAAACCGGGAGTGAGACGTGATCCCAGCCCCCTAAGAGGACAGCCTCACGGAGGTGCGAGGGGCCGACGGAACTGTGATGAAGTGGTCCCCCCCTTGCCTGCAGTTCCCTGTGGTCAGCCACGTCTCCAAGCAGTAAATGGAAAAGTACAGAAATGCACAACTTACGCATTTGAAACGGCGCGCCTTTCCGAGCAGTGTGGTGGAATCTCACGCCATCCCGCCCCGTGCCGCCCAGGACAGGAGTCATCCCTTTGTCCTGCGTGTCCTTGCCGTCTCCAGGCCGCCCTTTCCGCCCGTAGCCACCATCTGTTATCGGATCGGTTGTCGGAGAGACCGCAGCCACCAAACTTGTAACTGCAGTGTATTGTTGTGATCGTTCTGTTTTATTTATTAGTTTTGTTCATCTCTTACTATGCCAAATTTATAAATTTAACTGTGTCGCCGGTATCTGTGTATTGGAACAAACCCGGTCTACATCCGGTTCGGTGCTCCTGGTCGTTCCACTAGGAACACCTGCCTGTGGATAGGGGGCGCTGCTGTGCACTGTGCAAAGTGCTGCTGTGAAGCGAGGCTCTGGAGGTGTGAGTCCCCGTCCTGGGGTGTTTGCCCCTGCTTTTCATGAAAACACGACCACCACCGCCTCTGCGGCTAATAACATGAACTTGGGTATTCTGTGGCTTGGATAAGTGTCGTAAAAATCCAGCATTTATAGAGGGAATTCACGAGCTTAGTCAACAAAAACTAAAGTGATTTTGCCCTGTACTGTGCTGTGATATTTCGTGATCTTGGTGGAGAGAAAAGCTTTAGCTGCATTTAAAGAAAAAAAATAACATTCCCTGTTATTTCACTGAGTTAGTGTTTGTTTCTCTATGTTAGATAAGTAAATGTATTACTAATGTGAAATGCCCTTTCAGATAACTAATTATATAAAGCAGGATTAATGTTATGAACATTTTCCAGAATTCTCTATAAAAATAAGCCAAACCAAATAGTGGTAAAAATGCGGATCAATAATTTATTATTTGTTATAGTACCTGTATGTAGCAGACCTCAGTATGTGGACTTAAATCGAAGCACGTTTTAGGTTATGAAAAGAAAATACTGTTTTGTGTGGCTTTTTAAATTTGTTCTGTTTTCCATTTGTTTTAGGATCAGGAGTAGGCCAATCAAACCATTAAAGTGTAGAGGAAAAAATTGTGAATAGAGCATTTTGTAGGGGTTGTTTATACTGAGTTATAAATTGCTTAAAGGTTGTATCAAAAATGCATGCATATTTTACCTGTTGATTGAAAAAGTGTCATTAGAGAGTGACCCACGTAAACAGGTGGTTTTTGCTGTCTGTGCCAAGATGAAGTCCAGTTACCGACTCCACTGTTCTCTTGCAGGTGGTGGGCTATGCTTTTGACCAGGTGGACGATCAGCTGCACACCCCCTACCATGAAACGGTCTACTCCCTGTTGGACGCGCTCAGCCCTGCCTACCGGGATGCCTTCGGAAATGCTCTCCTTCAGAGACTGGAAGCTTTGAAAAGAGACGAGCAGTCGTGACCAAGCTTTTTCCTTGTAGAGGGGCGACGGCTGGAGCAAAATATTGGCATGAAGCTTGAAATTCTTGCATATGGTCATAGGAGAAATGCATCTTTGGTTTTGTGTTTTCATCATTCTTGCTTCAAATTTGGCTTTTGACTCAACATTATTGACTAATAAATCATCTTTCTTAGTTTCTGATTCATGAAGGGAATCCTGAGGCCATTGCTATGATAGCATCATGAAGACATTCAGATTTCTTCACATAGTATCTCTGCATTTCAAAGCGGAATCACTGTTTCATTCTCTTACTCCAGGGCTTTGATACTGCCAGCGCTCTCTATTACACGGGAACTTCTGTATTTGCACAGTAACGTGGGAATTAAAATGACCTAACGGCAAACTCTGATTCGGCTACATCAGGGTTTACTACCAGCCTGGACTAACGTTACAGTGATTATTTTGGTTCTAGCCTTACTGGAAACAAATGATCAACTAGTTTCCCCTGCACAAATTTTGAAATTCACTGCTTCATTTAATCTGTTTATATTACTAATATGGACTGATAAAGACGGATTAATTCTATATCACTTAGCTAGTATTAAATGAACAACAGGGACTGAAAAGTTCTGTATTCCTTGTCTGCAACAGCCAGCCAACTAAGAGGACAAACCGTTAGCAAATGAATGTAATAATTACTTTTTCCAAGGTATTTAAGCACATTAGCAAATACAGGAAAAGGCTCCATTCTTAACAAAAACTTCTTCAATGCGTGGGATTTAAAAGAGAAGATTCAGATTTCTTAAAAAGACAATATTTTGGCCTGTGTTGATTCCTATTATGAATGTTTGTTTACATGACTTACAGTATATGTTCAGAAAGTATTTTTGCTTCAACATTTACTTTCTACGATGTGTAATGCTTGACATTCCCGCAGCGCTGCCCCTTCCCCAGTGAGTGTGCAGTGTTTTGTCTCAGTGCTAAATCCACAGTGGAATGTGAGTGCGCTGTGGGGGTTCGAAACCAAAGGGTGAAGGAAGCACCCGAGACGTCCTGTTTGAAAGGGGAGAGTCTGTATTTTATATTTTATTACAGGTACTGATCTTTATAAACTTAATAAACTATGCCGTGCTGCTTCATGTTTCCAAGAACATGTTGAATAGTAAGATTGGGGAACATTGGTTTTTAACAGTAGCCTGAAGTGGCAGCTGTAGAAATGCCGAACAAAAATTCTGCACCTCGACACACCTTCAGAAATTTGTCATTTGCAGGCTTTTTAAAATCCTTATTAAATACTAGGTACTTCTAGGCCCTGGAGATGACGTAGACCAGAGCAGGTCAGAGGTCGGTTCAGGTGGCTCTTCCTTGTCAACCGTCGCTGGTGGAACGCTTTCGTCGTGGTTGGTAACTCACGTTCATTCCCAACTCTCCTGTTAGATGCTCGACTGTTGGGCAGTGGAGTCTGACCTCAGGTTGGACCTCCTGTTAATCTCAGGCTAACCGTAAAGGGTATTTGTAAAGTCTGAATAAAATTCTGTTTACTCAGTTTGAGTTTTCAGTATGAAGAAAAAGTGGTTATATGTTTAAAAATTGAAATTGTTCACTTTGTGATAAATGATTGATTCCAAGAGCTTTCGTTTCCATTTTTGAATTATTTATTTTAACATGAGGTGAGTTGCTGTTTTCATGACTGTGAAAGAACAGAGAGACTTAGTAAAACGCAGGTGTTAAAACCTGTTTTCCCTAGATTGCTTAAAGAATTTCACCAGATCACTTAAGCCTTTTATTACACTTCCAAAGGGGGGAAAACTATAAATAACTCTTACAAATCAGTAAGAAAAAAATGAGAACGGGCAAATAATATGATCAAGCAGCTGAGAAAAAAATGATACAGATGTCTAGCATCTGTACGCTAGATACTTGGACAATACTCGGCCTGACCAGTACTTCAACAAAGGTAAATATCACTTGATAATCTCACCTATAATTTAATCATGTGCCTTACTTAAATAAAGTGGTACCGGGAAGGATTTAGCGAGAGGGTGCTCTTACATCCCTTGGGGTGCAGATCGATGCACCCTTTCTGGGGAACGTGGGTGAGAGGCCTTGCCAGAGCGTGTAGCTTCTGTGCTGGCTCCATCCTAGCAACCTAGCATTGAGGGTGGCTCAGCAGATGTACTGCAAGGCTGTTCGTTTTCTCTAACAAAAATTGAGTGGCTCTGAAGGTGATTATGTTATGCTGTATAATTCTCTTGATGGAAAAATATTCAGCCACTAAAAATAATGAAAAGGCAATGGGGGAAAATTTTAACTACATGAAATATATAGCTTGGAAAATACTATTCTATGTAGTAGGGAAAAAATAAAACATTCTACATGTTCGTAGTCCTCACTAGGTGGTAAGATAGGTAATTTTCGCTATACTTTTTCACATTTTCTACAGTTGGTTGTATACATGGTATTTTGCCGTGTATAATCCACACCCATGTTTTTGTGCACGTTATACATGGGATTATTGTACCCATGGTGTGTAATCTTTACACTCGTATAATGCACATTCTTATTTTTCCCTCAAAAAATATGGTTGAAAAAGGGCACATTATATGGCAGAATACAGTACTAGTTGAAGGGGAAATAAATGGCAGTAGATGTAAATGGCCCACAACCCAGGCTAGCTGGAGAACTCTTCTGTCCAGCAAAAAGCACCCTACTGTGCGCAGTCTTGTCTGCTCCCAGGGAGAGGGCAGTGATGATGAACCGGCGCACACCTCATTCCCCGTGGTGACCCGTCCTGCCTTTCCTCCAAGTCCAGAATCAATTATTGCACTTCCAACACAGCAAATGGGTGTGTGGGATCATGCTCACATCTTCCGCTGCACACCACCATTCTCTTTCCTGGGTTCAAAAACAAAATGTGTTGTCCAGGGGAAACACGGAGGTTGGGAAAACACAGGTTCTATGTGACACACTGACTCCAGAACTCTGCCTGCAGCCCATCTAGTCTGTGGTGACAGAGCTGAGACCACAGGCCGCAGGCTTTGCTCAGCAAGCCCACCGGTGAGCAGTCGAGGTGGGCAGAACCCGTCTTCCAATAAAAGCATCTCCTGAACTTGTGATATGAAAGCCGGTTTTGAAAGAGGGAAGGAATAACAGTAAATGATGTGATGGCTGGTATAACAGAATTAACAATCTCTTTTCCTAACCTACCCATATGTAAAATTCTCTGGAAGCCACCCCATTATAACTATGGCGCTAGCACACTTACACGTCACCAGTAATGTGAGCGGTAAGAATGAAACAAAGCTGAGATACTGTATAGGAGCATGAGCAGTTGGTAACTTTCAGAGTACCTACCTGCTTCATATCAATAGGGGAAATAAAATTCTGGAAATGATGCATCTAGTCAATTCTAAAATATTTGACCTAACAAATCATTTGAAAGAATGCCAAAAATAACCCATGGAGTTTTGTACTGAAACTGCATAAATATTTTTCGTTTTAAATCAATAGCACTTCATTGTTGATCGTTTTTTAAAAAGAACGTTGCTATGAGCAAGCCATCCCCAAATTGAGTTTGCAAATTTTCAAAATTAATTATTTTATCAAAACAGAGGTTTCAATGAAACATAGAAAAAAGAAAAGGGTGGAGACAAAAGCAAAAAACAAAAAATGAGGCTCCTATTTGTAGCAGCATACGTAAGGTTTACAGGATAAAAGCATTTCACCCTGGAGACCACTTGAGAAGATGCTTTCGTGCTTGTCTTATCCACTCCTCACAGCCCTGGAGGTGGGTGGGTTCACTCCTGTTTTACAGCCAAAGTAATAGCTCTGGAAAGGTAAAAAGGTGGGTTCCAGTCTCCAGCCAACACCTGCAGAGCTGTAACTCAAAGCCAAGTCGTCTTCTGGAGCTCCCAAGCCATCTCCATTTTTGAGGCAATCAGTATTTTAAAAAATAAAAACTGCATGGGTTAAATTTTTACATATAGCAAGTTAATGTTTAAAGCCCCAAAATATTTCCATAGCATTGGCTATTCCAAGACAACAAATGGCAAGATGTAGTCATAGTCCACCACGACCTTTGTGATGTGATGACCCCTGAAATAAGTTGGATGTCATCTTTCCAATTGTCAGTTCATCTCGGCATGAAAGGTCAAAATCTAAATCTCATTCATCCCTTTGTGGATGTGGATGGTTGAATGCCCGGCACAGCAGCCTCTGGCTGCCTCCACCCCACCCACCACGCCCACTCCCGGAGGTCTTTCAGAGCTGTTAGGAGACGACCCCTACACCAGCTGGGCCCCCTGGACCAAGTAGCAACTGGCTGCCCGCTGGGGACCACCCACCTGTCGTTCAGGTGTACGGGACTTGACATCCCAAGGCAACAGCTCTTCTTTGCAGTAGAGGATTGTGCCACGTCCTCCTGGTCAGACCATCCCACACTAACTTCGACATCTCAGGGGAGGCCGAGGCTGTAGGCTTTGCCTTCTCATCAGGTTCTTCAGTAGTTTCAGCTCTCGCTGTCAAGTGGACACTGGGACGTTTCCAGAGTCTCCAATGAAAAAGAAAAAGAACAGAGGACGCGCCCTGTCCGAGGGCACACGGCGTGCAGCAGGGCAGAGCAGGGCCCTGGCTGAATGCACGGGGTGCGGTGGAAGACAGAACTGGCTGGGGACACCCACGAGACTCCCAAAGTGGGACTGAGCCCCGGAAGCTCGCGAAGCCAGTAGCCCCGCCCCAACCCAGGAGCGCCCCGCCCAACGCCCTAGGCCCCGCCCCCGGGGGCAGAGCCCAACAGTCTCTGGACCGCGATCCCGCGGCCTTAGCAACCAAAGGGACGCTTTCTCCTTAGCAACCAGCGCGGCTCCCACCATGGCTGAAGAAGAGGAAGGTGCTGTCCGGACGGAGAAAGTTATTCGGATCCAGAGGGTGTTTATAAACCTGCTGGACTCATACAGCAGCAGAAACATCGGGAAGGTGAGCGGCAGTGAGTCAGGGCGGGACGCTGACCCCCCAGCTCCTGTTCCACGGCCCCAAGTCCCTGAACCCAGAGAGGCCCTGTGCCACGGGGTGGGGGGGTAGGGGGGCTCTCAGGGTATCTCCCTCCCAAGGGAGGGTCCCTTGTGGTAGGCATGGCAAATACCCCCAGGGCCCCCAGTCTGAATCCAGGCTAGACAACCGCCCCACCTGGAAGTCTCCCCGCCCACCCACCCCTAAATGAGTTCACCGGTGGAGCCCCAGCTCCTCCCTTGTTAATAAGGGAAAACTGGGTGGGGCTCAGAGGAAAAAAGGGGCCGGCCCAAGATCACATAGCTAGGTGAAGGCAGAACCTGGAAATGGAGCCCAGGACTCTGACCACCCTGCCACCGCCTCTGAAGCAGGCCACTGATGCAAAAAGAAGTCCAAAATAGACCCGGGGAAGCCAAGTACAGCGTCACAAATACAGTCCCTAACACTGTAATAACTACCTACGGTGCCAGGTGGGCCCTGGAAGCATCAGGGGAACACTTTTGTAGAGGATGTGATTGTCTAACCGCTGTGCTGTGCACAGTGCAAAATAATATTGAAAGTAAACTAACTGCAAGAAAACATTTTTAAAACATAAGTCCCATGGTTATTTTGCCCACAAGGCATTTTTCACTCAGCACTGCCTTCAGCTCTCGGTTTGAGCGTCTGGTGTATGCCAGGAACTGTTTTGGGCCCCGAGTCCCACTAAGCTTTGTCACCTTCTCCACCTTTCGCCCCTGGAAAATGAAGCTGTTCAGAGAGAGGACGCTGGCGCCCTCCATCTTAAAATGCCCAGCTGTGAAAAGAAAGCCATGATTGTTATCATTCCCTGAGGAGGACGTACTGATTTTCTTAAGACTGGTGACAAATTAGCACCAAGTGGGGGGCTGAAAACAACAAAATTTATTCCCTCCCGGTTCTGGGGTCCAGGAATCCAAAATCAGTGAGTCAGCCGGGTGGGTCCCCACCGAGGCCCAGGAGGGAATCTGCTCCATGTTCCCCTCTCAGCTTCGGGCGGCCGCCAGCCGTCCTTGCTGTCCCTCGGTTCCCAGACTCATCACTCCCAGCTCTGCCCCCGTCTCCATGTGGTGCTGTTCCCGGCGGGGGGGGGGGGGGGAGGTCTCTGTGCCCAAATTCTCTTCTTAGAAGGACACCAGGCCCTGGATTAGAGCCCACTGTAATCCAGGGTAACTTCAAATACATCTGCAAAGACCCAATTCCACATGTGATCAGACTCACACGTTCCAGGTGGACAGGAATTTGGGGGTACAGCAGGGGGACTGTTCAACCCTGTATGTCATCTACAGTTATCTGTCAAAAACATATGGATTTTAATAAAAAATAAACTATATATATAGATTTAGATATATAGTTTATAAAAATAGTATTTTTATGCAGCATGTCATTATGATAAACAATGTATATGATATTATATGTATTGTAAATAGTAACAGCTACTAGGAGAGACTAAAAACACATGACCAAAAGAGAAGGAAAGGAAATGACAATGACCACCAAAACTGAAACAATACAAACAGAAAATATTTTTAAAGAAAGGAAACATGAAAAACACAGGTGTAGTATGGACTTCTTTGTGTCTTTGAAAACAAGAGCTCCAGGTACAGAAAAGAGAGATAGGTAGGTCATCTATACATAGAAAGCGTCTCTGAGGGTACACAAGGAACTCAGCCGGCATCAGCTCTGGAGGGTGGGGCCCACTCAGGGCACCTACAAGTTGGCAGGCACAGACAACTATGCACTGGGTGAGACCGGAAAAATGTTGCTGCCCTCAAGGACACTGCCTCTTTTGGAAGAAGACCGACGACCACTAATTTGTAGAGTCCACAAGAGGTTCCAGTGTGTGACAAGTCCTCGGAAGGAAAGAGGACACCCCGTGCTCACCATGAGCAAGAGCAGCTGCTTTACAGAGAACTGCATAAAAGGACTCTCCAGTGTGACACCAGCTGGGGATCAAGCCTGAGGCATTGGTCCCCAGGCGTCACGACAAGGGCAGAGGTTCTGCGGTGGCAGTCGGGTTGGTGTTTTCAGAGGCCAGAGTGGCCCAGAATGGGGGCGGTGACCCAGAGCTCCAGGGTGGACTTCACTGGTGCAGGAGACACGGGGCCCAAGGCCCGTGAGATTTGGGGGCCCACAAAAATGTTTCCATTTCTCTGAAAACCGAAAGGAAGCAACTAAAATCTGAGGGTCAAAGATTATGTTTGTCTTTATAGCAAAACACATATAAAGTATTATTTTAAAGGTCTCTTTTACTATTTATTTATTTTTAGAGAGAGGACTGGAGGGAGAAACATCAATGTGTGGTTGCCTCACATGCGCCCCCCTCCTGGGGACCCGGCCTGCAACCCAGCACATTCCCTAGATCAGGAGTCAAACCAGCCACCCTTTGGTTGGCAGGCCTGCACACGGTGCACTGAGCCACACCAGCCAGGGCTTAAGTATAATTTTTAACATTTTTCTGTGGACGGAGGGGCCCATGAAAGTCAGAATGTGGCCCCAATCCGCACCACAGCAGCGCCGCACACGCGCTCAGCACTCCATCGATATTTTTTGCACAGACAGCCAAGAAGAGTCCAGCGCGAAGGCCCAGATCACGTGGGGTCAGGAGCCAGTCTCATCTTCTCAACCCCACGAAGGCCACTGGAATATTTAAAAAGGGAGGTGCCATGGTTGAGATTAGAGGGAGGGAAGGAAGAGACTCTTTCTCTCCAGTTGATCTCTGATTATTTTTTAACAGCGTAGCTTTAGAATAAAACTTTTCATTTGCAGAGGTAATTTTTTTCAAAGACTTATCAGTAGCAGAACTTTCTGGTTATTCCTTAACTAACCAGGACCTCTCCTTCTCAAATTGCAAGTAATTGCTGTCATCTGGCTGTTAACCTAGAAATAAAAGGCCCAGTGAGAGGCAACAAGTGTTTATTTGAAACCCAAAAACAAGAGCTCCGCAGGAGTCAGTGATTCAGGGAGAAGGCCAAACAGTGTTCAGATTAGGGGAGGGAGGGCAAAGGGATTTCATGAGCAAGGGCGTGGGGGGCAATGATCACATGAACAGAGGAAAGAATTGCTACTGGTGTTACGAAGCCCAGGAAGGATTTTCCAGAGGTGCAGATAAGCTAAGTCATCCCCAAGCTCTACATGGTGATGCTCGTTCTGAAGAATGGATTTTATTTCTGCGGGCGGCCTCTCCATCAGCTGTCACTAAGGCCAGTTTTCAGACCCGCCCTTCACTGACCACCCTTGCTCCGAGTTGTTCTGAGGATTGAGGAAATGTCTCTTGTCTTGCAGTTTCTCTCTAACTGTGTAGCTGGGGCTTCACTTGAGGAAATTCCAGAAGAGGAAGAGGAAGATGAAAGTGGGTTAGTCCTGCCAGAAACCTCCTCATTCAAGCTGAAGGAAGGCACGTTCCAGATCGTGGGCACCATTTCCACCCCCGGAGCCCCCCAGCCCAGCTTTGCTCTGGAGACCTACTCGGTAAGTACCCTGCCGTGCCCCTCCTGAGGGCAGACAGAGGGGAGCGCCACCTTTCCCCTCAGACCTCCCCACAAGGCTTCTCCGCCCCCTCTTCTGCAAATGTGGGGGGCTGGGGAAGGTGAGGGACAACGTGGGGGCTGGTCTTCATCCTTGAAAGGAGAATGACACCATTGTTGCTACTTGAAAGAATTGAAATGAGATATTCTCGGAACGTATGAAACTAATTTGGACTTTATTCTGCCTTGCGTTGTCCCAGTGCTACTCAGGGCCATGGGGCGTGCTCTTTGTGAACAGAAAACCTCCTCTGGTCACAGGCCACTCAGGAATAACATGCCATTGCATTGCTGTCTTACTGAGACACATGGCTGCCTCCACGTGGCAAATTCTACACAGTTCTTGCCCTGAGACATTTCAGTACCGCCAAGAGGGGTGTCCCTCCTGGGCTATCTCCTCCCATCACCCTGCCTGATACAGCTTTGCCCACTCTGTGCCCTGGAATGGACTCTCCACTTCCCTCCCCAGCCAGCCCTATTCATCCTTCAGGGTGTCATCGCCTCCAGGAAGCCCTCCGTCATTTTTACTTCTCCCCGCCATCCCAGTTTGGTTTCTGAGCCATTTTCTGTACAACCATAGCATTCTTTACCTGCATCGGTAATAACACTTTCTCTATCTTTTTAAAAATACTTTATTTATTTATTTTTAGAGAAAAGGGAAGGGAAGGACAAAGAGAAGGAAACATCAATGTGTGATTGCCCTTCACACGCCCCCTAGTGGGGACTCTGCTGCCAACCCAGGCATGTGCCCCGACTGGGAATCAAACCAGAGACCCTCTGGTTCACAGGTCGGCACTCAATCCACTGAGCCACACTTGCCAGGGCCGGTCATAACACTTTCACACATCATTGTTATGATCTATCAAGTGTGAGTCTCACTGACTATAACTATCAGCTTCTTGAGGGCGGAGACTATGTCTTATTCTCCTGCCTACCCACGCATCTTGGGCACCGAGCACCATGACCGGCAGAAAGTGTCTCCCAGTAAGTGTTTGTGAAATGAATGAATGGGTCCCCTCCGCCCATCTTTGGGACCTGTCTTCACCACTCACCCCTTTCACACTCTTCTGGGTCTTCACTCGCCACTGGCTTCTCTCTTTCCACCGATACATATACCCAAATCTTTCCCGCTGTAAGCCACTTCATGTGTCCTTCCAGGTAACTGCTCGCCTCTTTCTGTGCCCTGCCCCCTGCCACCAATGACCTTCAGAGAGGGTCCAGCCATGTTGGCAGGTCTCACTCCAGCATGCCCCAGTCCCTATTCCCCACAGTGAGGAAGAGCCAGCAAGCTCTGTCCCCACCACTTCAGAGGAAATGACCTGGCCAGTATCGCCATGAGCCCGGAATTCCCACGGTCTTGCCTTACCTGGCTTTTCAGGAGAGACTCTCCTCCCCCCTCCTCCGCCCTCTGCTCTGACCTCCCTGAGGCACCTGAGCGCTCTGCTTGTCTTCTTCCACTGGCTCCTTTTCTCCCTTCCAGCCTTCAAATGCAGTTTCCACCCAGACCCATGTGGCTCAGTTGGTCAGGCATCACCCTGCAAAGTGAAAGGTCGCGGTTGGATTCCCAGTCAAGGCATAAGCTTGGATTGCAGGTTTGGTCTCCGCATATAAGTGGAGAGCTGGGGTGCATATGAGCAGCAACCAATAGATATTTCTCTCTTGCATCATTGTTTCTCTCCCTCTCTCCCCCTCTCCCTTCCCCTCTCTCTAAAAATAAGTAAATAAATATAAGATTTTATTTATTTATTTTTAGAAGGAGGGAAAAGGAAAGAAGAAGAGAGGGAGAAAAACATCAGTGTGTGGTTGCCTCTCACATGCCCCAAACTGGGGACTTGGCCTGCAACCCAGGCATGTGCCCCAACTAGTAATTGAACTGGTGATCCTTTGGTTCACAGGCCTGTGCTCAATTCATTGAGCTACACCAGCCAGGTAAATACAGTTTTTTAAAAAATAAAATAAATGCAATTTCCCCCAGAGCTCCCTCCTTTCTCATAATAGTTGACCTTCCTAAATCTTACCCAGACCCCTGGCTTCAGCTGCCCCATACAAACCACTGCCTTTCAGATCTGTCTCCAGTCCTTTCACCCACAAATCCAACTGCCTTCTAGTTCACTCTCCCTGATGACCTGTAGTCACTTCTAAATTAATATACTCCAAATTAAATGTGTGTTCTCCTATAAATCCACTCTGTTCTTTGCACTCCCAAGTTTTATTAAGGACCTTGCTATCTACATCAGTTTGGGCTACAGGCAATAGAAAAAAGAGCAATCCAAACCAGCTTAATAAATAAGAAAATGCATTAGTTTATGTGGCTGATAGTCTCAATACATTACCAGCTTCAGGACTGGCATGATCCAGGGGCCTAAGCTCTTTTTCTTGCCCCTTCCTGAACTCTGCCTCTCTCTGGGATGACTTCATGATCAAGCCATCAGCGAGGCTGCAGCAGTCTAGGACCTTAATTCATACACAGTAACATCTGAGGAAAGAGCTTCCAGAAGGTCTCAGAGAAAGGAGGGTGCACATCCCAGCAGCCCCCCACAGCATCTCCCTCGGTCTCACTGTCTTGAATGGAGACGCATGGCCATTCCTGAACCAGTCACCTACGCTGAAATCAATAAGGCCTATCCCTTAAGCTAGAGGATGGAGCTAGTTCCCCGGGCTGAGAAGGGGAGTATCTGAACGAAATTGGGGTTCTTCCAGAAAAGAGAAAGAGGAAATGGATGTTTGCAGACAACTGCCAGTGGCCATACCATTCAGCATGTGCGTGCCCCACCACAGCTGAAAGCTATGCAGGCTCTTTGCCCCTCCCACTGTGACAGTGCGTGGTCATGGGGTCCTCAACCCTGTTTGTCTCTCTCTTTTTTTAAGATTTTATTTGTTTATTTTTAGAGAGGGGAAGGGAGGGAGAAAGAGAAGGAGAGAAACATCAATGTGTGGTTGCCTCTCTCAAGCTCCCCAACTAGGGACCTGGTCTGCAACCCAGGCATGTGCCCTGACTGGGAATCGAACCGGCGACCCTTAGATTCACAGGTCAGCACTCAATCCACTGAGCCACACCAGCCAGGGCCCGTCTCTTTACCAGTTCTCTAAGGGACACCTCCTTTCCCAGAGCCATTTGCCTTAGTTCAGACCCCCATCATCTCTAACCACTTGCTCCTGCATCTGAAGCAGTGGCTGTGTATTGAGCTTCCAAGGCTCTGCAGGGGAACACGGAGCTCACAGCCTAACGGGGCGTCTGTGACACAGGCCGTTCGTTCCACAGCAGTGCAGGAGAGGTGATGGCAGAGGCGTGCACACGGCAGCACCCAGAGCCCCCTGGAAAGGGCAGGTGCTGAGTTCTCCGTCTTATCTACAGAGCCAGGCAAAGGAGCTTCAAGCCCCCCCCCCACGTGTGTGTGCGCGCGCACACACACACACACACACACACACAGACAGAGGCCCCCTGACTCCTGTGGCCTAGAGATCCTGGGGCCTTCCACAGCACTGAGTTCTGCCCACGGCCCTCTTTTCGGGAGGCTGGGGGCTGCTAGAGAAGTTGTGACTGACGGTGGGCCTCTAGGACTGCGTGGATAAGGGAGATAAGGGAACAAGGAACGCCACCCAAAGGGAACCATGGGACTGTGTTCCTTTGACATAGGAGGCATCAGTTTCGCAAGGGCCAAGGGGAAGAGGCAAGGGCAGTGTCAGTAGAGATAGAGTGGCAGATGGAAAGGTTCCAGGCTGTTAAAGGCACCTCTGCCTGACTCAGCAAAGCCGCTCCTCCTCCCTGAGCATCCCAGACGCTGCCGCACGAGCTCGGATTCACCCTGCCTGCCCCGCCCCAGGGTGCCCTCCAGTGAGACATGACAGCACACTCCTCCAGGTCCTTTGAATCACTGGTGCTCACTACCTCTGTGACAGTGCGTTCCACGCGGGAGGCTGCAGGGTAAAGCTGCGCGTGAGCTGCACCTGAGCAAGGAGGCGGGGCTAGGGGCATGAGTAGGGACCGAAAAGCAACCTGTTCCGCTGGCTCCAGTATGCGCCAGGGTGGATGCCTTTTGGTAATTTTTCCACCAAGAGCAGGATGGGTTTATCTAATTTGTAGAAGAGCTTCACATGTGCTTTGGTGTGCCCTCGTCTACATTATAGTCTATAATTATTTGTTAAAAGTTTTCCCAACAGCAAACACGCAGATGGCTCCTTAGTGTCAGCAACCTTGTAGAACTCATCTTTGCCTCTATCTTCTGGGTCAGAAACAGGGCCCACGAATGTTTGTTGAGGGAACAAACGAATGCACGAACATGGGCACTCAACGCCTGGTCAGGACAACCATCCTCTTGACGTGCCTGTTTCCTTGGAAGCGGATCGGGCTCTGATTTAACAAGCACGCGAGTTTTCCTTTGGGCCCCTCTCTCGTGGGCTCTGACCGGCTGGAGTCAAAGATGCCGTCCCTTCTTCCTGTCGGACCGCGTCTGGAGCACAGGCCTTCAACTTCCTCCTGGGTTCTTACTTCCTTTCTTCCATGTGTCATTCCGGAATCTAGTCCAGTCCGAGCTGTACCAGGAGAGCAGTGTCCTCTCACACTGTCACGCCTCTGACGAAGTAAAAAGCAGTGTTTGGATCAGCATTCTCGGAGTGTCCTCTCTCCTGCACGTTTAGTCGGGAAAAGACATTGCATGGATGGTATTATGGGTTGAACTGCATCCCCCTAGTAAAAGATATGTTTAAGTCCTAACCCCCCCAGCTCAGAATGTGACCTTATTTGGAGATAGGGTCTTTACAGAGGAAATCAAGGTAAAGGGGGCTCATTAGGGCGGACCCCTAAATCAGTATGACTGGTAGCCTCATAAAAAGGGAAAATCTGGACCCAGACGTCACCCAGGGAGAAGGTCACGTGATGATGAAGACCGAGAGCTGGGATGGTCAACAAGCCAAGGAACACCAAAGATTGATGGTGACTCCCCAGGTGCCTGGGGAGAGACACGGAACAGATTATCTCTCACAGCCTCAGAAGGAACCAACCCTGCGGACACCTTGACCTTGGACTTGTAGGCTCCAGAACTGTGAGACACACATTTTTGTTGTTCAGACCATTCAGTTGTGATACTTATTTACAGCCATTCTAGGAAACTAGTATCGCTGGATACAAAAGAATGTAGGGAACAAGCTGGAGAAATTGGCAGTCCTTGCTGTTGAACTTGACATGGATGCATTCACCTCGCCAAGGTAGTCCTCCAGGATTAATTTTAAAAGACATCCACTTTTCTTTGGTACTCCAACCGATTGTGGTAAGCGACCAAGTCTGCGCTGCAAGGTTCTGTTTTAATGCACCTCGTCAAGGGCCTGTAGGGACCGTCTGGTCTTCAGGACACGTGCAGACTTGGGTTTGGAGACTGCCAGGTCCTCAAGTGGCTATCTTAATCCCCACTGAGATATCGCTCCACTGGGAAACGAGCTGGCATCCGCGCAGCAAGGGGGGACCAGCTGAACACCGTGATCGCCACGGTTACTGTTGTCTATGGAAGAACTTTACATTTTTGACCATTAAAACTTTACATATTTTTTAAATACTCCCACTCTAGCTGGTGTGGCTCAGTGGACTGAGCATCGGTCTATGAACCAAAAAGTCACTGGTTCAATTCCTGGTCAGGGCACATGCCTGGGTTGTGGGACAGATCCCCATTTGGGGGCTTGCAAGAGGCAACCAGTTGAGGTGTCTCCCACACACTGATGTTTCTCTCCCTCGCTTTCTCCCTCCTTTCTCTCTCTCTGAAAATAAACAATAAAATCTTTAAAATAATATAAAGTTGGCCCTGGCTGGTGTAGCTCAGTGGGTTGAACACAGGCCTGTGAACCAGAGGATCACAGTTCAATTCCACTCAGGGCACATACCTGAGTTGCAGGCTGGTTCACCAGCAAAGGGTGCACAAAAGGCAACCATACATTAATGTTTCTCTCCCTCTCTCCTTCCCCTCTAAAGATAAATAAATAAAATCTTTAAAAAATAAAAAATAAATAAAATAAAATAAAATAAAATAAAAATAAAATATACCCAACAGTCAACTGTAATAAGATACCTTACATCTAGAAGGAGAACAGATTGATTTCATCTTGAGGATTCCAAAACAATCCCCATAAATCACTCATCAGCACTTGTGAGTGATTCAAGACACATAATTGCTCAGATAATCGTGCCCAGAGTTGGAGTGGGTTTTAAATGCCTCCCACAATCTTTTCCAGTGTGTTCTAACGCTTCCCTTCTGAATCGGGATGCAAACAGCATACCTAAGATCACGATGCAATTTTTTAGTCATCTATTCCCAGCTCTTTTCACAAACTTCTTTGCTATTTGAAAACTACACACAGAAGGGAGCCAAAATTTCATTTTAAATAGCAATCCTCCTGCAAACGTTTTCTGTGGGACGCTTCAGCACAGCGCATCTGATTTGAAAACTGCCGTTCTGTCTGCATATTAAGGCTACTTGGTTAGCTTCTTGAACAAGCGCCCATCAATTCTCTTTTCAGGCCGTCTCTCGAGAAGAGCTGCTCATGCACCTGCTGGAGTGTGACGTTATCATCTACAACATCACTGAGAACGCAGAGCAAGCGGAAGAAGCCATCTGGGCGGTCTCCGGTCAGTGAGGTGACCCTTGCATCTCTGGGGACACCACTTTTGTGTAATTTTCTTTACCTAAGAGGCATCCAGTGAGCACGCAGCAAATGAGGACCATTAGGAGAAACAACCTGAGAATGACCTAAAGCAGAGATTGAAACCAGGCTGGTAGATATGCCTGGGAACAGGGTTCCAAGATAAACAGACCCCTGGCCGGCGTGGCTCAGTTGGCTGGAGCACTGTGGCATGAAGCAAAAGGTCACCAGTTTGATTCCCAGTCAGGGCACGTGCCTGGGCTGCGGGTTCAGTCCTGGTTGGGGTGCATGTGAGAGGCAACCAATCAATATTTCTCTCTCACGTTGGCGTTTCTCTCCCTCTCTTTCTTCCTCCCTTCTTCTCTCTCTGAAATCAATAAGCATGTCCTCAGGTGAGGATTAAAAAAAAAGATAAACTGAAACATATTAAAATTTTTAAGAGTGTATTTGAGCAAAAAATCAATTCAAAGTAGGTAGTGCCAAACTGGGAGTGGTTAGGAGTATGCCATCAATTAGAGCTAGGGGAAAGGATTTTATAGAAAAAAGCCAGGAGCAAAGCAAAGAAATGATTTGATTGGCTATAGCTCAAGCAGTTACCTTATTTGGAAGAGCCTAGTTGGCTCTTTGTGATTGGTTGACCTTATGTTTTGATTTCTCAACCTCGAGCCATTTATGGGCTTAGGTTTGAGTTACTGAAGCAGCCTGCACAGATGTCAGAACCACCCCCAGTCTAATGGGCCTCCTTGTTTAATTATCTTAACAAAATATTCTATTCCGCAGAATAGAATATTTTTAATTATTAAAAGAAATGAAATATTAACTTCCAAATTGCAACTTTTATTCATTCTGTGGGAACTGCTTAAGGAGGTGTGGTTGAATATATCGGGCAGATACAAAGACACATAAGAAAAAGAGTGTACCCCCAGGCACTTGGAGGCCTACGAGGGAGTTCGGGTACACGGGAGACACTTGAACCAGGGTAGAGAACGGCTTCTTCACAGGAGAGTTGCCACAGGAGAGATGGGACTTTAAGAGCAGAGGAATTATGTCTGACTATGAGGGTTCCACCAATGTCCGTGACGGCAAGAGTCCTGGAGGGCTGTGGGGATACCTGCAGTTTTCAAGGGCTTGGAAAAAGGTCATGAACTCTAAGGACCTCAAGTGTGGGAGGAGGAAGTGATGGTTAGCAGTTTGGTGCTTTGTAACCCATCTCCTCATCAAGTCAGGAGCTAAGAAGAAAGTGTATCAGCTTATCTGAGTCGTTATTCTACATAAAGCCAAAAAAAAAAAAAACACAGAGCACCTTACTTTTCAATGCTTTTTACTCGGCATTTCCTTGGTTTTAGGCAGTTTCGACCAGGGGTCAGCAAACTTTTCCCGTGAAGGACCAGAGAGTGGATATTTTTGGCTTTCCAAGCCCACTGCTCTGCCATTATGCCCAGAACAGAGCCATAGACAATATGTAAATGAATGGTCTGGTTCCCCCCAAAAATGGTTTTAAAAAGCAGGCAGTACTTTGGCCAACCCCTGAATAATATCAACAGCAAAACCATATTTTGGCTTAAATTGGAGAAATGAAACAGCGCCTCAGAAATGGCGGTGCCTGTTCAGGGAAATTGGGATGGAAAAGTGCACTCTGAGGGTACACGGGGCTCCTGGGGACCTGGAATGGCTGATTGCTCGTTTACAACTTCAGGCCTAAATCTCATTCAATAAGCTGCAAGTCAAACACACGAACACAGCGTCATCTTCTGCGACAGAGAGTTTATAAGCCTGCTCTGTGCATTTTGTCCCCTTGCAAACATTTACAGATGATGGATAATTACACCTTCTGAAATAATTGCACTGCCTAAAATAATAATCAGAGCTAATGCTTATTGAGTTCTTCTTTTGTGCCAGGCTTTTGGAAATTGATTTTTCTGTATAATGTACACTTGCAATTTTCTTAACATGTTTAATATTTTTTTCCAAAATAAAACCTGGACAGGTTTTGAAAATTAAAAAGCATAGCAGGGCTTAGAATAAAAAGCAACAATTCCCTACATTTTCTTTCCATCCCATCTCTACTCCCCAGAGGAACCTCATTTAACCCACTGGTTCCTTGTAATCCATACAAACGCCTGCACTGGTGTCTTTTCATTGTGCATTTCAGACACTAACCACTGACTTCCTGCTGGGACAAATGACCTTCAGACTCTCACAGGATGCCCCACCCCCACCTTGTTCCCCTCAGGGAATGTGATTGGTTCTCAGACTTTGATCACTGAGTTTCCTTTCCTGAACTTAAAAATGTAGAGTATGTTTTACTGCTTCCTTCTTTATTCTAATAAAGAGCTTTATATAATTAAGAAAATGTTAAGCCTCTAGTGGGTGGAAAGGTTTTAAGTGCATTCTAGTCAGAGGCCCTTGGTCTGTAACTGGGGTCTCCTGGGTGGCATGGGGCAAGGGGGGTGGGACTTTGTCATTTTACCTGAAGCGCATTCTTAGATTTGGGGACGCTGTTTAGTTTTGGTTTTGCAGTGGATATGTATTACTTCTTCATCGTGTTTTATTAAATTATTTTGGCATGTTTTAATATAAAAGAATTTCCCTATCTTGCCTTTCAGATACTATCAAAGGAAGGTAAAATCATATAGGAGAGGGGAAGAAAGTATTAGAAATGAGAGAAAACATTCGCAGATATGGATATAATGTGCTTGTCCACAAGTGAGCAAGCAGATCATTACTGACCCATTAAAATGATAAATAAAGAGGATAACCCAGTTAGAGGGCGTCTAACCGTGCCAACGTTCACAAATTAGGCCGCTCCGAAACAGCGCAGGGGAAAGAGCACAATTAAACCGAAGAGGCCACCCTCATTAATAGAACAGAGATAGAAGCTAAAATTAACATTTGAGCTGGGATCCACGCGGGCACACAGTGCTCTGAGACTTATCGTGCCGTCTCATCTTGCAGCCGGAACGCAGGCATTTCTTAGGCGCAGGATATCGGCATGTCGTCGTTTGGCTTGTTAAGGAATCAGCTCATGAGACTAAAAATGTACCACGACTAGCTGTGTCACTTGGATCCTCTGACAATTTAATCAGAACTCACTTCAGGATTTTTTTTCCTGGAATTTTGTATGTCACGAAGGCTCTTTGAGTGGAATCACATGTCTAAAGCACTGGAGGAGCGGCCGCCCTCCAGGGAAGGGGAAACCCTTCGGAAATTGAACACCCTCCCTCCTGCCCGCACCGTCCTACATCCAGACCCCCGCCCGTGGTTCCTAACTGAGCACAAGGCCTCACCAGGCCCCCCACGCCGCCCACAGCCCCCTGGCGTGGGCGCCTCTCCCCTACCCAGCGCGTGGGAAGCATGGGCACGCCCGATTACGGCCTTCCACACCGCCTTAGGCTGCCTCGGGCTGCTCTACCTGAGTTCCTGTGAGTGCCTTGCCTTCTGCTCTGGGGCGCCCCCTCCCACCCCCCTGGCTGCTGGTCCTGCAGCACCTTGGGGAGACCACAGGCCTGGCCAGCAAGCTGCCTGGACTGTCCTTCCGTGACTCTGGGCACACCGGGCCTCAGTTCCCTCACCTGTAAACCAGAGATCAGAGTAGTGCCGATCTCATAATGGTGAGAGTCCGATAATGCCCATGAATCGTGCCCGCGCATGTCCACGGTGGTCAGTACCGTCACGGGCCCACACGCAGGTGAAAGCGCACAGCTGCAGGCCTGAAGGAGGTCGGGAGCTCGCCTTTCAGCTGGGCGCAGAGGAGGGCAGGCGGCTGGAGGGAGAGCGCCGAGCAGCGCAGTGGGGACGGGCAGTGCGGCGGCAGAGGGGACGTGGACCTCGGGTTAGGCTGCTCCGGAAAGAGGAGTAACTCCAAGTCCCGCTCACGGTACACGTGGTTTCGAAAACACGTTCTGCGTGGATCCAAGTAACCGCTCGCTTTTTGGCCCTACAGCACTGAACGAGGAAGTCAGCCACTTTGAGAAGCGGAAGGTGTTTATTTTAGTTTCCACGGTGATGACCTGGGCGCGAACCAAACCCCTGGACCCTGTAAGTAGTGCCTCTAGCTTGTCCCTGGTAATCCGCGCAGAGAGAACTTTCTACAGCGAACCTGGCATTCTTGTGCCCCTGAACCCCATCTCAAAAGAAGCGCTCAGCAGAGCTCGCTGGCTCTCTAAGTTCCCTCCCTCCTAAGGGGCCCCATTGCTTGCTCATCACTTGTACTTTTTATTTTAAAGGTGTCAAAAGAGCCCTCTTTTAGACTTGTTCAGACCTGTGTTTTGGTCGTGTGTTTTCTTGTGCATACATTAAAAGGACAATAGAAGCAAAATACGGCAGCCGTGCTGCTGCCCCGAACTTCTTCCTACTCAGAGCCCAGCTTCTCCGAGCCACACCTGCCTCCTGTCTCCACGCAACTCGACATAGACCCAAGTCACGTCTCTAACTGAGGGCACTTCCCTTTTCTGTGAAGCACATGGTTATTCGCAAGAAAATGTGGGCTTCACATCATTCCTCACCAACGTCCCACTTACACATGCTGCTCTGCTCCTTCCGGCCCGTGAACTAGCTTTGACTGCTGCACGGAATCCCAGCAAATCTTTTCAAAGATGGTCAAAAAGGCAATTCGAGCAACCTGTGCAGGACCCAAGTCAGGGGTGTCGAACCCGTTTTCGCTGGGGGCCACATCAGCCTCACAGTTGCCTTCCTTGGGCCGCACTAATCTGAGGACGGTATAAATGTAATGACTCCTTAACTATTGAAAAGGAGTTGAAATTACATTCGGCCCTTTGAAGGCAACCGCAAGGTTGATGTAGCCCCTGGTGAAAACAAGTTTGACACCCCTGACCTAAGTGACTTAGAAGGGACAATGATACAGATAGTCATTGCCAAGGTCACTGGGGTACCAGCAAGGACAGCATCAATGCTTCCTCACTGACTGCAACCGTAATAAAGCCATTGATTACGAGACACATTTAATTTCAGAGAGGTTAACCTGGGGGACATGCATGTGTTAGAATCAGTGGAATATGTTACTTATCACAAGAAAATATTTAGGCACTTATCACATTCCTTGTGTGAAACGACATCGGTTTGTTTAATTCTCTCTCCCTTGGTGGACCAGGACATTCTGAGGGCAGGGGCCAGGTTTCATGTGCTGTGCTTGTCAGGTTCACTCACCTGCTTCGTTTGGTTGCCATCATCTCCAGGGGTCGGCCCGTCATTCTATGCCTGTTACAGTTGCTCCCCCCAGAGTATCCAGTGAGGTGTCTGCTACCTCACCACTGGCCACTGGATTAGGCCTGATTGCTTGTCCCCAGTTATAAACCAACTCACACTGACTTTAGAAAGATGGGAACTTAATGACTCACATGATTGGGAAGCCCGACGATGGACTTCAGGCACGGCTGCATCTAGGGGCCTCAACTGTGTCCTCAGAGCCTGCCCACTCACTTTCTTTCTTCCATTGCCCTTTTCTGCTCCTAGTGGGCTTCATTCTCAGATTAGCCCTCCCCCTCCTCCTGGCCCTAAGGAGCTCCCAGGCTTATAACCCCAGAACCTTCGTGCTCTTTCCCGCTTTGGCCCTGTTCCCTCCCGGACCTGCACTGTGCTCTATGTCCAGGTCTTAAGTTGCAAACCCAACTTTGAACAGGTCACTGTGACCCGGGGAATGCAGAGCTCTGATTGGCCAGACCGGGGATCACATACCCACTTCTAGGGGGAGGGACAATAGTCAGCCCTCTAAGGTGAATGGGCCGAGGGTGGAGAAGAGGTGCTTCCCTCCCCAAAACACAGGGAGGTGGCACCTGGGCTGGCTCTCACGTCCCGGCATGGCCACATCCTCTCACTGTGGTTTTAATTTGCATTTCCCTACTGGCTCATGGTGACGTTAAGTCAGGTTTGTTAAGGTGCAGATTATTGTATTTTGCTGTGTATAATACACACTTTTTTGCCCAAATTTCTGAAGGAAAAATAAAGATTCACATTATACATGGGTATAATGATTCCATACCATGGGTATAGTAACAGGTGTACTAATTCCACATATAATGCACACAAAATGTTGGTGTATATTATACACAGCAAAATATGGTAAATACAGTAAAGTTAGCCCTTCTTACTGTATAGTTCTATGAGTTTTGACAAATGCACCTGGTTATGTAGCCCTCAAAGTCAAGATTTCCATCACAGAACATTTCCATCACTCCCCCAGATTCTCTGCCTCACACCACACGCAATACTAGTCTGAGATTTTACTTCAAAAAACCTAAGGGGAAGGGTATTGTAAATGGCATTGTACTTTTAATTTTTTTGTGTTCACATGCTCATTGCTAGTATATAGAAATGAAATTGGCATTTGCATGTTTAAAAACAAAACCAAAAAACACCCAAGGGTGGGGGAATAATTCGAGGGAATGAGTGGTGGCTGGAGCGTGGAGAAGGGAGATTTGCTCTGCAGAAACCTGCGTCGAATCACATGGAAACCTCACGTGAGCACAGACTGAAGGACAGTCTAGCAAATGACTGGCCTGTAGGCCTTAAAAATGGCAACAAAAGACAAAGAAAGCTGAACCCCGGTTCCAGATGAAGAAGACTAAAGAGACGAGGCAGTGCATGATCCCGAGCCAGACCCAATGCCGAAGGAGAATGTGCTACAAAGACATCACTGGAACAGGTGACAGAACTGGAGCACAGACCGTGGACTGGATAAAATCATGGCATCATGTGGAATTACCTGAACTTCCTAAGTGGACCAGTTATGTAGGGGAGTGTCCTTAGGAAACACTGAGGACACTGATTAAAGAGGAAGGGGGCCTGATCTCTGCCACCTGCTCTCAAATGGCTCAGAAACAGATGCATGCGTATACCGCTGGGGAAATACAATTAACAACGAAATCTTCACCTATCCATCAAATCTCTCCACGAGGTAGCAGAGAAAGAAAACAGCTTTGTTATGGACTCAGCATTAGACCGGATGCCACGCTCAGCACAGGCCGTCCATGGGAGACAGAAAGTATACAGCTGGTGACATACATGTTTCATGATAAACAACAAAGAGCTCTCAGTAGGAGGGCTTGACGGGACCCCCTGTCACACATACCGAGGTCCGGCTCAAGGGGCCGTCTGTGTGAGCGGATTGGCTTTATCCAGAGGGAAAGTCGAGGGTGTGGCAAATCTCAAAAGATGGCTGCTGGGCAGCCCCAGTCACAGGGAACAGGAAGGTCATTTGGGCAGGCCGGCCACCACGTCCTGTTAGCCAGGACTAGGGAGATGCCGGGGCGAGCCCATCCCAAAGGCAGAGCAGAACACAGGTGTTCCCAGACGCCGTGTGAGTGGAATGGCCAAGTGTAGCTCATGAAAGCACAGGACACCCGGCTGAATTTGAATTTCAGACAAACAGCAAGCAAGTTTTAGCATAAGTATCTGAAATTCAAATTTAGCTGGGTGTCCCGTGTTTATCTGGCAACCCTACATGTGAGCCACTGGTCACCTCTTAGGTAGCATGTCTTTGTCGAGTGTGCACAGGATTAACTTCATCTTCCCAAAGCGAAGATCAAATTCTCCCCAGTCTCTCTCCCAGTGGCATCATTTCAGTTCTTCCTCCTCACTCCCTTCCATCCACCAGCCATTCCATCCGTAAATTCCATTAATTCATCATCCAAAATGTATCATGAACCCACCTGTTCCCTTTGTACCGACGGACTACTAACACAGCCGGGTAACAGTACCTGCCACCACCTCTCCCAATCGGCCTAAGGAACAGCCTAAGCGAGCTCGTTCAGAATTCAGACCCTGTTGGCGTCCTGCCAAAAACCCTCCAGGGCCTCGTAACACCCTTAGGATCCATCTAAAGTCCTCCACACAGGCACAGCCCTGACAGCACGGCCGTTGCCTACCTCATCCCCCACCAGGTCCCAGCTTGGCTCCATCACTGGGGCCCTGCTTCCCATTTTTCACACCTGCCAACCACGTGCGGCCTCAGGGCCAGTTTCTTCTGCCTCTCTGATTGATTTCGTGTAAGCCTGGTACTCAAATGCTTTGGCCTGGATATTGAACTTAGACCAACGTGGTAGGATGGAAAGTCTCCTTACTGAACACTGTATTTTAAAACCCTGCTTGCCCCGGCTGGTGTGGCTCAGTGGGTTGAGCACCAGCCTGCAAACCTAAAAGTCACTGGTTTGATTCCCGCTCAGGGCACATGCCTGGGTTGCAGGCCAGGTCCCCAGTAGGGGGCGCACGAGAGGCAGCCAAATGATGTTTCCCCCTCTCGCCCTCCCTTCTCCTCTCTTGGAAAATAAATAAATAAAATCTTTAAAAAGTAAAACCCTACCCCAACTAGGACCTCTACATCTGGATGGATTTGGGGAAGTCACTCTATACCATGGAACTCATTTCTCCCTGCCATTTTCCAGCAGGTTTTAATTCAGGGTCCTGGGGGGCTGAGGGGATGGACAGCGAAATGCACTGTCGGGAAATACGCATACTTGTCATCCCTGGTCTCAGGGCAAACTGACATTTCATCTTATCTGATGGAAGCAGTTTTTAAACCTGAGACAGAAACTTGTCTCAGGTTTAAAACCTAAATCCCGTGTTTAAAAACACGGGATTGATTTGAAGGCAAGGGGCAGTGTAGAAAAGGGGGAAAAAAATAACAATTTAGAATCAAAACAAAACCGCCTGGATGGCAAGAACTGTTAAGAAATGGGTTATTCGATGACTTTATGGAGTCACGGGTCAACCCGGCACCATCGCCACAAAATAAAAGACATTTAAATGTTTAATTTTGTTTAGAGTAAGTTTAAATGATAAAATGTAGTGCGCTAAAACATTTTCCAGACAATTAAATCACTACAAAATAAGCAGTCATTTTTAGAACACTTTATTTGAGCTACAAGGAACACAGTGAAGCCAGCATCGCTGGGCTTAGCTTTCTGTAGCCCTAACATACCGAGTTTTTTCTTTCACAGGATGATTCTGAGATTCCATTTACCGAAGAGGATTATCGCAGGAGAAAGCACCATCCTCATTTTCTGGACCACATAAATGCTGAAAAAATGGTCCTCAAATTTGGAAAAAATGTAAGTCTGCCATAGTAGAACATGCTGGGTAGGGAAAGTTCTTTGTTAGGCAGCGTGCAAGGGCCAGACCCGTTCCTCCTGCTTCACATACATCCTCTTAACTCCTTAAACATCTCTGAGTTGGGTTTTCCTGTCCTTAGTGCCCACAGATTTCAGCTTCAGGCTCACCCCCAGACGCACTGTCCTTAGACCCTGGCTCAGGTGCTGGTCCAGCCCACAGAGTTGAAAGCCTTGTATCAGGTCCCCAGAAGAACTCAAACTCTTACCTACCATGGAGTCTGTAGGTCCAAAGAGGCAAATAACTCAGTTTAAATGGGGGGGGGGGGGTGAGGGACCACAGTTTTCCTTTTTCCAGAATCTATCATGTTTGTTTCTTATCACTCTGAAAAGTGCATGAACCTCATCTTACCAATAAGGAGACAGAGGGCTGCAGGGGTTAAGTAGCCGGCACAAGGTCACACAGGTAGCGTGCACTGAGCACCATTCTGAGCGCCCCTCCACCTTGCCTGACCTTCTCCTCACTACACCGGCACCGTAGATGTGCGTAGTCAGCCCTGTTTCTCAGATGTGGACGCTGTGGGTAAGCGGTGTCAGGTGGTAGGGCTGTGGTTCCAGTCTAGGTCCATCAGCCTGTGGGTGTTGCTTGGTTTGGATTCTGACTCCAAACTCCATCGCTCAACAGAGTTGACCTTGGCACACCCAGGTCACTGATCATGAAGACCTACCGAGAGCTGAGAAGCTCATGTAAACAGTAACAGCAGCTTATTAGCCTTCTGTCGCAGCAAAATTTATCATATGTATGATGGAATTATGTTATTTCTCTTGTATCTTATCAAAATGGGTGACCGAATGTCCTGGTGATGAGTAAGTAATAACAGCTAAAACCGAGGGCTTGTAAATGTTTGCCAGGCACAAAGGTTCCACCCACCACCCAGCACATTTTCCCCACTAGCTGAAGACCTGCCACGTGGTATGTAATAGTAGTTCTAAGGTGACACCTAGTGGTCTCAGGGGAAATTACATTAGGAACCTGGTCCCTAAGTTCAAATTGTCCTTTTATTTTTTTTTAAGAGTTTATTTATTTATCTTTAGTGAAGGGGTGAGAAGCAGAAGAAGAGAAACATCGATGTGCGAGAGATACACCCCATCAATTGGTTGCCTCTCGCCTCTCACATGACCCCACCTGGAGGCCTGGCCTGCAACCCAGGCATGTGCCCTGACTGGGAATCGAACTGGTGACCTTTCAGTTCACAGGCCTGTACTGTCCACTGAGCCACACCAGCCAGGGCTGCTTATGGTTTTGTTTTATTTTTATTTTTTTTAGCTTTTGCAACACAAATACTGTGGATATAAAATATTTGAAGGACACCACATGGGATTAGAATTTATAGCTACTTTCCTATCCATTAATTTATGACCTTAGCCAAGTTATTGAACTTTTGGGATTAAAGTAAAAAAAAGAAGGGGCAAGACTAGATGGTCTAAATGTCTTCCAGGTCCGAATCCTATAACTGTATTATTTTATTAAACACTGGACATGGCCCCCAAGTGGGACGTCCATGATTTTTTTTTGTATTTCCGGCTTTATTTTAAGTAATACTGCAATACTAGTATTAATACAGTTGTTTCTTTAATAACTGAGCCACCGTGTAGAAGCATCTAAGTTTACAATTCGACCTTTGAGTCCCCTCCACCTGAGGGGGCACTAAGGCCCCTCTGTCCCTCTGACCTGACTCTTTCCAGCTGGGACGATTGGCAGAGGATCACAGCTAAAATCGAGTATCCGGGAAGGGGACCGGAAGAACGGCCAAGTCGGCCAGGTGGAGGAACTGTGGGGTTTGCAGGAGGAGTCCGTCCTCTAGGGGAGGGAAGCAAGGGGGACAGAGGGACAAGATGCCCTAGGACGGCAGCCACAGGGTCCAGTGCCCACCGTGCGTGTGGGTGCTGGTGGCATGAGAGATGGTGCGTCCTGCCCGTATCTGTGAATGCCGGGGGGGCTCTGTGTAACAGGAAATCCATGATTTCTCCATCGTCGATGTAATCCACTAATTGAGAACACACGATCACACACACAAACTAATTGATGTGAGTGACAGTCTGAAATAGAGACACAGTATCATCTTAATATCTTGTTTGTTATAAAAACATCACATGTGTCCCATGTTCTAAGCAATAGATTCAAAATTTTATTTTAAAAATCTATTATTTTTATCCCCAGCTTTCTTAATCAGTCTTTTCTGAGCAATTAATCAGATAAGTAAGGTTGACGTGGCCAACTTGGTCATCTCAGTGACCCTGCTCCTCATCAGAGAGAGAGAACTTTGGAACTGATCATTTAACCTGTGGCTCGAACTCACAGCTGCCTGGATCCTGCTACGTCCCAGGCACTGGCGGCCAAGGCTGACCTCACAGGCAGGAACAGAGCCGACCTGGACCGTGCAAGCCCGGGGCTGGATGTCCAGGGTCCGCAGGCCGGCGCTGCGTCTGCAGTGATCACATTTGTATCTCCGTTACAAACGCAAGGTGGACTCGTTTAGCATTTAGAGACAAAGAGAAGCCCTAATAATTATGAGTTGCCTAAATAGCTCAGATTTGCCTAACACCAAACCTAATCTTTAAATGAGTCATGCCAATTATTTGGAATATTTTAAAATAAATTTTAGCCCTGACTGGTGTGGCTCAGTGGACTAAGTGCTGGCCTGTGAACCAAAGGGTTGGCAATTCGATTCCCAGTCAGGGCACATGCCTGGGTTGCAGGCCGGGTCGCCAGTAGGGGGCGTGTGAGAGGCAGTCCATCTCTGTTTCTCCCGCACATCGATGTTTCTCTCCCCCTTTTTCTCCCTCCCTTCCCCCCTCTCTAAAAATACATAAATAAGACCTTTTTTAAAATCTTTTTTAAAAAATAAAATAAGCTTTACTTAGCATTTCAAGTTTACCAGAATTGTCCATCTGTTTTGCCAAAGTCACTTAAGTCATTTAGTGGTCCCTGTGTCTACGGTCCCCCCCCCAAAAAAAATCTGCCTAGTCTCAGTGGCAATCTGTGAAATCTGTTATAACAGATAATTATCCCCCTGGCTTTTGATGCCTATATTCTCTGACCAGCCCAAGTTGATTTTATTTATTTATATTTAGGAGAGGAAGGGAGGGAGAAAGAAAAAGAAACATTGATACGAGAGACAACGATCGGTCGTCTCTCCTTTGTGCCCCAACGGAGCACCAAACCCACAACCCACGCATGTGCTCTGACCAGGAACTGAACCGGTGACCTTTAGCTTTGCGGAAGGATCCCCAACCCACTGAGCCCCACGCCGGTCAGGGCAGTCATGGTAATTTTTAATGAGAATGTTTCTATTTGCTTCACTAGGGTCAAAGTTGACAGTATTGCACTTTCATCCACGTGTACAAGTGGGGTTGGCCTATAGTCTTCCTTTGACACTCTGTCCTTCCCTGGTTTTACCATTGTGTTTCCACTGTCACACACTGGACTGGGAACAAAATTTGTAGCACAAGTCCGGGTGACTTTTAGAGGCCGTGTGTTCAAGCTGGGGACCGTGAAACCAGGACGGGCTTAGGACATTGGGAGCAACAGGAGAGCTTAAGCAGGGCTGCCTTGGTCCTGTGGAAGTCGTTTGGGAAAGAACAGGGCCTGACAGGGCCGCCTTAGTGCCCCGGGGGGAAGTCCGAGAAAAGGGGGCCTTGGAGACAGGTCGGGGTTAGCTGGGCTAGCCGCCCCTGCCCTTGTTTCCTGGTTGCAAGCCTCATGGGGTCCCCAAGAGTTTAGGACACATGTGCCTGAGGGGGAAACTGAGGAAGGAAAGGCACAGGTGCATTCCTGGGAGGGGGAGCGCACAGTGGGACCTTTGCTGGGAGGGGTTTAACGGCTGGTAGTTTAGGGGGGTCTTATGCTGATATGCCAGAGTCAGAGACTTATTACCTGAACTTCAGCCGTCCTTGGGTGGGGTTGGCACAAATAGCACTAGTTGGATTTTTGCTATCTAGTCCCCCTTGTCCCCAGCAGGGTGGTTTCAGCCATTTACCCTCAGGGGAGGGAGGAGAAATGCAAACCATTTACACTGAAGTGTCTTGTTTAGGGAGGACGGGCTTGTCTGACTAGGTGTCTCAGTTTCCCTGTGCCACTTGCCAAGGAATGCCCCTAGCTTCCTACCATCCTGCTTTAAAACCACAAAAGTGTGACTCTCCAGTCCTGTTGAAGTCTCTTCTAGTTCTTACATGGCCTCACAAGTTTAACACTAACGCCACCAGTCTGTCATTCAATTTCAAACTCTTCTCCCAGCACAGCCTGACCCAGGCCCAGAGGGGCGCAGGGGGAGGGGCCTTGCACGTGCTCAGCTGGTTTCTCTTCCCTCCTCCTTTGTCTGCCCCTTCCTCTTGCTCTTCCTCTTCCTTGCTCTGTTACCTGCCTGGTTTTTATCATCATCATCATCATCATCATCATCATCATTTCCTTTTCATTTCTTAAATTGTTTTATCCTTTTAAACATTTATTTTAGGATCTCTGCTCATTTATTTTCTGAAGGCAAGGCAAGTCTGATGTCACTCCTGGCGGACTACTCTCATAAAAATTGTAATTTTGAAACTGGAAAAGCCAGTATTCATGCTGCCTGTCGCCTACCAGACCCAATAAGCAGTGAGAGGGATTGAATCTCTATGGTCGGTGATCTGAGAAGGCAGTGGGTTTGTACCCTAACAGACCATCTTAAATTCCATTTTAAACCGATCCTTTTTATAAGAAGAAAAGTGTAGGGAAGGGGATTAGAATTCAGGGGGAAAGTTAATCAGATGAAAAGCTGCAGCAGTCTTTCCTCTGTGCCCTGGGCGGTGGGCATCTCACTCCGGGGCACAGTGACTCTGATATGAACTTGAATTGCTTGCAGTCCTCCTGGGGCACAGAGGGTCCTACCTTCAGTTCCTGCCTGTGGTCTCCTGGAGTCCAGGTGGGTCCTACCTTCAGTTCCTGGAACAAAAGCTTTTTTCATACATTGATTACTAAGCTTACTAACTATTCCCTGAAACTAAAATGTTTCCAACATGGGAGTCTCCCATCAACATGACTGCTCTTCATGACCTGCTTTTATTGAAAAGTTTTTAATTTCAGCCCGTCCTATGCGGTTACTTTAAATCTCTGAGTTTGTAAGGCCATCATGCAGGCCTCTCCTGAGCTTGTCAGGTTCAGTATGTGGCCCCTTTTCATCCACAGCCAGAAGTTTGTGGGTTCGATCCCCAGTCAGGGCACACGCCTAGGGTGTGGGCCTGATTCCTGTTGGGGACATAGCGGAGGCAACCGCTCAAAGTTTCTCTCTCACACTGGTCTCTCTCTCTGTCTCTCAAATCACTAGCCAAATCCTCCAGTGAGGATTTTTGTTCATTCACACTTACAAATTACGAAACCAGCAGCTCCCTGGGCTGCGATACTGTCGGCTCTCAGCACGCTAGTGTTCGCGTGTCTGTTTTTAGTCCCGAGGGATATCGCTTATATTCTTGAGATGCTGCCATACTTAGGAGGTACCAGTGGCATTTTATTTGGCATTTCCAGGTGTTCATGGTGGTATAACAAAGGGAAATACTCCGTCTCTCTGACTCCATCTGTTCCCGGCTGCGTTGTCCCCTTGGCCCTCGGGCCAGTGCCATCCATCAGTTTGGTCCTGCATAGAGACACGCTACGTGGTACAGGAATTCTGTTGTCCTGCATAGAGACACGCTACGTGTTACAGGAATTCTGCTGTCCTGCATACAGACACGCTACGCGGTACCGGAATTCTGCTGGCTTGCGTAGATAAGGGAAGCGGGTGTTGTTTGCCAGAGTTGCAGGGACCAGACTCACATCAGCTAGCACAGTCTTCCCGGGACCTGTGACGGCCCCCAGATGTCTTCCGTGGTCAGTTACGTCTTGGGCCTCTCGTTTCCATTTCCCTTGAAGAGGAGCCTGAACTCTGTACTTTCTTGAGATGCATGCGAGGTCCCCTGAGGGCCCCCATCTTCTCAGCTGGCACTTCCTCAACCAATAAGCCTTTCCTTATTCCATGCTCAGACATTTGTTGTGGCCTTCTGAAGTGTCGGGCACACCAACGCTAGACAGGTGACAGTAAGGGTCAACGTAAGAATGTCCAAATATATAGAGAATTGTGGAGTTGATTTGAGTCAAAATGACAACAGTAGCAGGGAGACAAGATTTCTTTTCTTTTAATAAAGGAAAGGAGTCTTTACTTAAAAACCAGGAAGCAAAGGTCTTAAGTGCTTCCAAGAACAACAGTTTGCGGTTTCTTTCAGGCGTATGAAATTAAAGGAGGGCATGTTGGCAGATTACATGAAGGTGGGAGAAAGCAAAGCAAAGGGAATGAATTATAACACAGTTAACAAGATTATGTACTTTCTGGGGGATGGTTGGGCTTATTTCAAAGGTGTGTTAACCTAGATGTTAACCAGAAACAATGGACAGGGCTGGCTGGAGGGAAAGATAAGCCTTTGACTAAGAGTGTTTTATTCCTAGGGCCTGACTACCTGCCGTGACCTGTTCACTTAGAAATTCACCACCAGATCACCCTGGGAGGTGGCTTTCAGTAGAACCCCTTTTTCGTCCCCATGGGAAAAGTTTTAGATTTTTTTTTTTTAACCTACTGCATTACCTGAAGCAGAAGAGGGGAACTCTTCGTTTTCCTGATACAGGTTCTAGACCCAATTCCAAATCGGATGGGGGAGGGGTGGGTTTTCCCCCACTACCAAGCAATTAGCATGCACCAGCTGGGTGTCTTGCCGTTCAACTCAGTTCTGACACTATCTACCCAGAGATAGAATCACGTCCCCCGGATGATGGGCTCAGTCACACGAGACTGCTCCCCGACCTTCAGACACCAGAGACAAGCCCAGGAGACAAACCTGGGCTTCCCACCACCCCAGTAAATTAGAGGTCCCAATGACCACCCTCTCCCCTGGGGTTAGACTGATCTCCTAGAGGGGCTCTCAGAACCCAGAGAAACACTCACTTAGTAGATCATTGGTTTTCTTATAAAAGGATATAATTCAGGAACAGCCAGAGGGAAGGGATGTGTAGGGCAAGGTGTGGGGTGAAGAGTGCCCTCTCCGAGCGCCCCTCTCCCAGTCTCCACGTGTTCACCAGCCTCAAGCCCAAAGGCTTTTCAAACCCTCTTGCAAAATTTGTTGTCACATTAGCCAGTACAGTCAGGAACCGCCAGGGAACTGGGTTAGCCCGCACCTTGCCCTTGCTTAGCACATCCGCCCGTCCAGATGGCGAGGGGTGTGGATCCTCTGCAGTGACACTGTCCCCTCCCCCCCAGAAACCTGGCTCAGCCCTCCCAGTTCCCCCGCAGCAGGGGGTTCCTGCCTCAACTTCCCCGCCTAAACGGAGGACTGTGTTCTCTGTTTATCATCCTTCCCTTCCCTCCACACCTTACAAAATCTAATCACGGTGGTGGTGGTGGTGGGGGGGTGCCTTTGTCGATCTCTCTGCTTCTGCCACCAACTCTGGTGTTTTAATCGGGGGATGAATGAACAAGAAGAGAGTCCAGTCACACACGTATGTACTCACAAATGACTCTCTCCCAGGTAAGGTTAAGTTTCCCATCCAACTAACCAGGGAAAAGAAAATCTGATCTGAAGTGGGGCGGCCTGTGGTGGCCTGGGAGTCAAATATTTCATGGAATCTAACCAGACCTCCAGGGGTCCTTGCCCTGTTTATACTGGGACCTTGCGTCAGCGATCCAGAAAGAACTGCTCCAACAATTACACAAGTGTCCCCACTTTTTTAAACTAAGGATCATGAAAGCCACATGGTGATTGGATCATTAGGCAGGAGGGCACTAAAATCAGAAGCATTGGCTCTGCCTGAAGCTTGTCAACCTGCAAAAAGCCTGTTTCCCCACAGTGAGGCTGCCAGCACCGTGGTGACTTTTAAACATGGTTAAATATGGAGGCAGATTCTCCCAGGGCCCAAATTACGTCTCCAGGATGAAATAAACATTCCGCAGCAATTGCAGTCCTTGCACTAAGGTTCACTGCCAAGCTGTGTGGTTTCATGTGTGTCCACCTCCCCTACCAGGTAATTAAAGATCACTGTGGAAGGACTAATTTGTACATCTCCCTTTTCCCTAAGTGCCTGACACTTAGAGGTGTTAAGTCTTCACAAATAATAAACTCTGGCTTTCATTTAATTAAGAGTGATGATTAAATTGTAATAGCGGGCGGAGGCATTCCTGAGGAGCGTGGAGTGGTGTCTAGAGAGGATTCCATTTCTATCTTAAACAATAACTTAGTAGCTGAAAAAGATGATGAGCCTCCCTAAGGTACTCATTTGTTAACCACTAAAATGACCCGGTGCAATATGATTAATAATATTACACTCAGCTTTTTTCCTGTATTCTGCCGAACAGGTCAAAAAATTCACGACTTTCGTAGTTGCTTCTGGACTTCAGTATGGAGTGGAAGGAGGCATCTTACACTATTTTTTAAAGGTATGACTTCTCAGTGACCATGAGGATTTTTTTCCTGTTATTTTCCAGCAAGGTTATGCCATTTGAATATATTTTTGATGGCTTCTGCTGGCAGCTGAGCCCACACAGTAGCAGAGAGTTCAGGGCAGCGACCATGGCCACCTGTGTTCTCTCCCATCATTGACGTCTTCAGTTGCCTCTGTCAGGGTAACAGAGACAAAGATGGGTCTCCTCTCATTCAAAGACATCATGCCTGCGTAAACACTTTCTTCCTACGCGGGTAACATGCAGAGGACTACTAAAGACAACTGGTGAGGGCACAGATTGCTGGAAAAGTGTTCCAGCTCTGGGGTTACACTCTATTTATCTTAACAGGATTGGATACATCTCCCCAGAACTGATTTACCAAACAGCTCTTTGGTGCTTCATCTGCATCGGACAGGCAGATCCCTTGGGTGCCTCTCACTGTAGCTTTGTACGGGAGCAGTAATAATCCTACACATGTAACGGAGAACTTATGCTTCTGCTTCTCTCTCTTTTAGTTAGCCTGGCTGGGTGAGGTCCCTGCACTACCAGTGTTTGGGGATGGATCAAACATAATTCCAACCATTCATGTCCTTGATCTCGCAGGGTAAGTTTTCTCCCAGAAGCACCGCTTCCCTCAAACTCACGGATGGGTGTGTGTGTTCATAAGTGAACACGTACTGAGCCCTCACCAAGTGTGTGCGTCATCGTGTTTATTCTTCACAACAAACCAACACAGACGGTACAGCGATTCTCTCCATTTTACACCTGATGAAATAGCACCCACCATCTAAAAGCTCCACACTTCCGAGGCCACGTTCGGGTTCATCTTTTAAAAGCTTTATCAGCAGAATAGAATGCCTTCCAATTCTAGGAAAGAAGGATCTTGTTACGTGCATTCCAGGGACCTGGTGCTCTTTTGCCCCAGGTGACATTGGTACGTCTGGCCCAGCAATTTAAATTCCAGAAATCAGACAGCAAAGCAAACTCTAAAGCTGAAGTGGGTTTCCTGGACAACCGTAGGTAACATTAATACATGTCTTCCCCGTTCACCGAGTATCCCAGCTCTGTGCTCCAGGCAGGCCCAGAGAGCCCCTCCCTGTCTGCGCACCCTGACTTAAACACGAGTCCAACACAGGTTCACTTCATTTGTGGTTCCTACACTTTCGGTTCCAGGAGCTTTACCTTACCACCCCTTCTGCTCATCCTTCTCCAAACCCCCCCACCGAGTTTCGGCTCTTCCCTGAGATTCTGGTTTCTGGATCCCACTCTCCCTCTCTTCCGCTGGGCACTAGTAAACTGGCCCCAGGCCCGGGCAGATGTGCAGACATACTGGGGAGAAAGTGAAGCTCCCACTTTATGACCCTGCCTCCCCTGCCTGGGTCTCTTCCAAGGCCCCGAACTTAAATTTTATTATTTTTTTTGGTGGGGGGAGGACCCCCCCGGGGAGGACCCCCCCCCCAACTGTACAAGCTTCAGGCTCCACCCAAAACCCAGACCTGCTTCAGCCAGCATTTACACTTGACCTGGGGGCGGGACCGGAAGTGCCCTTCTTTTCCGCACTTTTGCGCCATTACATTATCAGCTCTCCAAAATGCAAAGGAATCTTTTCGATTATTAAGACGAAATACTTAGCATTCGTCCTTAACCTCTTACTTCCAAACAGATAAATTAGCCATTTAAATTATTGCCATTACAGAAGGACTCGGTAGCATTTCTCCTACAGATTTCTTCTCAGATCGTCAAATCTTTAACAAGAAAGAAACTAAAGAATGATATTTTGAGAAATTAATATAAAAATGTGAAATGGACATTTAGATGTATGCCTCTGGTTTATTTTTATGTTACTAAAAAAAAAAAGTTTGCATGGAGATAGACTCGACAGTCCTGTGTTAGACTTCGAGTCCCTGAGATTTCCTCTTTGGGATTCTTTCATTCTGGCCCAAGTCCCTGCCCTGCCTCCCGCCAGCTGTGTGCCCCCGGGAGCCTGTGTCCGAGTTTCTCATTTGTGAGATGAGGATGATAATAACAGTGCCTCCCTGGTCAGGGGGCTCTGGGGCACCGTCTGTTGGCGGTCAATACTAACCCCGGGAGAAGATCTCAGGCCCAGTCCCTGGAGCTGCGTGACGCCGTCCGGGAGAGCGACCCCTCTCGGTGAAGTCTGCTCTGCCCCGTGAAACCCCGCCCACAAACGCGGTGTGACGTCAACGAGCAGCGGAGCGGGCGGGCGGGCTTCTGGGTAAACTTCACACCTGCGGGCCCAGGTGCCCTGGGACTATAATCCCGCTTCAAATTCTGTAGCTTTTCGGCCAGAGAAATGTCACTTAACTCTTCACCAGCATCCCCACCTACAGTGCAGCCAGCCCATCAGCCCAACCGTGATCTCATTGGAAGTGAAGTGACATAATTTCCTGACACACCGAACACCGTGGTGCCCGGTGCACGTGGAGGGGGGGGTGGGGGCGGGTCAGCGAATTCTGGTTGACTGTCTCGCTTTTGCTTTTCCCCGGTGACTTTCCCTGTCGGTCCGCAGAGTGATACAAAACATAATAGACCACGTGCCGAAGGCTCATTACCTGGTTGCTGTGGACGAGTCTGCCCAGACCCTGGAGGACTTAGTCAAGGTACAGCCATTTTACCCCGTACTTGACAGCGTTTCTTAAATCGTTTTACTATTGAAGTGTAGTTACAGAACCAGGTGTGCTAACAAGACTGGGGGCTGGGTCCCCTAACGTACTGGGCTGGCCAAAAAGGCCCCATGGTTTTTTTTCTGTAAAATGAAAGGCACATTATTCCTTTTCACCAATAACTTTATTGATTTGCATATTTTGAGTATGTCAGCTATCTCCTGCTACTGGCTTCTAGTGGGCAGAGAGGCCTGGGCTGCTGCTAAACATCTTCCAATGCAGGAGACAGCCCCACAGCAAAGAACTGTTTGGCCAAAATGTCAGTAGTACCAAGAAACTTCACAAACGACTTTTGACCCATTCAATCAGTCACAGCACCTCCTCCATTCACTGCGACTGACCCACTCTGATAATTTTTGGCTTTACAGTTGTTTGTGTTTTTACCTTTCTTAAAATAATAAAGCATAATATGCCAAAATGTTGCATATCTTCTTCCATCTTCAATTTTAAATGGCTGTACAAAAATTCACTGGTTTTGATCATTTTTTTAAAACACACCGATATGACAGCTGTCACAAAGCAATCTAAAAAAATGGTTTCAAATGAAATTTAAGACAACTAAGTCCTACTAGAGCCATCGTACAGAAAAAACGTAATGGACTTTTTGACCAACTCTGCAGAATGTCCATAAAACCAAACTCCCCATCTGCATCTGCAATAAAGTGTTGGCGATTTACAGCCAAAATGGCCTTTCTCCAGTCATGGCAGGAAGGGCAGCAGGAAAGGCCGTTGAGGGGCTGGACACCCGCAAGTCACTCACCAGAACACTAAAATGTGCCCCTGGACACTGGCCTTAATGTATTGACGGTCAGGTTCTCCAGACCAGCTGGCAGCTCCCAGGAGCGCTGGGTCTGTCCAGTCTCCTCGCTGGTCCAGGCCGCTCTGGCCACAGCCACCGGTCTCCTCGGGGCCCAGCTAGCCTTCTCCTGCCCTCCCCCCATCATGAAGATTCGGCCCAGGTATCTCCCTCTGCACACCCCCCCCCACCCCGCCGCCTCCTCCCCACCTCCCACACAGGCCCGATGTTTCTTTGTATTCCCAGCATCCCCTTAGCTGCAAATGTTACATGTCTGTGTGTACACATTCGCCTCCCTCTCCAGACGGGGAGCTTCTGGAAGCAGGAAGTGGGCCTTTTCTCACTCTCATCACCAGTCCCTGGCACGCAGTGCTGGTTGCTAAATAAGTGAATGCACACCGTCGTGTGTCCCCTTCTGTTGTGCAAATGTGTTTGTGTTCCATTATGCATGCATTCGTTTGTTAAAACTTTACAGGTAAGCCAAATAATATTTCTATTTTTCTCTAACAGTGCATCAGTAAGAATACTGGCCCTGGGAAAATTCAGAAAGTACCCCAAGAAAATGTTTTCCTAACCAAGGAATTAACGGTTAGTATATAAGGGATTCTTTTTGTCTGCCCTTTTCCTGAGTGGAGTGGTTCTTCAGCGGTTTGGAGTCAGAATGCCTGCCTTCCACACTCCTGCCCAGCTAGCCATCGGCCCTAAAGTAACTTTCTCTTCTCTTCTGCTAGCCTGTTTTTCTTTCTGAAAAACTCTCAGAGGTCACGGTCAGAAGATGTATGTGAAAGCTCTCTGGCCCTGGCTGGTGTGGCTCAGTGGATTGAGTGCCAGCCTGCAAACTGACAGGTCACTGGTTCAATTCCCAGTCAGGGCACATGCTTGGGTTGTGCGCCTGGACCCCAGTAGGGGGCATGTGAGAGGCAACCTATGGTTGTTTCTCTTGCACGTCTGTGTTTCTCTCTTATATTTCTCCCTCCCTTCCCCTCTCTCTAAAAATAAATAAATGAAATCTCTTTTTAAAAAAAGCAGACACAGTAGATGGTGGCACACAGTGGAATATACAGATCTGGTATCATAGAAATATACAACTGAGACCTATATGGTCCTTTCAACCAATGTCACCCCAATCCATTTAATACTTTTTAAAAAAAATTGATTCAGCTATCAAGGAAAAGGCAGGATGATGGAAGCTGTAGGAGTGAGGTAATTGATGAGATTTTGGAGAGTTTTTTAGCCTGATTTTTCAGTAATATCTGTAAGGCCAAGGAAGAACACTCTATACATGTACTTTTTTAAATTAAGTGGTTTCTTTAAAAGGCAGTTGGGTATGGATGTTATAAATCAGTTGAATAGCAGCATAGCAGTCTGATGGGGGGCTGTTCAGGGCATAGGAATAAAGTTACTGAAATCCGAAAATATTGGTAGATACAATGAAACATTTTTAAGACGAAACCTCACTTGGGCTTCTAGTATCTTCCTACTCAGAGTGTCTGTGCAAGAGCCCAGAGCCGCCCGTCCCCAGAGAGCGGGTGCGGGGAGGGCGTAGGCTGGTTGGAGGGTCGCAGCGGGCTCTCTGTCAACACTCAGGGACCGTCAGGGTTAGTGAATGGCTATATATTTTTCTCTAATCACAACAGACTTTGGTCTGTTATCACCATGAAAATTCAAACAAAGAGACAACTCTCTGACGTGACTTTATCTCTTAGCAAGAGAGCATTGACCACTTACTGGTCAACCTGAGGATGGAAGCCTCCTGTGTGAAGGAGAATTTCAACATGCGCTGGGTCGCCCAAGCGGGCTTCGTGGAAAACATCAACACCGTCCTCAGGGAGTACAAGCAAAGCAGAAAATTACTGGTAACTATAGCCATTTTCTATTTCAACTTCGGGTATAATTCTCTCGGTGAAAGTATTTCCTTCCTTAAATGTCCAAATTTCTAAATTCAAGTTCTTTTTCAAAGGTGACCCGTTGGTCCAGGTCTAACAGCCCACATGTGTGTTACATTAATACTGTCAACCGAATATGAAAATTATAAAGTTAATAGAAACAATGACTGCCATGCTTGGCACACATTGAACCTGACAGTGAGCTCAAGGCCGACCGTCACAGAGCTGTCTACACAAGGGAACAAAGCTGGCACCCTACCGGCCTGCCTGTCTCAGCCCTGGATACTGGCATGGGAGAGGGGAGGGAGGAGGTGGGAGGAATCTCTATTACTTTGATGCTATTGGCCAGATTTGCTGGTCACTTTAATCATCACAGTTTGTCTAGGCTGATATTCTGATCCCCACCTTGTCCATGTGAAAACCAAGGCTCAGAGAGATGGAGCGCGTTTCTCAAGGCCACATGGCTCATTGGGGATTCAAACCCACTTGGCTAGAACGGCCCCACTGCAGAGTCTGCACACCCCCTCTGAGCCCAGACCACGGCAGCGCTTGCCCGGACCTTTGGACTCATTCCAGGGAAGCACCTCGGAGGTGCCAGTAGGTGTGGGGCGACGTTTGGAAACCTGTAGTGTTGCCTGTGAGTGACGGGTGCCGTCACAGTCCTAACTGCCACTGTGCACGGGAGAGCGTCATAGGAGCGAGTGCAGTGTCGCCATTCCTAAGGTGAAAAACATGGTTCGTTAATAACCAGTGAAGGACATACCACTTAGCAAAAGAGACAATGACCCCTTTCAGCATCCAAGGTACCCGGGGTGACTTTCTTGGAGACCATTCCTTGGCACAGACCCATCCAACTCAAGAGGCAAGACTAGTGTTTCCTCTGTGAATCAACTGTAATATGGCACACGATTCTAGATAAGACACCTTAAAAAGACCCTGTGGTTCCCGATTAGCAAGACCGGCCAAGAACGTGATAGAAGGAATGAGCGTACCTACAAAGTTCACAGCCTGTGCCTCCCTGGGGTGTCGGTCAGCCCTGCTCAGCGAGACTCAGCTCAGAGCTGCTCTGTCGCCTGGCACCTGTCTCCCCGACACCCGCTGCCTGCCATCTTGGTCAGTACCGTCATCCTGAAAGTGCCCGTCGCTGACCAGATGGGACCACTTGCGTCCACCGCTCCTCACCCTGCACCGCGCCATGTCTCTGCCTGTCTCTCCACGGCCTCGGTTTCCCCATCGACAACCGGTAACAACACTAACCACAACCCACTTCCTGGGTGAAATTATACAATCTGGAAGCACATGATGCTCTGCCAGAGGAAATTCTTGTCACTGCCATGATTTTTTAAAAACACTTTAAAAGTAAAAACATGTTTTTAATTTGCCTTGCAAAACACTAGCCCCCAGCTTCACAATGCTTTGGACCACTTTGAAAGAAACAGCTATTTGCTACTGATGTTTTTATTTCTGCCAACATTAACATTCCCTCACTGGTTAGGCATGTGACAAAGCTTCCTTAGCATTCGAGAAAGTTTTTCAGCAGAAGAAATCGCATTGTTTTAATATGTGTATCTTTGAAAACTAGAGTAAATTATCTGTGTTAAAAAGGAAAGTATAACTAAACATCAAATTCAGTCCAGAGACAATATTCATGAGGCAATAAGTTAAGCACCATCTACACCAGACCAGAAATTCTTTAATTTCTTTGTTGTCTTTGCAAGAGTAACACAACGAACTGTGAAGCTGGCAGCGTGTTGTGCTTGGATACTTTCTTTTTTAATACTTTTAGGGTATTCCAGAGCACATCCTGGAGGGTTGTATTCCCCTGCCCAGGTCAGAGCACACAGTAGGTGCTCACTAAGTACTTGGAGAGAGCAACTGGAGAGGTACCTTGCAGGACCTGGAGACTCAGAAAGGCTCTCCTAGGAGATAACAAGCGCTCTGTCCCGCTACAGGTTGTTCAGAGCCCACTAGGTGACCACTCTCCTCTCTCAGCCCATTAAGGTTTGCATCCTCGGTCCCCCCGCGGTGGGGAAATCCAGTGTCGCGGAAGTGCTGACCAAGTACTACAGACTACATCACGTCAAACTCAAGGACGTCATTTCTGAGGCCATAGCAAAACTGGTATCACTGTTAACTGCTTTACTGGGGATTTTTATATTTTAAAAATGCTCTTTCACATGACATCCTACAAAGAGATGCGTTACTGTAACTGGATTTTACCGTTGGCCCCACTTAACGAGAAGACCGAATCCCACATGGCTTCTCTCTCCGAGATGGAAGCATCTTTCACGGGCAGCTTGTGAAACTTAGTGCATCTCCCAGCTGTTGTTCAAAATATATCTGTATTCTTCCTGTTGACCAGAACATTTTTGTTTTTGTAATTATTTTATTTTATTATTTTATTGTTGTTCTATTACACTTGTCCCAATTCCCCCACCCCCCCTTTTGCTGTCCATTGCCCACCTCCGCCCCCCGACCCCCAACTAGAACCTTTTGAGGTGTTTTTACTCTATATGTCCAGGTCTCGGGGTATCATGGGAAAGGCATTATTTCCTCAGAGCAGCTTAGGTGACAGCAAAACTGAGAGGAAGGTTCAGAGGTTTCCCGCAAGCCCCTGCCCTCCCTCTGCAGGTGGTTAGTGAATAGCAAGTCAGCTCAGGCTTCTTCCAACGGGGGCATTCTCTGTGGTGTTCAGGAGGCCGCAGTGGCGCCGAAGTATGGAGGGGAAGGAGACGAGGAAGGTGAGGAAGAGGAAGAGGAAAACAACATGGAAGATGCACAGGAGCTCTTGGACGGGGTCAAGGAGAGCATGGAGCAGAACGCAGGTGACATGCAAGCCCGAGCGCCCTGGCCTTGCCGATGATGTTCTTTGGCTGGTTTTTGCTCTTCCCCCCCAGGTCAATAGCATAGAAGTGTTATTGTATGATTTATTTTATTCTTCTAATTTGGTCTGTGAGTCTTTCTGGTTTTTTCCTCCTTGTTATCAAAGACTATTTGTTTGTTCTCGTAAGTATAAAATTTATTACAACCTGAAAAAAAATTTCATTTATAATTCTATCCCCCCCGAAAAAAGTTAGCATTAATATTTTGGTGATTTATCATAAGATGGGAAAGAAATACCTAAGTTAAAAAAAATTAAATGTTTAGTCATAAATATTTTAAAATGTCAAAAGTCGTTAATTAAAAGGCAAAGGACAAACCAGAAAAAAAATACTTGACACCGATATGACAGAGTTAATAGTCTTAATATATAAAATACTCAGACAAACTAATAAGAAAATTATTAAGCCCTGGCTGGGTGGCTCAGCTGAGTGGACACTGTCCCACAAACTAAACGGTCACCAGTTCACATCCCAGTCAGAGCACACACCTGGGTTGCAGCCAGGTGCCCAGCCGGGGGTGTGCAACAGACAACTGGTAGGTGTTTCTCTCTCGCATGGAAGTTTCTCTCCCTTTCTTTCTACCTCCCTTCCCCTCTCTCTAAAAATAAATACATACAAATTTTCTAAAAATAAAGAAAATTATTAAATTCTTAATAGAAAAAAAAAGATGAATAATGTAGACCCGTAACTAATGCAGGAAGGAATACAAATCAGTGGGGAAATATTCCTACTCACGTTTGGACATAAGAAACATCCAAACCAGTAGAGAATTTCTATAAGAGGTTGAGCCGGACCGATGGCATACGCCGGAGAGCGAGGTCTCAGCTGCTCCAGAGAGTAACCGTTCGCAGCTTCTTTTGCGAATTTGAGATTAAGGGGAGCATGTACCGAAGATTACCTGAAGGTGGGAGGAAGCAAGGTCGGGGTTGGGTTACAGGACAGTTAACAAGATGATGTGCCCTCTTGAGCGTCAATACCCCCTTCCAGGGGTGCTACTGGACTTCTGGCGTTTCAGCGTACACCCATGAGAACAATGGACAGAGCTGGCTTAAAGTCTGTCCCTGAAAAGTTATGTTCCTGGGCGTGACCCTGCACCTCGACCTGCCCAGTTGGGCATTTGTGGTCAGCTCACCCTGTGAGGCGGCTTTCCTGAGAGCCTTTTTTTTGTCATCCATACTCACTTGGTCATTTTAACCAGTTGGTTGAACGAAGTCACTACAGTCAAGTGTGGCTATAAACTCAAAACCTGGACTCATTTCTCCCCACTCTGGGATGGAATCTAGGATCTAGGGCCAGCCCCACTGCAGCCTCTGGATCCTGCGTAAGTAGCTCCTTGTTTATTTATTCGTGCTTCAGGAAGGCCATTCAAGTCATCAGACACTGGGTTTTGCATTGAGATGTTTCTAAGGGAGCTTGTTACCCAGCAGGAAGGCCGTCAGTCGGTAGTTACTAGAAAAATCAAGCCATTTCATTTTTACACTTAAACAGTTGAGTCCGTCCACCAACATGGTTACCTTGGTACCGTCTACAGGCCAGTCCGGCAGTGCAGACCCGGTGCAGTGGAGTCCTCCCCCGGCCTCTCATCCAGCACCTCTGGTTTCTCTTCTCTCTTGACTTCTCCCATCTTGCCGGTAGCTGTTTCTGATCCTCCAGGGTTGGACTGGGGCAAGAGCTAGTTAGGAAAGCTCAGAGGTGTGAACTGGCCCTGGGTGCTCACTGCCCTTTCCTGGTGCTGTGCTTCTCTGGGCCACTGTGGGGCAGCCCCTGCCCTACCCCGAGGCACTACTCTTGAGGGCCCCCCAGCCCCCGACTTCTGGTCTTCTGGGCCTCTGCCCTCAGCTCCTCCGGACTGTCCTCTTCCTAGCTACTCAACTTCTGGGACTCTTGTTCTTCCAAGCCCTCTGAAGTCCAGGCTACCCGTCTGCCTCCTCGCCCCCCCCCCCCAGGCTGCACCAATCTGGTTTTCAGTGGTAGAAAAAGCGGTGTTGTCAGCATACACTGAGTATCTACTTAAACCAGCTGAAGTGGGAGTGAGAGTCGCAGAGCTTTCTCTCAGGGAAAGGAAGGTGTGCAGAGAATACACATCCTACGTGGAGCTGCACAGTGCCCCCCCACCCCCGGGGGACACTGGGAGTCACTGTGCCAGTGTAGAGTCCGACAGAGTCCTGGCTCCCAGCATTTGGGGGTGAGGAAACCAACCCCACATTCCACGGTCGGGACACCAGTGGAAGGAAGTCTGGCCAGGCCACATGGAAGGGAGAGGAGCCTTTGAGATCTTGTTTCCTGATATGTCGTCAGTTCGGCTCAAATAAACTCTTATAAAAATGTTCTAGAAAAATCAAAAATGAAGGGTGGGAGACCAGGACTGTAGGAATCCACAGGAGTACGGGGCCTCCCGTACTAACCCTTTAAGCCCGAGGTGTCAGGGACAGAAAGAGGGCACTGGAGGCGGAGAACAGTGCCGCCCCCGGAGAGAGACAAGAGCCTCTCATACTCAGCTCAGCAGAGGAGACAAACACGGGAAAGAACTTACCGACAGAGACGGATGTACCAGGTCTTATCCAAGGACTCTGTGTAACCGCGTGGCGTGACGTGCCACCTGGGCTCTTTTCAAGCCTGGGGAGGTGACCGCGTAGAAGGGTCACAGGCGAGACTGTGCCAAGCTGAGAACAGCCAGTGCACGGCCCAGGCTCAGGAAGGGCCTGTGCTTGGCCAGAGAAGACTCTGTTCTTCCCAGATGCGAGAGGCCACGCCGGGTTAGCAGCCTCCGTCTGGGGAGGCCTGGGGTGGAGCAGAGGACAGATGAGGTCTTTGGGGGAACGGCAAGCGCCCCTCCCCTCCCCCTCTGTCCTCCCACCCACCCACTTCCTACAAGACCGGAAAGGTTCCTCAGTCCCCTCGAGTCTGTCCAAAATCCCTTACCGGTCATGTTTATCAGAAACTAGGACTCGTACCTTGATTATGTTTCAACAAAGCAAGACCTGGGAACCCACCCCAAGCTCACATAGAAATTTCCCAGCCTTAGGACACAGAGGTGGGCTCCCTTGTCCCTAACGTGACCCGGTTTGTGATTATATGAGTCCCACCAGCATGGGCTCTATTGGTTAGGTATCATCCCACAAAGGAAAAGTTCACAAGTTCGATCCCCGGTCAGGGCACATGCCTGGGTTGTGGGCCTGGTCTCCAGCTGGAGCACATGTGAGAGGCAATGGATCGATGTTTCTCCCCCACTTTTTATCCCTCCCTTACCCTCTCTGTAAAGATAAATATATAAAATCTTTTTTTCCCAAAGCATAGGGGACACCAAATATTTATTTAATTATTTTTAGCAAAAAGGGAAGGGAAGGAGAAAGAGAAGGAGAGAAACATTGATCAGTTGCCTCTTGCACACCCCCAACAGGGGACCTGGCCTGCAACCCAGGCACGTGCCCCGACTGGGAATCGAACCGGCAGCCTTTCCGTTTACAGGCTGTCACTCAGTCTACTCAACCACACCAGCCAGGGCCGCAGAATTATTTTTAAATTACAGTTTTTTAAATCACAAGAAAATTTATGCTTATTAAGAGAAACTATATTTAAGAGAAATAAGCATATATTTTTAATATATGCTTATTAAGAGAAACTATTAAAAAAACCTACTAAAGATGAACTCATAAGCCAAAATTATCATTTTTTTGAGACATTCGTCCGCCAGGAGTGACATCAGACTTGCCTTGCCTTCAGAAAATAAATGAGCAGAGATCCTAAAATAAATGTTTAAAAGGATAAAACAATTTAAGAAATGAAAAGGAAATGATGATGATGATAAAAAAACAGGCAGGTAATAGAGCAAGGAAGAGGAAGAGCAAGAGGAAGGGGCAGACAAAGGAGGAGGGAAGAGAAACCAGCTGAGCACGTGCAAGGCCCCTCCCCCTGCGTCCCTCTGGGCCTGGGTCAGGCTGTGCTGGGAGAAGAGTTTGAAATTGAATGACAGACTGGTGGCGTTAGTGTTAAACTTGTGAGGCCGTGTAAGAACTAGAAGAGACTTCAACAGGACCGGAGTCACACTTTTGTGGTTTTAAAGCAGGATGGTAGGAAGCTAGGGGCATTCCTTGGCAAGTGGCACAGGGAAACTGAGACACATAGTCAGACAAGCCCATCCTCCCTAAACCAAGACACTTCAGTGTAAATGGTTTGGCCCCGGCTGGTGTGGCTCAGTGGACTGAGCACCCCTCTGTGAACTGAAAGGTCACCAGTTTGATTCCCCGTCAGGGCACATGCCTGGGTTGCAGGCCAGGTCCCCAGCAGGGGGCACTCGAGAGGCAGTCCATCGCCGTTTCTCCTACATATTGATGTTTTTTCCCCCTTTTTCTCCCTCCCTTCCCCTCTCTCTAAAAATACACAAATAAATCTTTTTTTTTAAAAAAATTGTACAATATCTGGCTTTAAAAATAAATAAAAAGTAAATAAATATTACTGGTATTTCAGAGACAGATTTAGCATTTTTTAAGAAGAGCAGTGTGGTGTTTTAAGGACTGTCCCCTAGGGCTGTGCTCATTCCTTTCAGAGTAGAAGTGACAGTCCTTTTCCAAGGAGCCCAACACCTCTGGGAGGTCACGGTTCCCAGGAGAAAGGTGCTGGGACTTGGCCCTTTGTGTCCTCGCAGCCTGTGGTCATGCTCGCCTGTCCCTGGGGGGCCCTGTTGGTATACTGAGCGCTTTGCTGGGAGGCAAACAGACGTGGACGGCAAAGCCTGCTGCCTGGAGTGAAGCAAGTCACACACTGACCAGGAGGGAAGCGGGGGTTTCTGATCACGTGCCTTTGCCTCCCCAAGGAAGCCTTCCAAAACTGCAAGTGGAACGCTTAGAGGGCTCTTGCTGTGAGTGTCGGCGAATCCCTGACCTTCCCGAACAGGTGTCTTTGTCTCTGCCAAATCGGGAACCTTCCTGGGAAGTGGTGTCGGATCATTTCGAAGAACTTTATTATGCTAAATGACACTTCTGATAATTTTTTGGTCTCGCCGTAATACTCACATTTCCGAAAGACAATGATTTTCTGACTCGGTTACTGCTCCATGATCAGTGAGACAGTGACAGGCGGAAGAAAGGTGTCCCGATCAGATCACAGCATTGTCACTGACAGAGGCCAAGAGCTGCTTTTGCTGATGGACCCACTGACTGACAGAAAGCACAGCGCTGCCCTGGACACAGCTTCAGAGGGCAGTTTCTTGAATCAGACTCACGTCACCGAAAGGCATCCATGAAGCAGTGTAAGGGCAGGGCTGTGTCTTGGAAATGTTAGCTGATCAATAATTGTGGCGAAATGATAAGTGGATATTGTGGAGTCTATGTCAGGGAGGGAGAAACTTACTCTCCTAGGTTTTTTCAGCTGGTCTGAACATTCAATCTACATGAGACAGATTTTAACAAGAGATGATAACCAAATTCACTTACATACGTGTATGCATGGGAGCCCCCCCACACGAGGGAGCCAGAGGGCCCACATACGTGAGAGGTGCAATGACAGAAGGGAAATGAGGTGTACGTGACCTTCTTAGCCAAGCACGAGGCTCGGAGGGGAGGAAGGTCATTGCAGTGTGCTAGGAAGGGCAGGTGTTCAGTAAGGAGTAGTTTGTCCAGCTGTACAGATAAGGTAAAAAAAAAAAAATCTGTTGATAATTCTTGTTGTGGGCAAGGTCCCTAGTTTAAGTTCTTTGAGGGACAGTTAAAAGTTTCTCATGATCTCAGAGGGTTTCAATTGCCTTCAGTTCATAATAATTCACAGGTCTAAGTGGCGCATTTTGGGGAGGACTGTTCTGAACCCCTACACTTTTAATCCCTGTGCCAGTTTTAGAACAAACTCCCCCGTCTCCAGCCTCCCCAAGCAAAGGCAGTGGCCAAGGTTTGAAAGGGCCCGTCCAGTGGGGTCAAGGTCAGAAATGCCATTAGAACTGGAAAAGACAGGTTGCAGGGCGGGGCCCTGGTCCGCTGCTTTAAAGAGAACGGAGAGAAGGGTGCCTCTGAGGCCCAGATCAAGGTTGATTTTTATTCAAATGCAGCAAATTTGTTTATTTATTTATTTATTTATTTATTTATTTATTTATTTATTTATTTATTGAGCCCCTCTGACTAGTAATAAATAATGTGCTAGCAACATGCATGAATACCGTCTCAATTCACAGAACAGAAGCATTTACCATTATGTATTAAGATTAATGGAAGTATGATACCAAAACGGAATTGAGCAAACCCCACTGCTGAGTAGGGTCCCTCTAGATCTCTCCACTTATTCCACATACAACGATAGCCAGAAGCTGTGACTACAGAAGACATTCTGGAAATCCAGACATCAGCATTTGCTTCTGTTCTTCTTTGGAGACCAGCTCACTGGGTTCTCCTCCTTTTCACTGTGTGTTAGAAGTCACAGGTCATGCGTGAAATTCCAAACCACATAATTTTCACTTTTTAAAAAAGATTTTATTTATTTGTCTTTAGAGGGGAAGGGAAGGAGAGAGGGAGAGAAATATCAATGTGTGGTTCCCTCTTGCGCATTCCCTGCTGGGAACTGGCCTGCAACCCAGGCATGTGCCCTGACTGGGAATCGAACCTCAGTCCTCTGGTTCACAGGCCTGCACTCAATCCACTGAGCTATACCAGTCAGGGCATAATTTTCACTGTAATGGAAAAAAAAGAGATGTTCAGTAGTAACTTTGACTACATGATCATTTTTCAGATGACTCTAGGATGTAACCCTTATGTAGAATGAGACTCTGAAATGTATTTTTTTTCTTTTTATTAGGCAGACTGGAAGATCAATATGTAATTCGATTTATAAGAGAAAAGCTGAAGTCTATGCCTTGCAGGAATCAAGGTTACATTTTGGATGGATTCCCAAAGACCTACGATCAAGCCAAAGACCTGTTCAGCCGTAAGTTTGAATATTTACGTTCAGATGAGCTGCAGCTTTACTGTTCAGAGTAAGAATCACTCAGCTGGAACTAGTGACTGCTAGTTAAAATAGTTTAATTTTTTAAGCTATCCATAGTAATGATATGTAATAACCATGGCGATGTATATTTTGTTTTATTAGAAGACGAGGAGGACGAGGAAGAAATTAGAGGCAAAATGTTTCCCTTTGATAAATTAATCATGCCTGGTAAGTTTAAAATACTTCTCCAAGGTCATATTTAAAGGAATGTCATTTGATACCTCTTTTGTACCAGAACAATCTTTTTGATGTTAATAAAGTAGGGTTCTTAAGGGAATAAAAAAGTCACGTGATACATTTAATATCCAATTTCCAAGCTAAAGAATGTGGGGAGCCACATATCAGGGAAGTTGAGGTTCTTCGAGAATGTGCATTTCTGTGGCTCCCTCCTGGGGCAAAGCAACACGCAGCCCTTCTGGGGATGGACACCCCGACTTCTGAGTCAGCTGGCCAGACCACCGGGTGCAGAGCGGGGTGGTGGCAGCTCCTACCTGCCGTAGGAGGAGCCAGGGAGGCCATGATGAATTCCAGAAGGCGTTCGAAATCCAGAACGGAGACAGGGCAGCTGAAAAGCTTTTCAGTTCACAGTTCGCTCCACGGCAAGTCTGATTCCGTCCTGTATTGACCCAGAGATTTCACAATGTACTTCTGAAAGAGAAGTTTAAACAACTTATCCCAGGAAAAAAGAAGTTGCTGAGTAACCAGCAGGCATTTCCTCTGACCTTGCCATGAACTTTAAAACTTTCTGTCTCTCTATTTTAAATCATTCTGCATGAGGTCTAATCACAGGGGACAATTTTTGGTCAGAGGGTAAATACAAGCTATTTTCAACAACTTAGTACAAGATCGTGCTGCAGAGGGTGGGGGAATGCCCCCTCCCTTATTTAGTTCTTACAGCTGGACTAACAATAAAATGATACAATTGACACAAGCCGAGAGTAAAAGGAGAAAAACCTACTTAATACATGCACACGGGAGAATCATAAGAAGCTGCTCGGGACTTAATGAGACTCAGAGAAATGATGGACCAGGCACCTTTTTATACTTTTTAGACAAAGGAAAGTCTAAAACGTAAAAAATAACTTGAGACCTTTACAGAAGGAAGAACATTAGTGCTCATTAAAAAGGAATCTAAGCAAGTTTTGGGTATTCCTCTCAGCGAGGAGTCTAAACAAAGGTAAGGCCTAAGGAATGAACCAGGAAAGGCAGTGTGAGGCTTGTTTAGATTGGCTCCCCATTCCGGGGTCAGGTGATCAGCACTCAGCCCTCAGGAGCAGGGAGGGCCCTGATCACGAGGTAGATTTATCTCCTGCTCCCAGGAAGACAGAGAGGGCAGGGCTTTCTTCTTGCCGATATGGTTCTTTTTTAAAGATTTCCTTTCTTTATTTTTAAAGAGAAGGGAAGGGAAGGAGAAAGGGAGAGAAACAACAGCACACAAGGGATAACTGATTGGTTGTGTCTCATGTGCCCCCAGTTGGGGACCTGGCCTGCACCCCAGGCATGTGCCCTGGCTGGGAATCGAACCAGTGACCCTTTGGTTCACAGGTTGGCGCTCAATCCACTGAGCCACACTAGCCAGGGTACACAGATAGTTTGTTAAGTAACTTTAACTCAAAATAATCAATATACCATGGTGGAATATCTTGGGGTACCTGCCCTGGGCCTAGACACTTGTAACCCAGGAGGGCGTGCTCACTTGTGTCAAAGTCCTCAAGAAAGCCGGCTCCCAGCCATCACCCTGTCCTCCTCTTGGTCCAGGCCAGCTTACAAAGAAGTGCAGGGGAGCTCGGAGACCCCCAGGAGTCAGCCGTCCTCAAGGATGGAGGGCTATGGCAGGAACGTGGAATGGGTGGGTTATCTCAATTTCCCATTCACAGAGGTCTTCCTCCCAGAAAGTTAAAAAACAAAGTCAATTGCTCTCAATGACCAGGTCTAGCCAGTTAATGAGAGTTTGCTGCTTCTGGGCAACGTGCATTCCCTGCAAACTGTCGTAAATCCTCATGTCCTCACAGAGGCGTAAATAGATATCATTCGGCTCAACTAGCCACTTGTCTAACACCAGGCAGCACTGGACACAGGAGCCCCTTGAGCCTTCCCACAGTCCCGCAGGGCAGAAATGACTCCCATGTTTACCATTCCAGAAGCCAAGGCCCAGTGACTCAGCCAAGTCCACTTCCTTGGGGCACAGCAGGGCTTACGTTCAGACCCAGCTGTCCCCACCCCACTGCCTCCGAAGCCCAGAGTTAATGAAAGCCCTTTGTAAGATGAGGAAAGAGAAGCGAGGAAAATGATGAAGGATTCTGAACCGTCGTCCACTGGGCTGCCCTCTCTTTGTTGGACACAGTCCGAACACGTCTGAGATGTTATCTCTTTGGAATGTTTAGCAGGGTTTTGGTAAATTACTCTCTTCCCAGAAATGATTGTTGTGTTTTGCTCTCCCTAAAAGCAGTTAGAGTACCGTCTCATTTGCACCCGCTGGATCTTAATGTATGGAGGTGACTGAGTAAACACACAAGAGGTTGCTGCCATTGGAAGAAGAATTTGTGATGTTCCCCCAGGGAAGCGGGCGGGCAGGAGGGACTGCAGGCTCAGGGGGGGATGCAGGGGCAGATGGAGAGGGCAGCCTTCCCCGGGTTTCCGTGGGAAAGGCAAGGCAGGGCAGAGCAAACAGCTTCTCTAGAGGACTGGACGGTTTGTGTAAGACCCCAGTGGGCTGGGGTCTCTAGTCACCTGGTACCGAGCGGTGGATGGTTTCTAGCGGGGGGGGGGGGGGAAGGTTGGCCTGGAGTACATTCTTACGTGAAGGGGGGGGGGGCATTGGCTTGCATATGGGAGGCTTGCTCCCAATTAAGTTGTTGACTGTCTTCAGAAGCCAGCTAGCCCTGGGAGGGGCAGCCGCCCCCCAGGTCAGGAAGGCACCCCCTCAAGATGTCAAAGCATCTTAAGATACGGAAAATAACAGAATTAATACAAGCCCCCATGCTTGATTTGAGTGGTAGCACAATGGAACCTGTGGTAACCCAGTCCTGGAGTAAATCATTGCCTTTCATCTCCGCTGTTGGCACATGTCTATTGTGATTCTATTCAGAACGCTGGTTGAAAGAGGCAATTTAGAGTCCCACCTATCTGATGAATATGGAAACATTTGTTAAAACTTAGGCTTTCACATGATTGCAGATTGCCAAATACAGTGGCGGCGTTGTTCTGTACGATCTTAATAAGCAGAGATCTACTCCTTGCTATCCACAGTCAGCAAGCACAAGAAAAAGCAGATATTCTGAATAATTATCTCAAGGTACTGGGAACCCTGACATTCCCCCAAATCATAAGAGAGAAAGGACTCTTGAAAGCAAACCACTTCATAGGAAATATATGTCATCATATTAAAATTCTTTGAAAACTGGAAGCCAAATATGTCAGTCATTACTCACAATTTGATGAACTAGAATCTTCCATCTCCTAATCGCTGGATAAAAGATACGATGTTATATTTTGAAATTCATAGATTATTAACAGAACTTTAAAATTCTTTAAGAATTATTTTTAAAGAAAAAGAGAAACATCAATATGTTGTTCCACCTATTTATGCATTCATTGGTTGATTCCTTTTTTAATTTATATTTCATTGATTATGCTATTACAGTTGTCCTGATTTCTCCCCGTTTGCCCCCCCTCCACCCAGCACCCCCGACTCCCTTGGGCAATGCCCCTACCATTGTTCATGTCCTTGGATCATGTGTGTAAGTCCTTTGGCTACTCCACTTCCTGTACTGTACTGTACATCCCCATGGCTGTTCTGTAACTGCCTGTTTGTACTTCCTAATCCCCTCACCTCTTCACCCTTCCTCCACACCCTTGTTCCATCTCACAACCATCAAAATGTTCTCTGTACCCGTGATTCTGTCTCTGCTCTTCTTGTTTGCTTAGTTTGTTTTTTAGATTCAATTATTGATAGATGTGTATTTTTTGCCATTCTGTTGTTCATAGTTTTGATCTTCATATTTTTCTTAAATAAGTCTCTTTAACATTTTATATAATAATGGTTTGGTGATGATGAACTCCTGTAGTTGCTTCCTGTCTGGGAAGTTGTCTGCCCTTCCATTCTAAATGAGAGCTTTCCTGGGTAGAGCAATCTTGGCTGTAGGTCCCTGCTTTTCACGACTGAATACTTCTCACCAATCCCTTTTAGCCTGTAAGGTTTCTTTTGAGAAGTTAGCCGACGATCTTACAGGGACACCCCTGTAGATAGCAAACTGCTTTTCTCTTGCTGCTTTTGAGATTCTCTCTTTATCTTTAACCTTTGGCATTTTGGCATTTCAATCCTGGAGTGGGCCTCTTTGGGTCCATCTGTTTGGGATTCTCTGTGCTTTATGGACTTTCGCAAACTTTGAAAAACTTTGTTTTCACTGCTAACACATGAAGCGGACAATGTTCACAGGTGTCCCATGTGCCCCTGGGGCACACCCTGCTCTGGGCTCTGCACTGAACACTTTTTTCAAAAAGATTTTCTTTATTTTTAGAGAGAGGGGAAGGGAAGGAGAAAGAGGGAGAAAAACATGGACGTGGGTGAGAAGCATCAATCAATTGCCTCACACGCCCCCAACTGTGGACCTGGCCTGCAACCCAGGCATGCGCCCTGGCCAGGGGTCAACCCTGCAACTTTTCAGTGTGTGGGACCACGTCAGGGCAACGCTTACTTTTCTTGCTCATTCAGGAAAGCATATTATCATGTAATGAAGTGAGAATGGCGTATTATGTGGCAGACCAAATAACAACTGTGCAATAAAAACCCAATCATTCCCAAACTTTCCCAGGCTTTCTCGGGTAGCTAGCTGTTTATAATGTCCACAGCTGCTGGTCTGGGCACCAGGGTATTCAGGACCTGCTGAGGACATCAGAGAACAGGAACTCGCCTAGAAAGTTAATTTCACTGACCTGCACTTTAATCATTCATTCACTCGCTCAAACATCCACTGAACCTGTACGAGAAGCTGGAGAAGCAGCTGTTTTTGCAGTTTAAAGGACAATCACAGGCAGGTGAAATGACACTGTCATTGACATGGTCCATGGGTCAGAACTTAGCGAGGCACTGGCCGTGTTGCGTTGGACATAGATGTTTTGTAGCCAGCGGCATAAAGTGAGGAAAGTGCTGGATCTGTGGAAAAGTAAAATCTCCAGGGGGGTCCCCAATTTTATCAATTTGGCAAATCAGCCATTGGAGTATATTGCTCATAGCCACCGATCTCTTCGACAATTGACTGGGAAGCTGATGCCAGATACCACAGGATTATTAAAAATGTGCTATTTGCAATTTCTGCTGCTTCTATTGAAGGAAGGAAGGAAGGATGAAAGGAAGGAAGGAAAGGAGAGAGGGAAGGGAAGGGAAGGGAAGGAAAAATGGGAGGGAGGGAGGAAAAATAAATCCTACAAATACCAGCTGGCAGGGCCTCAGGGGGTAGTCTCTGAAACTATCCCTGATTTACATGCTCTTACCCTCCACTTTGTCGGGCCATTTGCAGCTGCTCGAGGTCTTGGTCTTGTCCTGGATGCCAACCAGGTGTTTTCCTGTCCACCAGCACCAGCTGATTATGTGACCTGCACTGTCACTGGGTTAACTAAGGAGCCTCTCCTTCTCCCCAGAATTTGTCTGTGCGCTGGATGCCTCGGATGAGTTCCTCAAGTTCCGGGTGATGAATATGCCCGAGAGCCTGGTGGCGGGCACCCACTACAGCCAGGACCGGTTCCTCCGGGCTCTGAGCAACTACCGGGACATCAATACCGAAGATGAGACGGTGCTCAACTATTTTGATGAAGTGGAAATCCACCCGATACATATCGGTATGCAATGAACTGAAAAGTGGTGAGTGTGGAAAGGTACCACCAAACGTCAAGACCGCCAGCCAACCCCAGAGCGGGTCTCTGGCCAGGTTGGGGGAGGCTGGAAGCCTTGGAAAGTCGCAGGATAAATGGGGCGCTTCCCCTGGGGAGTCCTCCTTGAGCACTTGGAGGTGGAGTGTTATTGTTACATGAAAACATATGGGTATATTATGAAGTGGAACACCAAAATTTTAAAGGGCATTTCAAAGAAATGTGCTTGCTGCCAGCTGCTTTGGGCAATGCACCTGTCTTCCTTGGGGACAGTGTTCCATCACAGTAGCATTGTGGACACTAGTGCTCTTCACAGAGCCCCACCTGGCCTTTAGATCGGCCAGCTGCTCAGAAAAGCCAATAGTTCTTCATTGCATTTCTCCATGTTTCCTCTAAATGCTTTACTCTGAGCTAGCTTGCAGTGAGCACCCAGGAAACATGATCTCTCACCGTCCTCGCCATCACCATCACCATTCATGACTCCAAGTCTCAGCTGTCCTAGCTGTTTCCACTCCCCGTGGCTTGGTGAACCCCCGAACTTCCTTTCTGGTTTTCTGGGCACTTGATACTTTCTCCTCCATTGGTGAGAAGACTTGGTGGGAGCTTAGTGGCCAGGCCAACCCCCAGGGCCTCCCGAGGCCTCTCTTAACCCCAGGAGCCAGAAGGGGCAGCGTTTGGACTCTGGAGTATTGGGAGGCTTAGAGCTAAGGTCAACAGGACGGCAGATTCCAGTTCCGGCTCTGCCTCAGTTTCCTCACCTGTGAAATAGGAGAGTAATCCCCGACTTGTAGTGTGTTCCAGGTAGTACAGATAACAGACAGGAAGTTCCTGGCACGTTGAAGGGATTTCAACAAGTGGTCATTTTCTTTTTACTACCAATACAAAGGCAAGTTCTGGGGAGAAATGGCCTACTAATAAATAAAAAGATGACTCTGCTTATGAATTCTTCTCTGTTTCGCACCTTTGGAAGTGTCTGGGTTTGGCCATCGTCTGGCTGTGTCTGTGTATGTTGGATTTATTTTACATATTTTATACGTACGGCAAAGGGTTTGATGCCTTCTACGGTGGAACGTTCTTTACCCTATCTAATGAGAGAACTAGGAAAAAACGGTGAACAAATTTTACAAAGACAGTAATTGTCATCCTTTCAGTAAAGACCCAGAAATTACTTATGGAAAGACCAGGAGAGCCCCAGGGAGAAAGGCTGAGAGGCGCGGAAATGGCGGGAGGAGGGAAGGAGGGGCCCCTGTGTTCCTGGCACCTTCTGTGCCCGAAACTCCATGCTGGCAACCAGGAGATAATGAAAGCAAACTGGAGAAATGTATCATAAGGATGGGTGTGGGGGAGGGGGTCAAGGTCAGGAATGCAGCCTGGCTTCAGAAGGCTCTGGAATGGTCTGGAATGATGCTGGCGCCCACATTCTCTCTCTGCATCTCTCAATTCCACTGCCCTCTCACTCTTTCCTCTCTTGCTCTTTGGACCAGAATCTCTCCCTCTCTCCTCCCCAGTTCACATGGTGGCCTGGGGCTACTCTTTGATCCAGAGTTCCCGTGTCACACTGGAGCCAAGTCTGGGGCTGGACGTGACTTTCAGTCCCAATTCCACACTCCAAGAAGAGCAAGTCAGAGGCCAATTAGTGCCCCGGTGGTCAGGTGCCCCTCCCTGCCCACTCCCAAGTTCCCCCCTGGGTGGGAGCAGAGGTGTCGCTGGGGGCAGCACTGTCCTCTGCAAGACCCTCCTCCAAAAGAGAGTGAACCTTTTCAAAAATGTTTCAGAGCCTTTCCAAGCACATCAAGGTTGTAATTACTAGAGGAATCAGGGGAAATATTTCAATGTCAGCATTCAAGCACCTGCAGATTTGAGTTTTTGTTTTTGTCTTTGGCTTGCTTCTACCCACTCACTGATACATTCGCCCTGTTCTTCCCGTCTGCCCATGTCAGAATCTGGCAGGGCCTCTGGTCTAGGTCAAGGTCACTATGTAAAAACACAGGGAGGGGAAGGGAGCATCACCCTGGCTGTGCACGGGGTGGGGGTGGGGGTGGATGAGAGGTTACCAGGAGGAAGGCCCGGAGGTGCTGAGCATCACAGTGTACCCACTGCACACCCTCCTGTGCAGACACCTTCCAGGAACACCCAAGAGAGTGACATTCAGTTGACTCTTCAGTGACTGAGGGGGACTTATGGTTACCAACAAGCCTTTTCTTCTTTTTTCCTTCCCCTGATATTAACATTAGTCATATAGTCTGGAGTTTGGACTTATTCCTACTCAAGTAGGCTAACTGAAATGGTTAGTTTAGTTTTTTTTTGTTTTCTTTAACTAAATTAAAATCATGTCCTGGAATAACTGACTCTCAGAAACAAAACAAAAGAAACCAGGAAATCACCCAGTCTGGCCTCCAGAAAGGGTAGGACTTCCTCCTGCGGAAACCCCCATTTGACCTGTTCCAGTCTTTGCTTGAATGCTTCCAGGATGGAGAACTCACTCCTTTTGAGGAAGTCCATCCCCCCTCATCCATCCACTTGAACCAACAGTGACTGTCAGAAATGCAATGACCGGAGCCCATTGCCCCCGCCCCCAACCCCATGACTGCCAGACCTCAGGCTGACATTTGCCACTGACACATGAAACTCTGCACTGTGCTGGCAATTAGAAAAGGACACCCCAGTGTGGCAACTTATCATCACAGGTTGACAGTGACAAAGAGTTTCCCGAGTATGGTCTCAGAACACATAGCAGGCAGGCCCCGCATGTGAGTTGTGTTGACTGCCTTCCTCTCTCCTGGTTTTGAAAGACGTAGGGAAACTTGAAGATGCCGAGAACAGACTCACGATCAAACGGCTCATCAAAGAGATTGGGGAGCCTCGAAATTACGGTTTAACCGATGAAGAAAAGGCAGAAGAGGAGCGGAGGGTTGCTGAGGAGGCCTTAGCCAAGGAGGTGGCGGCGAAAGCGGCCTATGAGCGCAAGGAAGCCAAGGAGAGGGCGGAGAAGATCGCCCGATGGGAGGAGTGGGTGAGTGCGCATATGTGCCGGCACCCGTGCACTGCCCCCCCCCACCCCGTGCCGTCCTGCACAAAGCCATTTAGACCAGTTATACTTCCCATCCCACTAATAATGTCACAGAAATACCCCCCGAACAAGTTTTGTTTGTTAGTTTGTTCAGTTATTTGTACCATTTTAAAAATGATGCCCACAGTCATTTGCTTATTGTAAATAACTGCAACAACGAGCCATTGCCAGGGGCGACACGCATCTCTGTGAAGGAGAATGTCTCGCTGCATGTCAGCCTGAACGAGGGTGCTCAGCCTCATTCCCCGTCCTCATCCCCCAGGTCACCTCCCACAGCAGCGCTCAGGGACACGCGGCTCCCCACCTCTCACCAGGGTCACGCGGGCTGTGCCCCCCAACCCCACCCCGCCATCTCCAGCCTCTCCCCACGCAGCCTTCTAAAACACAGATGCTCCGCGGCCGTTCTCTGCTTAAACTCTTCACACGCTCTCCACCGGGTGAGGTGACAGTCCAAACTCCTCCTCGTGGCCCCCAAGGTCCTCGGTGACCTGCTGCTTCTGTGACTTCCCAGGGTATCTAAACATGTGCCATCTGTGTGACTAACATCCTTTCTTTTTTTGAGTTTTTACTAGAAATCATCTTTTTAATGAGGCCTTTCCTGGACATCAGCTATATGTAAAATTTCAACCTCTGCCTCTCCCCAAAACATGCCATATCCCCTTTTACACTTTGTAATTTCCCTCTGTGTGCTTATTCTGTCTAATGTATGGAGGAAGGAAGGAAGGAAGGGAGGGAGGGAGGGAGGAGAGAGGGGGAGGGGGAGGGGAGGGGAGGGGAGGGGAGGGGAGGGGAGGGGAGGGGAGGGGAGGGGAGGGGAGGGGAGGGGAGGGGAGGGGAGGGAGGGTTTCTTTGTGTATACACCTCAGGGTTCCTGTTGTCTCCTTAGCATAAATTTCTAAGGTTTGCTGGGTCAAGCTCTGCATACCTGGTTTAATTTTTGATCTCTATTTCTGAACTACCCTCCAGCAAGGGTGATCGCATTGTTTACCAGAGCGTTTCCCCACACCTCCTCCAACAGAGCGTCTTCCCTTGCACTCACACATGCCACTCTCATAAAGAAAAACCGATCTCGTGATTTTATGCATCTCTCCCATCACAGATTTAATGGCTTTTCCTCTGCTAGTTAGGAATTTACATCACCTCTTACGCATGTTTTCTCTGCCCGTGCTTGAGCCGTGTATGTTTTTTTGAGCTCTGTATGTTTTTTTGATCCTTTTGCAAGAACAGGAATAGCCCCAGGAGACAACAGCCTCCAGCACTGTCCAAACCCCCTCCACTGTCCTTGTTGCTGCCTGTCTCATCTGCTCATTATTATCGGGGAAATTAAGATGATTGTAGCACCTACTCATGGAGGAGCTGTGGTGATTGAAGAGTTCATGTAAACACATTCAGGCAGTGCCTGGCCAGTGGTGTGAGTTCCCATAATATCTTAGCATTTTATAATTTGTTGCAGTTTTTCTCATCTCATTGTTTAACATCATTTATGGTGTTTCTTCTGGTCATCGGAACATTCATGTTTCTATGTAGTCAAATCTATCATCTCTTCCCATTTTGGTTTTTGGGTTTGCTATCTTCCTGGGAAAGACCTCTTTTCAAAAAAAAAAAAAGAAAGAAAGAAAACCAGGACTCTTTAACTTGCAAGTGACAAAAAGGCAAACTTAAAATGGCTTAGAAACAAAGAAAACTGATGGATTCACAGAACAGAAAAGTCCGGAGGGAGGGCTGGCTTCAGGCGAGGCTCGAGATGGTGGCGCAGGTGATGTCACCAAGGACCGGGGGCCCCTCTCTTCGCTGCATCTCCTGTGTCGGCGTCATCCTGGGGCCGGTCCTCAAGTGTCCATGGGCAGGAGGTGGGCTGGCTTGGTGGGCTTCAGTCCCACCTAAACCTCTAGGCTGAGGAGGAAGATTTCTCAAAGGCAAGATGGAATTATTTTTCCCAAGGACGGGCAGCAGCGTCCTGAGCAAGGGATTAACACAGGGCCAGCAGACCCACACCTCAGACCTATGAGCAGGCCTGTGGCTTTCCTTCTTCCATCTTCCTTCCTTCCCTCCCTTTTGTTCCTTCCTTCGTCTAGGCCGCTAGAAATTATTTTTGTCTAAGAAGTGAGGTAGGAGTCCAGTCCCTTATTTTCTAACTGACTAGTTTGTCGTCATGCACATCCTCTGCTGGCTGGAAATGCCATCTTTCTAATAAAAACGTGGTGAACAATTACAGCACCACCTAGTTCCGAGGCACGGTGGGCTGAGCCAAGGTGTTCTCCCTTTTCTGACTGTTGGCCCCAAACGCTCCCTCTGCAGAATAAACAACTAGAGGAAGTGAAGAGAGAGGAGAGAGAGCTACTGCAGGCGCAGTCCGCCCCCCTGAGAAACTATCTGATGACCTACGTCATGCCCACGCTCATGCAGGGGCTGAGTGAGTGCTGCAAGGTCAGGCCGGAGGATCCCGTCGATTTTCTGGTAGGAGACTTTTTTGTTTTCAACATCAATTTGAAAATAAAATGCACCTGAATCTAAATGGGAAGCCAGTTGACATAGAGAAATTGTGTGCCTGGTAAGTAGCTACTGATACCTTCACAGTTTACAATAAGATTAAAAAAATGTTATTGGATTTCTTGGAGTAGCATTGGTTAGTGGAATGACCCAGGTTCCAGGTGCACAGTTCCACAACACATCATCTCCATGCTGTATGGTGTGTTCACCACCCAAGACAGGTCTCCTTCCAGCGCCATTTACCACCGCCATTCACCACCACTTACCCTCTCCTGCCTCTTCACCTTCCTTTTCCTCTGGTCATCTCCATAGACTATGAGGGGTTCATTTGTTTTTTTTGTTTGTTTTGTTTTTTACTATTCCTTCATCTTTTTTCATGCAGCGCCCCAAACCCCTTCCCTCTCCTAGCCATCAGTCGGTCTGTTCTCTGTGTCTATGGTCTATTTCTATTTTGTTTGTTTTGCTCATTAGGTGCCATATATAAGTGAAATCATATGGTACTTGTCTTTCTCTGACTAGCTTATTTCACTCAGCTATTTTTATTGCTCATTTGAAAGTAAGATTTAGGTACTTTTATTTTTAGTTGTAAACATTAATAGTACTGATATATGACTCATAAATACCTTGTAATACCTACTAATTGTTGACTTCTTTCTTTTTCTTTCTTTCACTTACAGGCAGAGTATCTCTTCAAAAACAACCCTGCAACACAGTGAAGCTGGAAACCCTCGTGCCATGACCCTTTACAGAGCTAGAGACGACTTTGACATTGTAGTTTGAAAAACCGCATTAAAACCCGCTTTCCTAGTTTTTGGAAAAAATTTTTTTTTCCTGCAAGCCAATATTTTATTAAGTGAAATTATTGTCACAAGCTGCGTGGTGATGAGTGACTACTTCATGAAAACTATTGGGAAGGTAAATCTGGGGAGGTAAATTTGGTAAGGCGTCTGTGGCACAGCTTGTGGGACGAACCTCAATTTGATATTTCATTCCTAGTCTAAGTTGTGTGCATGCTAATGTTTCTGGTAATTTACACTGTGGAGAGAATCAGACTATACATTATCTGAACATGTGGGCTAATGAATCTGCACAGTTTGTCATGGCCCAGATGCCAGTGGCATTAGAAATGGAAACACATTAGGACTGTTTATGCTCTGTTGAATCACACAGTAAATCAGACCTGATTGGTCTCCACAACGCTGCTGTTTGAGTTCAGGGTCAGTACCCCAACCAGTATGTCAGAAAGCACTGGAGACCTCTCCATGGAAAAAGTCATGTAGCAGAATGAGCAGTGCTAGTATTTGCGATAATCAGAAAATTGTCGAATATTTTTAGCAAACTAACTGTACAATGTAGGCATAAACAATCAATCCTGATGGTCTCTTCCGGCTCTAAAAGCCCTATCATTCCCAGAATTACACTGAATGAGAAATTTGTTTAGATCTATTTTAATGGCATATCTATTTGATCCCTTTAGATAATAATGTTATATGAATACACTGTGCTATTTTTTTTTTTTTGCACCCTGGCTGGGGAGGGCACTATTTTTTTTTATTGTGGTAAAACACACACAACATAAAATTTAGCATTATAACCATGTTAGCATGTATAATTCAGCGGCACTAGTACACTCACAGTGCTATACGGGCACCACCGTCTAGCTCCAGAACATTCTATCACCCCAAATGGAAACCCTCTACTCGTTAAGCAGTCACTCCCCATTATCCCCTCTCCACCAGCTCCTAGCAACCACTAATCTGCTTTCTGTCTCTGTGAGTTTCTGTATTCTGGACATTTTAAATAAACAGAATCGTACAATACGTGGCCTTTTGCATCTGGCTTCTTTCACGCAGCGTGTTTTCAAGGCCCATCCAAGTCACAGCCTGTGTCAGTACTTCATTCCTTTTTGTGGCTGAGTACTATTCCATCGCATGGAGAGACCACATTTGGTTTAATCATTCATTTGGGTTGTTTCCACCTTTAAATGCAGTGCATACAGCTGCTATGAACATCTGAGGTCAAGTTCTTGTTTGAACACCTGGCATCAATTGTTCTGGGTCGATCCCTAGAGATAGAATTGCTGTCCTATGGCAACTCCACGTGTAACTTATTGAGGAACTGCCAGGCTGTTTTCCACCGTGGCTGCATCATTTTACATTTCCAGCAGCAGTGTGAGGGCATTCTAGTTTCTCTGCATCCTTACCAACACCTGTATTTGTGTGTGTGTGTGTGTGTGTGTGTGTGTGTGTGTGTGTGTGTGTGTGTGTGTATTTAATGGTAATGAAGTGTGTATCACATTGTAACTAAGCATCCTTTCCCATGTGCCTGCTGGCTACTTATACATCTTCTCTGGAGAAATGTATAGTCAGGTCCTTCGCTCACTTTTTATTTGGGCTGTTGATCTTTTGTTATTGAATTATAAGAATTCTTATATATTCTAAATATAAAACACTTATCAGATATGTGATTTGCAAATATTTCCTCCCATTTAGTGGCTCATCTTTTCACTTTCTTTGATGGTCCCCTTTAAGGTACAAAAGTTTTTACTTAAAAAAAATCTTATTTATTTTTAGAGAGAGGGAAAAGGAAGGAGAAAGAGAGGGAGAGAAACATTGGTGTTATGAGAGAAACAGTGACCGGTTGCCTCTTTCTCGCCCCTAGTGGGGACCTGGCCCGCAACCTAGGTATGTGTCCTAACTGGGAATCCAACTGGCACCTTTTTGGTCTGCAGGTTGGTGCTCAATACACTGAAGCACACCTGCCAGAGCAAAAGTTTTTAATTTTGATGATGCCCAATTTACTTTTTTTTCCCCTTTTCTTTCACTGGTCTCTTTCTGACCCTTATATTTTAATAAAAAATACTAAGTAAATAAAAAGAACACATTTTCAACAGTTTGAAGTCGTCAGTCTTTGTAGTAGTTACCTTTTCACGTCTCCCTGATGGTTACGTTTCGTGACACTGCTCCTTCCTTCACTGAGCAAACCCGAGCAATCAGAAGAGTCTGCCTGCTTCCCACCTGTCCAGTCTCGTGTCCTGGCCTCAGGCACTATCTTTTCCAGTCTTGCCTGCTCCCATCGGTCAGTACTCTCCACATACCAGCAGGGACGTCTTCCAAAAGAAGAAACCAGGTCTGCGCAAAGCCCTCCGAGGCCTTGCCCGCCCACACAGACCGAAAGGCCAGGTCCTGACCTGGAGCTGGGAGGCCCATCCAGCCTGTCCCCTCAGGACCTCACTGTCTCCCTCACTTCAAGCCTCATTGCCAAGTACAGTCTGTTGGGGGGGGGGGTCTTTGCCTGAGCTAGGCTGCCCCTACATATCCACATGCTCACTCTCATCCATGCTCAGCTCAAGCAGCCCCTCCTCAGAGGCCTCCCCCCATCGTCTTCTCTGCGCACCCCACTGTTTCTTTCCTCTGCTCACCTGGACCTCATTTCACCTGCCTACGCGTCCTTTGTCTCTCCCCCAGCAAAATGTAAGCTCCAGGGGGCAGGGATTTTGTATTGCTTCTGTGCATCTCTAGAGACTAAAAATGTACACGGTGCACAGTAGAAGTATAATAAGTTGGCGAATAAGAGCTATTTAGCTGAGGTTTTTGCACAGCTGTTTTTTATGACTAATTCCAATTTTCAGTTGTTATTTAGTCCATGTGGCTGTGATGGGACACTTAAGTAACTTTGAGGGTCACCAAGAGGCTTCCCTAGTGCCACTTAGGTAGAAGAGGATCTAGGGGGGACAAATGGTGATGGAAGGAGACTAGACCTAGGGCAGTGAGCATACAAGACGACATGCAGATGGTGTATTATAGAATTGTATACCCGAAACCTATATAATTTATTAACCAATGTCAGACCAATAAATTCAATTAAATTTTTAAAAAATAAGCAGAATGTGATGCAAATTCTGTATTTAGTATATTTGGATGTGGCACCTCCGTAGGAGTGACACAAAGTAAGTCTGGGCGACAGGGCAGGCCGGCTCTGCGCTGGCCCCTGGTGGCCCCGCCCACAGGTGTTGGCACCTCTGAGTATCCTCTTCTCCCAGTGTGGGCGGAGCCTGTGACTGCTTCAACACGGGGATGCTCAGGCCACACGAGACTGCGGATGATGCCAGCAGGCTCATTTGTCTTCTCCACGCAAGAGGCTTTGAGGAAGCATGCCGCCATGGCTGAGAGGCCCACTGGCCAGGGGCTCAGAGGGCTCTTAGCAAACAGCTAGCAGGACACTGACACCTTCAATCTAACAGCTTCTAGGAACGGATTCCGCTAACAGACGGGAATGGAAGCGAATCCTTCCACAGGGAGTCTGCAAATGAGACGCCAGTCCTAATACCATGAAGGCAGCCTTGTTGAGAGACCCTGAAGCAGAGGACCCAACTAAGCCACATCCGAATTCCTGACCCACTGAAACCGTTTGATAATACACGCGTTGTTTTAAGCAGCTTAAAGCTGGTGGCAGTTACTCCAGGGCAGTAACTAATCTAATGATTAATAGGCATTATTATCTCCCAGGAGTTGACATTCTGTGCGGATCACTGTTAGGGACTGAACGTTTGCATGTCCCCAAATTCGTATGTGTAAGCACTACCCCCCCACCCTGCCCCCGCCCCGAGTGATTGTTTGGAGACAGGCTGCTATGGAATTAAGGTTATGTGAGGTCATAAGGGTGGGCCCAGATCCAGCAGGATTAGTCTCCCTCGCACAGGAGCGAGCATGCAAGTGCTTTCACTTTGCCTCTCTCTGACTCGTGAGGACACGGGGACACGGGGACACTTGGCCGTCCACGAGTCAGGAAGAGAGCCCTTATCGGAAAGTGGCCGCGTTGGCGCCAGGATCTCAGACTTCTGGGCCTCCGGAAGTGAGGTGTGGAATGCCTGTGTGTGGAAGCCACTCATTCTGTGGCATTTCGTTATGGCAGCTCATGTCGAGATTATTAAAACTATTTGTTTGTTTTAGCCAGATAACCTGCAGAACTGAAATGATTGAATTGAAGTGCCCAGGCCAATCTAAGTTCTTTGACCGACCAGTCACAACCTAATTCTTTAAGTGCCAGTGTGTGCCAGCTGCTGTTCCGTGCTTTGGGCTTACACTAGTATTGAACAGTCTGGGTCCCTACCTTCACAGAGTTTATATTTTAGTGGGGATGACAGAATAAATAACTTAAAAAATTACCAAGGATGTTCTGGTTATGCGATAAGGACTATAATGCAAATTAAGTCTGGATAAGTGGTCTGGAAGGCATCCGTGAGGCGGCAACATGTGAGCTTTGACGGGCTGAGGAGCCAACCACTGAACTAGGCAGCGAGGCAGAAGGGGACGAGTGTGGAGGCTCAGGGGTGGAAGGGAGCCCCTCATGTTAGGAAAAAGAAGAGGCCAGGAGGGTTGAAGCTCAGCTGGGAAAGGGGAAGAGTCTGGGATGAGGCTGGAGAGAATTGGAAGCCCGATTACGCATGGCTTCATAAGCTACTATTAAGTTTGGTTTAATTCTAAGAACAACTGAAGCTGTGAAATTGGGTTTGGGTACAGGGGGTGATGACATCTCTAGCATGTTCTGAAAACCAGCTACTGTGTGGACAATGGATGGGAGAAAAGCAGGAGTGGAAGAGGGAGAACCGGGGCTACGACAATGGCCTGAGAGAAGACAGTGGCTAAGAAGGGGGGATGTGTGGCCGTTGACACGGAGAGAACGGGGTGGATTTCCAATGGACTTGGGAGGTGGAATCAATGGGACTCGATCACAGATTGGATATGGTTAATGAGGGGAAGAAAGAGACCAAGGATACTGATTTGCTGTGGAAACTAGCAGAGGCAGCGGTTTGGGCTGGTTCTACCCAGCATGCTGTTGTGGTTCTTTCTGGCATGCAAATGGTAGACAATGCATTTTCAAAACATAAACGAACAGACACCTAAAAGGGGAATGAGAATTTAATAAAAAGACAGCCTGAGAGTACAGCCATCATTTGATGGAAGTGCTTATGTTATTTTTACTTAGTGACTCATAAACCGGGTTTCTGATTAAACTTTTTAAAAAGTATGCACCATTAATAGTCCATTGAATCAGTGCACTTTATTTTGGGGATAGAAACCTGCATCGCACACAGTATCTGCAATTATCACCCCCTATGTGACACTGAAACACAATCCAGGTAGTCCCCGCAGTGGGAAGAGGTTCTGCTCCCAGACATGTATGTGTGTTTTCTTTTTTCGAGCACACTGTGGACCTAAGAGAACCAGTTTCAGAATTCTTACTATGTATGACGTTGTTGTGTGGACCATGGGATCTGAAAGCTACTAAACACCAGCTGAAAGCACCTTCCCACTCTGAGCAGCTGGCAGAAACAGCTGGGGGTCCTGCAAGGGCCCGCTGCAGGGCAGTCAGTAGCAGTGGAGACAGGCAGCAGCTGCAGGGAGTGGGCAGGGGCTCTGAGGACAAGCAAGATGGGGCTAACAGTACAGAGAGTATCTTGATCAATACACTGGTAATTGGCTTTAGCTCTCGCTCCACTTTCTGTGGCTCAAGTTTTATCCTTAATTGGGTCCTATGAGTTGGGGCTACGCAAACACCTCGCTCATTACTCAGGTGTGAAATTTTCGTTGCATAAGACTGGGTGTATGTAAGTCCCTTCCAGAACTTGATTTCATTAACATGAGTCTTGCTTGCAGAGGTTATGACCTCTCTCTCTAGCTCCTGAAGTGTGTTTTTAGTGGCCTGACATGTTTCTGAAGGTCTCGTGGGCGCTGCAAAACCCACCCATATCAAGCTCACCCACTCACCCAGTTATCTTCCTCTTATTTCATTCACTGAGAGCCCCACTCATCCCGCCACCCTCCCTAGAAACTTCGTAATCATTTTTACCTTCCGCTGCATCACCGCTCACAACCACGATGAACTACATTGCCAAAATCCCTCAATTCACTTCCTTCATCATCTCTTGCCTCACCTATCCTCCAACTCGAGTCTCTCCCAGTGCAAATTCATTCCCTGCCCTTTGAGGGATTTCAAAAAATATCTCATTGTTTCAAAACTTTCAATGGCTCCTCCATTCACAAAAAGGTAATAAAATCCAAAGCTCTCAGAATGGCCTCAGCTCAAAGGCCAGCAACTCAGAGGGCCTGTCTGACCAGGCTCTCTCTAAAGGTGGCTCTGGGCTCTCACACTGATTCATTTCATTCGTGGTTCTTAATCACACCCTGTAACTCCCACTTCTGGTTATGGCCCCCTGGAATTCAAGGTCTAATTGCATCAGTTTCCCACTGTATTTTTCACAGTGGAAAGGAACCCCAGCCTAGCACCTTTCGCTCTGCTTTTTTGTTTGTTAATTTTCCCCTCTACCTGATACACTTCTCAAACCTTAAGTTTTCTCATCAGATGTCTTTTCCCTCCTCCGCCCCTTCCTTCTTCCCATCTTCTTTTTCAAAGTTGTTCCCTCTTGCCGATGTGTTCCTCTTCTGTCCACGTTCTAAATCTTAAGTTTTTCCAACAGGACATTTCTCGAGTCACCTTCTGTGCGAAATCTACCTTGACTTCCCCGCAAATACAGCTCCTTTTAATGGTCTTCGACCAGCAATGTGGCACCCAGCATGCTCCTGGCACCAAGCAAACTCTAGCCGCGCAAAGCTGAAACAGAAACGCTGCGGAGCTACAGCAGACGCCCTCCACCTCTTCTTCAGGCTGTGATTCAGGCAGAGCACGGCCCTGAGCTCGGGGAGGTCCCATTCTTTACTTCGTCACGTGCATCAGCAGTGCCTATCACAGAGCAAGGTTCAAGAGCGCAGACTTAACGCTTTATTGTTTTCTCTGTATCTCAGACTATCTTTTGAGGACAGGTCCATTGCGGGGTCCTTAACTAAAGCCACCCCCAGGACAGAAAGGTAAGCAGTAGAACTGAGAATCAAGTAGGTGCAAGCCTGTCTGCAGAGTGCTGTTCCATGCAAAGGGCGGTCACACAGACAATTTAGAATTTCCTAGGAGCCACACTTAAACATGTAAAAAGAAACAGGTGGAGGTAATTTTTGTGATGGTCCCTTTAATGCAACATATCCGGACGATACAGGGCATCGGTGCGGTGCTGCACACTAAACCTGTGAAATCCGCGTGCGTTGGGCAGGGACAGCCCTTCTTTCTCCCCGGGACTAGCCCAGCGGGGAGCGTTCCAAGGGCTGCTGCACCGGGCCATGCCGGCTTGGACCCCGCGTTTTCCCCACCGAGCCTGGTCCCCGAAGGCTAGTCCCACTGGATGTTATGGGGGGGAACCCTTTGTCAAATTTCCGGAGTGTATTTAAAGAATTTAGAACTTTACCGGCCGTATTCGATCCCTTCCCGCCCCTGCCTTCCATCAACCTGTGCGACGCTTTACAACGCGTTCTAATTCGAAGATCGGAGCATTGGAGTCGAGTCGGCTCAGGCAGGGCGTCTCCGCCTTCTGCTGGGGGTGCGGGAAAAGCTCCCGAACCCTGCCCCAGGGAGAGATCGGGGCCCGGAAACGCCGCCTGCGGGAAACTGTGGCCGCAGAGTGCCCGCCAAGTTTTCCGTAATTCGTTAAAGTGTGAAGTTAACTCATGTCCCAGCACTGGCTGTCATTGTCCTACCCCGAGAAGGTATTCGTTCAGCAAATATTTCGCTGAACGCACATGCGTTCGAGGAGCAAACAGCCGAAAGCGCTGTCTCGGGGGAAGGTGCGTCTCCAAAACAGCTCTGCGCCCTCTGCACCAGCTCCGCTAGGCACCGCGCTGGCACGATCAGGTTCAACGAGAAAGAGGCTGGTTCTCACTTTGCAGAGCACTACCTACGGAGCGGTGGAGTAACCTGTTACAACCCCAAGGCCTCGACCCACGTGGCCGCGTTCTGAGTCCCTCTCCCGGGCGGCACACCGGACACGCGTGGGTGCCTCAGTTCCTTCCAAGCGCCTCCACAGGCGCCATTCGAGGGGAGGCGCAGCCGCCGCGACCTCAGGCGACACGAACCGCGGGACCTCACAATGCGCCGGAAGCCGCTCCTCGCGGTCCCAGGGGCTCCCTGGGTCCTTCCTCGCGCCGCCTGGGTCGCGTCGCCCCCGTCTCAGACGAGAGCGTCTCGGTCGACCGACGACCGGCTACGGGAGCTACCCGCACCATTCCCAAGTCACTCACGGTACCCTTAGCAAAAATGTGACGGGATTGGAGCGGAAATTGCTCGACCTCCCACCACTTCACGAACTATCTTTCCCGTGAGGCTTCGCGGCGCGGGTAGGCCTCTGCGCAGGCGCGCGCACTACGTGCGTGGCCGCGTCAGCAATTCTAGAACGTTGCTGTGGTAGCGCTCGGGCGCCATGTTAGGACGAAGGGGAAGGAGGAGAAGCGCTTAAAGCGGCGGGAGCGGGTGCGGGAGTGGGGTTGGACCCAGGGCTGCGGCAGGTCCCCCTCCCTCCCGCCTCAGTGGATCATGCCCAGGGCGGCAGCGGCGGCGGTTGCTGGGGGGAAGTGACTGGGCGGTGCCGGCGCAGGAAACGATGCCGTTGTAAGTAATTTATATTCTGTTTTCTCCCGCACGCCGGCGGGGCCTTGGGGGCGTCGGGGGATAAGGAATGGATGGTGCACGAGCGGGGCCCTCGCCCCACGGGGGCAGCCGGCGGGACTGGGGCTCTTCCTGTTTCCTCATCCACTCGCTGCCGCACTTCCCCTCGTGCTCGGGTCCCTTTCCCCCCACCTCTTCCTGGCTTCTGCAGCCGTCGTCCGGGGGCCTTCCCCTTCCGGAAGAGGAACCTCCATCCTCATCACTGCTGCTTCTCCGCTCCGGCCGAAAACCCCAAACCGCGTCCGGCGGCGGTGGGGAAGGGAGGCCCTGCTGCTCGTGGGGTCTCCACGTGGGGTGCGGGCTCGCCCACTGCGCCTCCCCGGCGCATTTCGCGGCTCCAGTTCCCTGTCCACCTGCGCTGCGTCTCTGTCTTCCCGTTTCCGCGATGCTCAAATCGTGCGCCAGTGTTAACCCGCGTCCACGTTGGAGGTGGCCTGAGCACTAGTTAAAAAGCACTGTTTGGGGTGTTGAGCCTGGGTATTTGAATCCTTCCTCCACCCAGTTGTTCCACTACCAGGAAAGGGGCACTTGCCAGGAGGCCTCCGAAACGCGCCAGGTTCTGAATTGCTCGCCTTGTTTTGTTTTGATGGAGCGGGATTGCAACCAGCTTCCTTCTCCCTCCACCTCGTAGTGATACTTCTTTTTCAGATTGTAGACGTAAAGCCAGTCTATCAGTGCATTCTGATCTCACTAGGCCTACATTTTATCGCCCCCCCCCCGCACGTTATAGAGAGTTTTCGACATAAGTTTTCCTTTTTTCATTGAAAGAATGAGATGTAATTTTAGAAATCCTTGTTGGGATAGAAAGATTACAGCGTATGTTCTGCGTTTACAGGGCAGTGTTGGGGCCTAAATAGTGAGACTGCATTTCTTTCACTTTTGAAGATTTCAGAGCAAGGGTTCTCCTTTGAGACGAGGGACCGAGTTTTCTTTGTAGCCCCAAAACGAGGCATGTAATTGATATTCGAAATTTTACTTCAATGCAAAGTAAAGGTTTTTTTTTTTTTTTTAAAATTTCTGGACACCTATTATGTGGCACACCAGGCTTTTTATTTTTTAAGTAAAGATAGTTTCTTTTTTGCACCTATTACCGACTATAGTTTTCCGATTTTCTTTTTACAAGGTGGGCAAAAGTAGGTTTACAGTTGTGAGTACGCAAAACAGTTTATTCTTGAATTACTTGTTACTTATTGCATTATCCATATGAGCAGCTGTAAACCTGCTTTTGCCCCACCCTGTGTGTGAGTATCCGTGTGTGTATGTGTCTGTCTTTACAGGTGAGGCTCTAACTTTGACACAGGCTTTAAGGCCATCTATAGCATTCTACACGATATTTTAAAAAGGAATTTTATACTCCTCATCCACTCCTGTTATTTTAAGAGGCTTATCAACATATGTCTGTAATGAGAATATTTATTAGTTTTAATTAAATATACAGACCGAAGATCTTAGAATCAGCAAGAACCCTGTTGTTTCATCCTTTCATAGAAAGTTAAAAAGAGGCACCAGGAGAACCAAGTCTAAGCAAGATTTTTGTGGCCTTTTTCAGTTCAGCAGCAATTAAAATAAACCTAAATGTTTGCGGTGATGCCATGTGACTTCTTCATGTTAGCTGACATTTTATTGCTGCTTTGAAGGGGGGACTTCTTTTTCTGATAGTCACATCGGTACTAAAAATGGATCATGATAGAAATGTATCCCTTACAAGGCTTTAATGAGGAAATAACTCAAGGAATAATTTGTCTTAGTGTTTGTAAATTAAAATTCCTTTTATACCTACTTTTTACAAGTTTTCTTTGTGGAGGGAGGGAGGTATATATTTCCTTTGAAAACGTAGGAGCTTCAGATTCTTTGGCAGTGTTCCCAATGTATAAGATGGAAACAGTCAAGATAGCAAGTTTACACATGGACATGGCCTTTCCAGTGTGTTTCTGAAATGTGGACAATATGGCCAGTTTCTCATTAGCTCTCCCTCTCATTTTTAGCCCTAAGTGTGCAGCGGAAAGACTAAAGCCTGCCTAGTTTAATAGACCTTTTTCCTCATCAGTTTGCTTTGTTTTTCATGTTCTGGTGTCACACTGACATTAACTTTGTTTCTTTGAAGTTTTGAATTGTGATTTTCCAGTTTATATTTGACTTCCCTTTCATTTTTGGTATGCCAGTCCTGTCAAATTTGGGCAGGTGGGTAGGGTGGAAGCATAGGTCGTAGGTGAGTTGTTAGAATGGACCCAGTGGACCAAATAAAAATAGATTATTGGAGTTGAGGTCATTATAAAACATTGTGAACAAGTGTCTGTATTTGCCTGAAAGTCATGTAATTGCATATATAATTTTGAAAGACTTGTGTGATTTAAGAGCCATGGCGATGAAAGCTGCTGACAATTTTGACAGTGGTGAGGTGCATTTATAGAGTTTATCACATGGTATGAATGATATTTTAGGCTGTGTAATTCCTGTTTCATGGAGCTGTCCCGCGTATTGTAGGATGTTTAATAGCATCCCTAACCTCTGGTAGATTTCAGAAGTCGTGTGTCCCCCCCCCCCCAGTAGTGATGACCAAAAAAGATACTGCAAAATGTGCTCTGGGGGCCAAATCTTTGTGTGGAGAACCACTGCATCAATGCAGAGCATGATGCCCTTAGGAAACCATTTTTAGATTTCTGCCCTACTCTGTGTGGGTCAGGCCATTATTTGTGTCAGCTTAGTTTTGGCTGTCACACTTGATAAGACTTTAAGGCAAGTAACCAGTTTCAGGGACCTAGCATTCATGTTACATTCATAGATGGTTGTGGAAGTTACTGGAAGAGATACTTAGCAAGACTGGGGGAAGACAAGAGCTTTTCTCTCAAATATTTTTGGGCCATTGCAAAATAAAGAATTGAAGTACTTTCATGTAGCCATCACAGGTACGTTTGGGACCTGTTGGTGGATAATACTGTGTGGAGCAGTGGTCCCCAGAGCTAAGGGGTCCCTGAGACCCTTTCAGGGAGTAGGTAAACCCAGACTGTTGGCTAGCAATGCTGAGACGACAGGTCTTTTACTCTGCTGACACTGGCGCCAGGGGGCAGTGCCCACGGCTTAGAGAGAATCAGGGCAGAGGCCTCCTGTTGTCCTAGTGGTCGTGTTCTTCACCGCACACAGCTAAAAAGAAGTCCTTGATGAAGCGGTTGTGCTAATTTTATTAAATCTTAATCCTTGAGTTTGCCTTTTAAATATGGTATGATAAAATGGGAAATAAGCCTAAAGCTGTTGTTGAGAACACATGTATGATTGATTTGTGAGCTAAACTAGTGCTTTTCTCACAGAGTTCTATTTTTACGTGAAGAACAAGTGATGAACTATGGGTATTCATACTTGACTATTTAGCATTCACCTGAAAATAAAGTGAGCCTGTATCTTTAAGGAAAGTAACACAGTATTTGTGGCCAGTGAAAAAATTTGAGCTTTCAAGCAAAAATTAAGGCTTTGGAAAGCTCATTTCTGCCATGTGAGCTTGACAGCATCCCAGCAATGTAAAAAGTTTCTACTTAGATTGGCGGTGATATTAATGAATATAGTTTTTTTGATATAGTTTGTTTTGGTAGCATATGATAATGTGTCAGCATTTGGAAGATATGTGTAATTCAGTGAACCCACATCTTCCCTAATCACCAGTCATGGTGTAATAAAATTACACATGGGTGAAAGGTACATTAAATGCAAGATAGGTAATAGATTTTATTTTTTACTTAATTTTCAGACATTTTATTTACTTTTTAAAAACATTTTTAAAGGTCTTATTTATTTATTTTTAGAGAAAGGGAAGAGGAGGGAGAAAGAGAGGGAGAAAAACACCACGTGAGATTGCCTCTAGCACGCCCCCAACTGGGGAACCTGACCTGCAACTCAGGCACGTGCCCTCCCGGGAATCAAACTGGCGACCTTTTGGTTTTGTGGACAGGCTGGTGCACAGGCCAGTGCTCAAGCCACTGACACCAGTGGATTTTAGTGCAACAGAGTACAAAGAGTTTATTGATCTGGTTTCAGCTTTCATACTGTAACTAATCTTACTGAAATTGCCACTTGTGGAGTTTTGATGTAGTACCAAAGAAGAATACCCACAATTAATTGAAAAGGTTGTTAAAATATTCTCTCCCTGTTACAAAGGTACGATGCTAAGTTTTTTTATATGTGTCTGCAAAAACAGCTTACTCAAAGGGATTGAATCCAGAAGCAATCATACTGGGAGTTCAGCTGTCTTTGATTAACCAGAATTAAAGAAATTAGAAAAATGTAAAAACCAGTGCCATGCCATGTTTAGTTCTATATTTTTGTTTTGGAAAACAGTTGCTTTAAAAGAAGTTATTTCTGTTAACAAGTAATGGGTTTTCTTGTTACTTAAATGAGTCAACATTAAAGACATTTTTTAGTTATAGTTCCCAATGCAGTAAGTACTAGTGGACATAATCTATATAGTAGAAGCTATTTCAGGTCCTCGACAAATTGTAAGAGTTATGAGAGGGTCCGAACTGTGGCTGTGCAGGAACAGCCAGCAGCTGGCCCAGGCTGCTGTTTCAGTGGTAGTGTTGGCGCAGTGTCTGGGTGGCTTTTAAACGGGTCTGGAGGCAGGGGCACGTGGTTGGAAGACATGTTTTGTTGTCAGTGAAAACAGTGCACTGGATAATTGTTAGGGAAGATAACTTCTGAGAGATTTTCTTAGATTTTAGGATTTAGATATTTTGTGACGAATTGTTTGCCGAGTATTGAATAGTGGTTATGGTTTTCAAATGTGGCATTTTACCTTATGCGTGCTTTCAGTCCACTCTTTCTCACCGAGAAGTTGGGAGGGAAGGTATTGGGGTTGAGTAAATTTATGAGCCTGTTCAGTTCTTTTCGCCATGACTCCCACCATTCCTTAGGCACAAGGCTTGATAACATACAACTTGCAAAAATACTTGGTTTGA